AGTACGCAAAAAAAAAAAAAAAAAAGTGTAGGCTCCAAGTTTAAACCCCAATCTCACACACACACACACACACACACACACACACACACACAAATGCTGGGTACCACTGGCTCATGCCTGTAATCCTAGCTATTTGGGAGGCTGAAATTGGGAGGACTGCAGTTTGAGGACAGCTCAAGAAAATAGTTCCTGAGACCCTATCTCCAAAATATCCAGAGTAAAATGGACTGGAGATGTGGCTCAAGTGGTAGAGTGCCTGCTTTGCAAATGCAAAGCCCTGAGTTCAAACTCAGTAGACCAAAGAATTAAATAAATAATAAATGCAGATTCATTACCCTACCCGAGACATACTGAACCAGTATATCATTAAGAACCAGGAAAAAAAGATTAAGCCTGAATTTAAACCCCAGTACACACACGCACACACACACACACACACACACAAAGCTGGGGTCACTAGCTCATGCCTGTAATTCTAGCTACTTGTGAGACTGAGATCAGTTGGGGTTTTTTTGGTAATACTGGGGTTTGAACTCAGGACCTCATGATTGCTGTGCAGGCACTTTTCCACTTCAGCTACTTCATGAACCCAGAGGCTGAGATCAGGAGATCAAGGTCAACCTGGGCACATAGTTCATGAGCTTCCATTTCCCAAAAAAAAAATAACCAGAGCAAAAATGGACTGAAAATTTAGCTCAATTGGCAGATCACCTGCTTTGCAAATTAAAAAAAATAGATTTCAAACAATACCTCATTTTGTTGTTCATTGTTAGGTTTTCTTTTCTTTTTTTTTTTTTTTGGTGGTACTGGGGGGTTGAACTCAGGGCCTTGTGCTTACCGATTGAGCCATACCCCCAACCCTCATCATTGTAGTCTTACTCATTTGTCCTATTGCTGTGATTTATTTATCCCTGTATAGCATATAATGTCTTTGTATTTCATTCATACTTTAATTGCATTCCATTTGCAGGAAGATTAGAAGAAAAATATTGATGCAAATGTGGCATTATTGTATAAAAATAAAATCTGAGGGAAAATGTGATATTAACATAACAACAAAAAGAACAAATGAGAACTTGGGAAGGTAAGGCAGGAGGATCACTGGTTCAAGGTCAGCCTGGCTGCACAGTGAGACCCTGTATTAAATTAAAAAGTAACAAGCAGAAAAAACCTTGTGAGTTTTGACACAAAAAATGAAATAATAAAAAGACTGAAAAGTAAAGAGATGTTTGTCCAGTTCAAGAAGCTAGAGAAAAAACTGAGTAAGCACAAAGAAAATGGAAGGATACATTATATCCTGGATGAGGGATACATTGTACTCCCTGCTGCCTGGATTTTCCCTCAAATTTGAGATACATTCTAGTGTGTGTTTGTATTGATTGTTGCTGATGTGAAGCCTGTTGTCAATCTAACTTTCTTGGTAGATGATCTAGTTCTATTTTTTCTTGTACACTAATGTGTGTAGAGAATGAATAGGGATATTTTAGGAGGTAAAAGGGGCAGGACTTCAGCATTGCTTAACAGTAAGGATGAAAGAAAAGAGAGAAGCCAAAGATGAGTCCCCATTAGAAAAAAACAAAAGCAGGAAGAACAGGTGTGGGGGATGAAAATGAGACCAGTGTTGGGCTAAAAGTGCTTGTTGAGGACATCCATGTGAAGTCCCCTGTGTCGAGGTGGCTTTGTGGGTTTGAGTATAGCTACAGGTGCAGGAGTCACCAGCATAAAAATGTGGTAGTTGTAGGAGACCCAGACAGGTAGATTTGAGGATGTTAAGAGCAAAAGGGGAGAAGAGTAAGAAGTAAGCAAGCCCAGGCCAGAGTTCCCAAGGGACACTATCATTTAAAAAATGAGTAGTGAAAGAAAAGCCTGAAAAGAAAATTGAAATAGAGGTGTCAAAAAGATGGGCTTGGAGGCCTGGTGTGATTGCTCATTCCTGTAGTCCAGGATACTTGGGAAATGGGGATTGGCGGATTGAGGTTCCAGGCCAATCTCCATTGAGACCCGCCCCCCCCCCCCTGCAGCTCACCAAAAAACTGGATATGGTGGCGCACACCTATGATCTCAGGATCTCAGCTATTTGGGAGGGTAGGTAGAGGGTTGAAGTCTGAGGCCAACCTAGGGCAAAATGTGAGACCTTACCTGCAAAACAACTAAAAAGGGGCTAGGAAGCCAGGCGCCAGTGGCTCACGCCTGTAATCCTAGCTACTCAGGAGGCAGAGATCAGGAGGATCTCAGATCGAAGCCAGCCCAGGCAAATAGTTTGAGCGACCCTATCTCAAAAAAGAAACATCACAAAAAAAGGGCTGATGGAGTGGCTCACGGTGTAGGCCTGAGTTCAAGGCCCGTACCATAGCAACAACAATAAAAAGCATGGAAAAGAAATATGGGTGATGCTGGATGCTAGAGAGAGTGCCCTCATAGAAGCCAGAAGTGAGACTTATGAGGGGAATGCTTGACAGCCCCAAATGCTCTGAGACAGAGTTAGATTTAATAAGAAAGACATCACCTGTGACCTTGGCCCGAGAAGTTTCTTCAGGAATGTAGGGGCTGGAGGAAGAGGGATTGGATGGAGTGAGGGTTGAGGAGTGAGCAGGCAGAGCAGGGGAGAACGGATTGCTCTTAGAATTGCTGAAGTGTGAAAAAGAGAAAAGTGGGGAGGTGGCTAAAAAGAGGAATTGTATTGTTTAAAGGCAACATTAAAATTTTTCTGATTATAAAAAGTTACATATTCTTTTCATAAAACTCAGAAAGCACAAAGAAACTCTAATAGGCCATTCTTTTATAAACACAGCTAACAGATAACAGGGTCCTTTAATTCACCCACGTATATTTGAATAAAAATTGGCTGCTTTGAGGGATGTTTATTTCATTTTCTGTATCATAAGCATTTTCCATTTCAATATTCTATAATTTATTTTATTATAAATGAAATAAGTGTTCCTTGTTAAATAAGCAATATTGAAACAGTGAAGTAGAAAGTCTCAAGGTAAGAAAGACTACTTGGAATTGAGCTTGATGCATGTACATTGCCAGCAGAGCTGCTGTTGAGGACAACAGACCGGTGACAAGGGCACAACTGATACAGTGAGGCACTGAAGGAGGCTACAGGGAGGGTCAGTCAGAGGCTCCTGCCTTGACTGCTCGTGGCCTTGACTTGGTCTGTGAAAATACCACATCTCTACCAACATGGATGGGGAGCAATGAAAGTATGTAGTTGCTGTAGGGAAATAGTGACAGGGATAGCCAGGATCACTGAGAGTTGCTCAGGGGAAGCTGCTTGTGTTAGTTGTCACCTCTGTGACAAAATGCCTGAGATAAAGCAACTTAAAGGAGGAAAGCTATATTTTGGCTAACAGTTGCAGTCCATGATAGATTGGCTGTTGTGTTTGGGCCTGTGGCAAGGCAGAACACCAGGGAGCATAAGACAGCAAAGCTGCTCACCTCACAGTCACCAGAAGCAAAGGAAGAGCCAGAAAAGGCTAATATCCCTTCAAGGAACACCCCAAAACCCAACTCCCTTCCATAGGCCCCATGTCCTAAAGGTTCCAGCACTTCCCCACAGGCTGGGGACTAGCTTTTGGGTCATTTAACATCTGAACTATGGGCTAGAGGTATAGCTCAGTGGCAGAGCACTTGCCTAGCATGCACAAGGCACTGGGTTTGATCCCAAGCCTAAATAAAACACATTTAAAGAAAAGAAAGAAGTGGGCATTGGCTCATGCCTGTACTCCTAGCTACTCAGTGTGCAGAGATCAGGAGGATCGCAGTTCAAAGCCAGCCTGGGCAAATAGTTCAAGAGACCCTATTTTGAAAAACCCTTCACAAAAAAGGGCTAGTGGAGTGGCTCAAGGTGTTCCAGAGTTTAAGCCCCAGTATCGAAGAAAGAGAGAGAGAGGAGAGGGAGAGGAGAGAGAGAGAAAATGAGTTTAAAGATTTTTTACATGTTTTCCTGTATAACAAATATTTTATTTTGTAACATTAATACAAATAAAAACAAAACCTGCATATCTATCCCCAGAAAAAAATACAGCATTTCTACTTGTTAGTTGCTTGTCCTTATATTAAGCTGGGAAACTATGCATTGCTTGGCAACCTGTGGCATAATTAAACGCTTAAGTGCATGGCTTCTAGAGTCAGACTTGCTGGGTCTAGCCTTCTGCTCCATTGCTTTCTATTTTTCATCTTGGGTGTTTTAGACAGTCTCATAGTCCAGACTAGCATAGAATTCACTATGTAACTCAGGCTGGCCTTGAACTTGGGATCCTAGTATCACAGAAACAGGGGAAGAGAAGAGGAGGAAAGGAAGGAGGAGACTAATGATAATCCTGTCCTGGTACCACTATGCCAATGCCTGTAATCCTAGCATTTAGGAGACTGAGACAGGAGGCTCTTGAGTTTGAGGCTAACCTGGGTTGACACATCAAGACCCAATCTCAAAACAATAAAATGAATTTCAAGAGCTTTTGTTTTGGGTTTTATATATTGATATTTATGTTAGAAATTGAAACAGAAATGTTAAATATTAATCCATTAAAAACTAATAGTAGGGGCTGGGCTTGGAACTACACAACAATAACCCCTGCTATGCAGGAGCAGAGGTAGGAGGATGACCATCCAAGGATGGCAGTCTGAGGCTGGCCTGACCAAAAGTGCAAGACCCAATCAAGAGAAATAAAGCAAAAAAGGGCCGGGGATGTGGCTCAGAGTGCAAGGCCCTGAGCTCAATACCTCAGTACCTCCCCCCAAAAATAAGAATGAACCCATTTCATTGCATGTCAATATACCTTAGCTTTTATGAAAAATAACTCTGAATCAGTATACTGTTACACATTTTAGCAAGTGTCTTTCTCTTTTCTTTTACTTTTGTTTTTACTTATTGTTTTGAGACAGGAGTCTTGCTATGTGGCCCAGGCTGGGCTCAAACTCACAACACTCTGCCTTAACCTTCTGAGTAGCTGGAATAACAGGTGTTCACCACCCAGATTCTTTTCCTTAAACTTTTCAGTGCTAGGGACTAAACCAGGGCCTTACACAGGTTAAGCAAGTGCTCTCTACACTGAGTTACATTCCCAACCCACATTTTGGCAAATCTCATTAATGTCTGTTTCAATGAAACTTCTTCTGGCTGAACTCTCCTATCTGCTTCTGTATTCACTGTGTTGCAATACATTGTTTGAGGCTCTTTATTTTTTGGCAGTACTGAGATTTGAACTCAGGGCCTTGTGCTTGCTAAGTAGGCACTCAACCACTTGAGCCATACCTCCAGTCCTTGAAAAGTTTTGATCTCAGACTTCCTAAAAGGGTCTGGGGATCCTCAGGAGTTCATGAATCACAATGTCACAATCATTATTGTAGAGTAAGTTATCTAGCATCTACACCAATCTCAGCCTCTGCTGTAGCTTGGCTATTGACAAGCATATACCACTGCACCCAGCTATTGGTTGAGATGGGGTCTTGCAAGGTTTTTGCTTGGACTGCCCTGGAACTGCAATCCTCTAATCTCAGCCTCCCAAGTATTTTAGGATTATAGGTATTAACCAGTAGTGCCCAGTTCTGAGCAAGTTTTCAGACTTTTTGAGTTTTTTGGGGTACTGGGGTTTGAGCTTAGGGCTTCATGCTTGTGAGAGTGGTGCTCTACTGCTTGAGCCATGTCTCCAACCCTCATCCTTATTGGCTGAACTTTTTGTCTTTTTATAGGGCTCCAATGTCCATCCAGAAGCCTGCCCAGAGTTCAGGTGTCTTTCTCCTCACTGTCCCACAGAGCTCTGATCATTCTGATTTGACTCATCAGACATCTAGACTCTTCCCTAGCCTGAATCCTTAGGGGCCAGTACTATTTCTTACTCACCTTTGTGGCTCTGGTACCTAACACTAAATAGGTTCTTAGTAAAGCTTCTCTTAACGGCAAAAGAAAATAGAACCCGAGGAGAAGAGCTAATGGCCCACAGAGAGCCAGAAAGGCTCTACTTCAGGCCACAAATTCTTCCTTCTCACACGCAAAGTTACTATTTGAAGCAAAAAGGAAAAAAATTGCCAAGCTTTATTTACGTTGTAAAGATTACAGATAACATATCTAACCCTATATCCCACCCCATACTATGCAGTCCCTAGGGCAGACTCAGCTACCCTTTCCTCCAGTCTCACTTCTTCTCTTCCTCCTTCTTGTCCTTCTTGCCATCCTTGGTGGCCTGGGAGGCAAGGGAACCCATAGCATTTCGAATGGCTTCATTGTTGGGATCCACACCTGGAAGGTTCTCTAGGACACTCTGAAGGAACTCAGGGTCCTGCATCACATCATAATCATCTTCCTCCTAAAAAAAAAAAAAAAAAGGCAGCACCAGCTTGGGGCAGGTTATGGGCCAGGCAAGGAGCAAGCAGGTATAAGGGACAGAAGCTGCTGCCTGAGCCTGGCTCTCGCCTGACCTTGTGGGGATGCAGGGTGTCTGTGGCCAAGGGAAGGAAAGGATGAGTCAGCGCCACACAGTGCCACAGATGGTATGAATGCAGACATTTCATTACTGACCAAATAGAGAAGCGTGAGAACTTTGCTAATTGAGCTCAGAAGGTTTTCTGCTATTAGATACACAGACCCTGTTTTCATCATCCTGGGAAAATGATATCCTATAGAACTGTCCAGACTACTCCCACAAGAAAGGAAGGAAAATTTCAGAACATGGGGAAGTTTCTCCAACTCTAACCACTAGCATTCCAGTTCCTTAGTAAGGTTTCTATATAAGAAATACACATTCAAGTGCTTCCTCCTGCTCCTCGAATGACTCATCTATGAAACCGAGGGAGGAATAGTTGTGGCCCAGATTGAGGATCTGAGTACAAGGGATTTCAAATCTGATGGGGCAAGGGATCATCACTGGTCCTTACCTTGGCTGGCTCTGATGTATCCATGGCTGAGCTGGCATCAATGTCAGCTGATTCTGCCTGGCCAAACTCTGAGGAAAGGAGGGCAATCACTCAGTTCCATCTCCCTGCCAACATCTACCCAAGCACCTCCACAAGCACTATCAAACTGGCCCTGGCTCACCTGCTCCTGCAGGGACATCTGCATGGCATAGGCAATCTGCTCCTCCTCAGTCATGCTGCTCAGGTCGGGAGGCCTGTGCGACCAAACTCCTGCTGGTTGATCGTCATCTTCAATAGGGCATCATCTGAGTCTGGGAAAAGGAAGAGAAGGGCAAGGTAGAACTGGTGCCATTATTCCACATAGACCCAGGCCCAAGCCATTCCTTCCACAGATTCCTACTCTGCCAGGCTTCCCCACTCCACTGCAATGTCTACATCAGCTTTCAATGGTTAGCACCCTGCAATCCCAGGACTTCAGATTCCACCTCTTTCACCTTCAGTCCCAGTTGTAGCAATTCCAGCCTCAGCTGCAGAAGCTGCAGCGGCCCGCCGTGCCTCCTCCTCCTGCCGCTGTCGCTGCTCTTCCATAGAAACACGAAGAGCCTGGTGAAGGTCAAGGCAAGATCAGATGTTCCCCAGCCTCATTCCTATTGGAGGCTGGGGAAGTCACTGAGGGTGTGGGACAGAAATATAGAGTGGTAGCTTCTGGTTTATCACATGGGGAAGAAGCCGGAGGGGTAAGAAATGGTATGGGAAAAATGAAGGCCTTGGATGAAGCCTGGAGTTTGATCAAGAGAAGTAAACTAGCTTGAGTTTGACACAGGTGCCCCTAGAAACCAAACAGAATTTTAAGGAAGGAGTGAATGGGGATCTTAGAAAATGAGTAAGAGTTTGGGGGTATTTGGAACTGTCCAGCTCTATCAGTACAGGAGAACAAAGGACCCCTCAGCTCTACCTGGGTAAACATTGCTCACCAGGGCCAGCTCAGGATCAGCACTGGGATCCACTCCAAATTCAAAGTCACTGGCACCAAGACCCAGCATGGCACCACCTTCACCAGCCAGAATCGGAGAACTGATGAGGGCATCAGCCAAGCTGGGCCCTGGAGGCACTGTCACCAGATGAGAACCAGTTCCATCTTTGCCATTCAGTGTGTTCACGAAGGCTGTCAACTTCTCTGTGTTTACCTCCTGGGGAGGGGAGAACACATGGCAGACATGCTCCTTCACACCTTGCTCCTCACTCTCTGTAACTGCAGCTCTTACTGTAGCTACTCTCCCAGTGTTGGCCCTGCTTTGGGGAAGGACTGTCCTGCTGATAACCAAATCAAGCCAATGCCCCCAGTTCCAACTCACCTCTTCCCCAAAATTGATAATGTCAACATTCACTTTCTCTTTCTTGAGGCGTTTAGCTAGTTTCACCAGCTGGGAAGGAGACAAAAAGTTAAGAAATCTATTCCATATCATGAGGAAAAAAGACTTGCCTCATAGAAGCATACAGAAACCGTGAAATCTGCATCTCTACTCCTCCCCCACGTGATGAGCCCAATGCCTCTGCAGGGCTGTCTTAGGTGCTACAGGACTTCATTCCTAAATGTAGGCTGTGCCAAATATGCTGTCACATGGACTCACATCCTTCTCATTGTCCTCCACGGGGCTTCCCACAAAGGCAATGATGCGCATCTTGTGATTCTTGCCCTGCCGGTGTTTCAGAGCCAGCTTGAAAAGGAAGAGGAAGTTCTCAGTCAACCATAGGAATTACCTAGTTCTTCCCTCTGTCACTCTATTCCTTTTTTTCTTTACAGATTCCATGTACCTCAGATCACTACCATGCTCACACAAGACATAAACCCCTCCCTCTTGCTGTGCCTCTCTGTAGATAAAAAGGGAAGGTTAATTCTCAATTCTAGTATTTTTCCCTTTCATAATCCTAAGTGATCTTGGGACTCATCCCACCATATTCTTTATACTGCAATTTAGCTCCGTTTTAGTTTCTCTCTTCCCCCTCGTTCTGGCTCTAGATCAAGATTTCAGAGGGGAAATGATGTGGGAGGCAGAACCTCAGAGCAGGAGGGACAATCAAAGAGACCCAGTAGGACTCACATGGGCCACGCGGATGCCAGTGCAGAAGGTGATCTTGCCCTTGGGTTGGACAGTGTGGAGCTTGGAGAGGATGCGGCCAGTGTCAGGGGTGAGTGTGGTCAGCACTTCACAGTCACTGGGATGTGGGCAAAGGAACTTCAGTGAGTTCAGATCAGCGTAAGCACCTTTAACTGTCTGACCCGTCTTTTCTTTACAGACCTTGATAATAACCTCTATTCTTCAAAATCAAACTCCTAGAACTTAGTAGATACCAAATACAACAAAGAAAAGGAATTGGTTTATAAGAAATCTGCTCCCTACCTCTCAATGTTTCCTCCTAATTACTCTCATCCTATCTTGCTCTTAGGGTCCTAAGACCTATTTTTTGACCGAAAGCATGTGTAACCAGGTGGGAAGTGTAGGTTTATCAGTTCCTAAAACAAATCACTTTTGTGGTACCAGGATATGTTGACATATGCCTAGAGACTCTGATCCAAAATCACTTTTCATTGACTTTAAAATATACTGTGAAATTTCACCCCAGGACATTTATCTTCATAACTGTATTAAGTCAGATTAACATTTAAAACTGGGCCTGAGGGAATGTAGCTCAGTAGTACAGCACTTGCTAAGCATGCATGAGGCCCTGGCGTTATGCATGCCATGGGTTGCTATTTAAATATGTAGTAAATAGTGAAGAAGACAGTATAGGAAGGTAATGGACAAACACAGCCTCGGGGCAGCCACCTACAACTGTGACATATACCACATAACATGGGAAAACAACCAACCACCTTGCAAGCCCCATTTAACTCTGTCCCACATACTTAGCTAGTGTGATGAGACCCACATTGTTCTCAGGGTTGCTGCGAGTCTTTGAGTGACATACTATGTTGACAGCATCCTGTTGGGCCTGCAGCCGGGTGGGTAAGAAGTCCCCATTCCGCATATACTCGCTGTTGTCCACACTGTCAGATAAGGAATAAAGGAGGAGAAAAACTTCATAGGATTTTTTCTGAAACATTCTCTGTAGTTCCTGGATCCCCTCCACCGCCTCTCTTGTGAGGAGTGCTGTGGTATAGAAGTGGCTCTCAGACTTTGTGGAACTCAATCACCTGAGACTTTTTTTTTTTTTTTTAGTAGAACTAGGGGCTTGAAATCAGGGCTTCACCAAGCAGGTGCTTTATCACTTGAGCCCCACCTCCAGTCCATTTTCCTCTGGTTCTTTTGGAGATGGGATCTCAAGAACTATTTGCCAGGGCTGGCCTGGAACTTTGACCTTTCAGATCTCAGCCTCCCAAGTAGCTAAAATTACAGGTGTGTGAGCCACTGGTGTCCGGCTGAAGCTTTTTTTTTTTTTTAAAGTACAGTACACAGCTGGGCACTGGTGCCTTATGCCTATAATCCTAACTACTCAGGAGGCAGCAATCAGGAGGACTATGATTTGAAGTTAGCCCAGGCAAATAGTTCAAATCACCCTACCTCAAAAATACCTAACACAAAATAGGGCTAGTGGAATGACTCAAATGGTAGAGTGCCTGCCTAGCAAGTGTGAGTTTAAACCCCAGTGTCACAAAAAAAAAAAAAAAGAAACCAAAAGTACAATCTACACATGATCAAGCCTTACCCCCCAGACTTACCCAGAATGACTAGAGGAATTTTTTTTTTTTAAGGAGGAAAAATTCTGATGAGCACCAAAGGCTGCAATCCTCTGATCTGCCACAGTGTTATTAAGCTTTGCCATGGATCAATACTTTAAGTCTGCCATTAAAGGGGAGTACTTGAAATGTAGGAAATGAAGAAAACTTTGAAAATATTTATAAAATAACATACTTGGCAGCACTGAGTGTGGAAAAACACAATGGAATCATGGTTAAATGAGAAACAGCTTTGGCAGCTGAAATGAATGGCAAAAAATGAAGTTTCATTGATTTGGGATCTCACCTTCTAGCCTTGCAACTTTCCACAATCTAAAAGAATCCAAATAATATGAAACACAGGCTTCAGTTTCCCAGAGAATTTTTTTTCCCATTTCTATTAGGATATATTTGTTGTACAGGGGGTATGGGGGGATTCATTGTGACAATTACAAATAGCCTTACATTGTACATTGGTTGGATTGCCTCCACAATCCCCCCTTGCCCCCTGCAAACCCAGGGCCCTCACCCACGCTAGGCAAGTGCTCTACCACTGAGCTATATCCCAGACCTGGAGATCAATCCTTGATACTCCTAAGGCATCTGAGAGCTCTAGCAGTCAAGGATTCTATCTGTGCTAATAGAAGGAAGCAATGCATTAGATGAGATACCTCCTTACTACTGGTAAGCAAAATACAGGCTTGGGGGCAATTTTTTTTTTTACGTTGCTTTGTCTGGCAATAAGCACAAACCAAAAATAGTCAAGAGAGGTAACTAAGAAGTTACTGGATTAGGGTTGGAGGTAATGCTCAAGTAGCAGAGTATCTGCCTAGCCCTGAGAAGTCCTGAGTTGAAGCCCCAGTGCTTTAAAACAAAACAAACAAAAACAGGCATGATGACCCACATCTGTAATCCTAGTTACTCAGAAGGGGTTTGAGACCAACCCAGTTAAAAAGTTTGCCAGACCCCATCTCAACCAATAAAAGTGGATGTGTGACTGTCATCCCTGTTATGCAGGAAGCATAAAGAGGAGGATCACAGCCAAGGTCAGTCCAGGCATAACTGTGAAATCCTGTCTCAAAAATAAAGCAGCCAGGAGCTGCGGTTCAAGCTAGGATAGCTACTTGGGAAGTAGAGATTAGAAAGATCATGGTTTGAGACCACCCCAGGCAAAAATTTCACAAGATTTCATTTCAATGGCTGGTATGGTAGCACATATCTGTCATCCCAGCTATGTGGGAAAGCACAAATAGGAGGATCGCAGTGCAGGCTGATCTGGGCATAAAGCAAGACCCAATCTCAAAAATAAGGAAAGTGCCAAGTGCTGGTGGCTCACGCCTGTAATCCTAGTGCCACCAGCGCCCAGCAGACCGATATTCTTAAATCAATGTCAATGTGTGCAAATGTGCCTCCACTAACCTCAGAACTTTCTCAACAGTCCTCTATGAAAGGGTACAGGGAGAATTCATTCTATTCAGTTTGACATTCATGTTCTTCTACCAGAACTCATGTACCTTTCCAAAAAAAAATCTGGGGGTGTGGCTCAATTATGAGGCCCTGAGTTCAATCCCTAGTAGCACAAAATAAACAAAAAAACCCTACTTAAAACCAACAACTTATATTAAAAGTCACACTAGTGCTGGGCGCCAATGGCTCATGCTTATAATCTAGCTACTCAGGTGGCAGAGATCAGGATCATGGTTCAAAGCAACCCCAGGCAAATAGTTCGAGAGACCGTATCTCAAAAAACACTTAACAAAAATAGGGCTGGTGGAGTGGCTCAAGGTGAAGGCCCTGAGGTCAAGCCCCAGTCCCGGGATTGGACTATATCCTTGTCCCTAACATACCGAGGATTCACACTCCAGCAGCTTTGTATAGTACCTACCCTCATTGATAATGACCTCTCCTCAACACTTGGTCTAAGTCCCTTCAAAGCTTCTCCTTAATTTCTTATTGAGGACTCTCCATGTAGTGCTATGGCATTACAGTGCTTTATAGTTTACAGAGCACCATCATATATATATTTTGCCTACTTATGCTGTAAAACAGGTGGATGTCACTATAATTCCCGGTTGACAGATAAAGAAAATGAAAGATTTAGTAACATTCTCAAGAACACTCAAATGGTAAGTACCTGAAAACACAAATTTTTGTATTCCACATCCTGTTCTGTTTCTATTCTAATATGCACTCTCCAAGAGGTGGCCAGGCTTAGCTAAATTTGAATTTCAAATAAATAACAAGTAACTTGTTAGTGCATATTTGGGACTTATTTATTAAAAATCATTGTTTATCTAAAATTCAAATTTAACTAGGCATCCTGCATTTTATCTGGCAATGCTAATGCTATCCACTCCAAAAAAGAGAGAAAGAAAGAGAAAAGGAGAAAACTCTTAGGTGTCTGCACCTAATTGCTGATTTGTGAGTTTATTTTTCTGTATTATAGTCTATGCTCACAATTAGAAGGAACTCTTGAAATCCTGCAAAAGTTTACGCCCTCAGCGTCTAATACACCTCCTAAAAGATACTCAGTCCCAAAATGAGACTGAGGAGAGCTAGGTCAATGGGTAAAAGCCTTGTCAGGTAGCCCTAATTTAACTCTTGACTTCACCACTTAATTGTGTGACTCTGGGAAGGTCACTTAACATCGCTGAGAAAAAGGAGGGATATTTAGTGAGATCGGGTAAGTTAAATACCCAACACCAGAATAGCCATCATCAGCAACACCACCAACAACAGGTGTTGGCGAGGATGCGGGGAAAAAGGAACCCTCTTACACTGTTGGTGGGAATGTAGACTAGTACAACCACTCTGGAAAAAAATTTGGAGGCTACTTAAAAAGCTGGACATCGATCTACCATTTGATCCAGCAATACCACTCTTGGGGATATACCCAAAAGACTCTTACTCCAGAGGCACCTGCACATGCATGTTTATTGCGGCACTATTCACAATAGCCAAGTTATGGAAACAGCCAAGATGCCCCACCACTGACGAATGGATTAAGAAAATGTGGTATCTATACACAATGGAATTTTATGCAGCCATGAAGAAGAACGAAATGTTATCATTCACTGGTAAATGGATGGAATTGGAGAACATCATTTTGAGTGAGGTTAGCCTGGCTCAAAAAACCAAAAATCGTATGTTCTCCCTCATATGTGGACATTAGATCAAGGGCAAACACAACAAGGGGATTGGACTATGAGCACATGATAAAAGCGAGAGCACACAAGGGAGGGGTGAGGATAGGTAAGACACCTAAAAAACTAGCTAGCATTTGTTGCCCTTAACGCAGAGAAACTAAAGCAGATACCTTAAAGCAACTGAGGCCAATAGGAAAAGGGGACCAGGAACTAGAGAAAAGGTTAGATCAAAAAGAATTAACCTAGAAGGTAACACACGCACAGGAAATCAATGTGAGTCAATGCCCTGTATAGCTATCCTTATCTCAACCAGCAAAAACCCTTGTTCCTTCCTATTATTGCTTATACTCTCTCTACAACAAAATTAGAAATAAGGGCAAAATAGTTTCTGCTGGGTATTGAGGGGGGGGAGAGGGAGGGGGCGGAGTGGGTGGTAAGGGAGGGGGTGGGGGCAGGGGGGAGAAATGAACCAAGCCTTGTATGCACATATGAATAATAAAAGAAAAAAAATACCCAACACCTAGAAAACAATCTCTAAGTGGTTAATTCTGAAGATGATACAGCAGGGAAGGGTAATGGAGTTAGAGAAGAGCTAATGGGGCTGTGTATCTATTATTTTGAGGAGAGGAGAGGGGAGAAAAGTCCGGAAAGCAGGTTGAAGACAGGCCTGGGGCTGGTTAGGAGAAGACACTGGAATAAACACGGCACTAGGGACCGCGGGGCTAGAAGGTGCAACCTGGCCTGTCTCTCCCGGGCCCTGGGATGACTCAGGGAGTCGACCGGCTCCTTTCCTCCAGGCCCCAGTGACACATCTCGTCGGCCAAGACCCCGTCCCCATCTCAAGCCCAGCCGGTCTTTGCGCCACGCAAGCCCCCGACCCAGTCCCGCCCCCACAGACCCCGAGATAGCTCCTCACCAAACCATAGTACTTTCCAACACCATCTTGCCACTTTGCTCTCTCCCACCGGCTCTCCGGAACTACCTAACAACAGACTCTTCCCAATTGGTCTGGCACTCATCACCAATCAGGCCTTGGTGGCGCACGCTGGCCCCGCCTCTATCCTCCGCGCTGCGTTCTGGGAGTTGTAGGCGCAGTCAAAAAACGAAAAGGACGTCTTAGTGGATAGATGGATGCAGAGGGTTACCGCTGTGACAAAAAAAATGAGGGCCTCACTTCCACTTTCCCTGCCATTCTAGTTTCAGCATCATTTAAAAAAAGTGGTGGGATCAATGACATTCTAATTCCGTTTTCCGTAGCACTTTGCTCATCTAATTTCTATAAGCCCTTATACTCTAAAATTTATTCGTATATCTATGTCTAACATTTAATTAGGAGCAGGAAAGACCTTAATCTTTGCAATCCCTAAACCTAATACTGAGCCTGACATATTGTAGGAGTCCAAAAAAGGTTTGTTCAATCATAACTTTAATCACCCAAAGAATTAGAGAAAAACCAATGAACCATTTTCGTTTGTTGGTTTGTTAATCAAGAACAGCATTCAAAGACTGGCGGAATGGCTCAAGTGGCAGTAGCACCTGCCTAGCAAGCGTGAGGCCATGAGTTCACACTTAAGTAACACCCCCCCCCAAAAAAAAATAACATTCAAGCCTGGCGCCAGTGGCTCATGCTTGTAATTCTGACTCCAGAGTAACTAGGGAGTCAGATAGGGAGGCTTGTGTATGGAGGCCAGCCCGGGAGAATAGGTCTGGAGACTCCATCTCCAAAATAACCACAGGTAAAATGGACTGGAGTGTGGCTCAAGCAGTAGAGCTCCAGCTTTACAAGGGCAAAATTCAAAGCTGGGCGTGGTGGGGCACACCTACAATTGAAATCCCAAAACTCAGGAGGTGGAGGCAGGAAGATCTCGAGCTTGAGACCAGCTTGGGTTGCACAGTGAGTTCCAAAGCAGTCTGGACTACACAGTGAGACCTTGTGTCAAAAAAAAAAAAAAATTCAAAGTGCTTTGGGTTAACACCCCGTACACACATACAAATCTCAGATCTCTATTTGAGGAATATTGCAGATATTACCTAGATTTTAGTTTAGATGAGTATGTCCAAAATTTATTCATGCTGGAGGTGTGACTCAAAAGGTAGAGCAAGTGGAAGGTCCCCCAGTACTGCTCCCCACCACCAAAAAAAAATCTTTTAGGCTAGGGACAAGGCTCAAGTGATAGAGTGCCTGCCTAGCAAGTGCAAACCTCAACTAAAAAACTAAAAAAGGTAACTATCATGGCTTGGAATAAAATTTCCGTATCCCTAGAGGGGTAAACAAAAAAATCCATCAATATATTAGTGGAGTAGTTCAAATGGTAGAGCACCTGCCTAGCAAGTGGGAAACCTTGAGTTCAAATCTCAATGCCACAAAAAAAAAAATCTATCAACATAACAGACAGGAAAGGAGAAAAAAAGAAAGCATAGGAGAAAAATTTCAAACTTGGTCAAAAAAAATTTTTTTTTGATGCTGGGATTGAATTTAGGGCCTGTGTGTGCTAAACACATGCTCCTACCTCCAGTCCTCAAAACACATTTTTTTGTGTGTATGTGTGGTACTAGGATTTGAACTTAGGGTTTTACTCTTGCTAGGCAGGTGCTCTACCACTTAAGCCACTCCATCAGCCCTTTTTTATATTGAGTATTTTTGAGATAGGGTCTCAAGAACTATTTGCCCAGAGCTGGCTTTAGACCACCATCTTTCTGATCACAACTGATGTGATTCCTGGGAATGGAAGGGGCCTCTGTGAAAGGTCACTCTCATGCCCCTTGGGGACTTTCAGAGCTAAGGCTCCAGAAGGAGGGTCACCCAGCATCACCCTGAGCTGTGGCCCCCAGGCTCCCAGCTGTGGAGGCCTATGGCTCTGCAACTGCAGGCTTCACCTGGGCTCCAGGATGCTGTTGACTCTTACCAGCTGTTGTATTTGAGATATGTCTCTGACAGACACAGCCCTGTCCTAGAGCCCCATGCTAGAATTACAGGCATGAGCCACTGGCACCTGGCCTCAAAACACTTCTTAAAATGTATAAAAATTATCAAAACCACCCAGCTACAAAATGTAAACTTTATTTTTATTTTCATTTATTAAATTTTTTGATGACACTGGAATTTGAACTCAGGACCTCACATTTGCTAGGCAGGCGCTCTACCACTTGAGCCACTCCACCAGCCCAAAAGTTTAATATGTTGAATTTTTATTAATTAAATTTTTCAAAATGTAATCTGAAACACAATAAACTAAGTGACCATAAAAGGTGAAAATAAAGAGAAAAAATAGATCTGACAGTAGTTACATAATTTCAGAAAATATGTGTGGCTATTACTATTATACAACAGGGCTAGGGATGTAGCACAGTGGTAGAAACACTTGCCTAACATGTGCAACACCTTAGATTCAATCCCTAGCACTGCAAAAACCACTAAAATAAAACAACCTAGGTAAGCCAGGTACACTGATGCCTGTATATAGTTCTAGCCAGGAAGCTGAGGTGGGAGGGGTGCTTAAGCTTGGGATTTTGAAAATAAAGAAATGGGGAAGTGAACTAAACAGAACTTTCTCAAAAGAAGAAATTCTAATGGCCAAAAAATACATGAAAAAATGCTCACCATCTCTAGCAATAAAGGAAATGCAAATTAAAACCACACTAAGATTCCACCTCACCCCTGTTAGAATAGCCATCATTAGCAACACCACAACAACAGGTGTTGCAGGATGCGGGAAAAAGGAACCCTCTTACACTGTTGGTGGGAATGTAACTAGTACAACCACTCTGGAAAAAAATTTGGAGGCTACTTAAAAAGCTAACATTGATCTACCATTGATCCAGCAATACCACTCTTGGGGATATACCCAAAAACTGTGACCAGGTTACTCCAGAGGCACCTGCACACCATGTTTATTGCGCACTATTCACAATAGCCAAGTTATGGAAACAGCCAAGATGCCCCACCACTGACGAATGGATTAAGAAAATGTGGTATTATACACAATGGAATTTTATGCAGCCATGAAGAGACGAAATGTTATCATTCGCTGGTAAATGGATGGAATTGGAGAACATCATTCTGAGTGAGGTTAGCCTGGCCCAAAAGACCAAAAATCATATGTTCTCCCTATGTGGACATTAGATCAAGGGCAAACACAACAAGGGATTGGACTTTGAGCACATGATAAAAGCGAGAGCACACAGGAGGGGTGAGGATAGGTAAGACACCTAAAAAATAGCTAGCATTTGTTGCCCTTAACGCAGAGAAACTAAAGCAGATACCTTAAAAGCAACTGAGGCCAATAGGAAAAGGGGACCAGGAACTAGAGAAAAGGTGAGATCAAAAAGAATTAATCTAGAAGGTAACACACACGCACAGGAAATTAATGTGAGTCAACTCCCTGTATAGCTATCCTTATCTCAACTAGCAAAAACACTTGTTCCTTCCTATTATTGCTTATACTCTCTCTCACAAAATTAGAATAAGGGCAAAATAGTTTCTGCTGGGTATTGAGGGTGGGGGGGAGGGAGGGGGGAGTGGGTGGTAAGGGAGGGGGGGGGGGGGGAAATGACCCAAGCCTTGTATGCACATATGAATAATAAAACAATAAAAAAAAAAAGCTTGGGAGTTTGAGACCAACCTAGGCAAATATTGAGACCCCTGCCTTAAACAAACAAACAACAACAAGAACAAAACACCTAGGGGTTAATATAAACTAAGAAGGCAAAGGGTAGAAAGGAAAAGGGAAGCAAGACAGGATGGAAATGGAGCAGCCCCTTAGTAAGGGCAGCCAGGAGAAAGTAGTATCCCAAGAGTCAAGTAAAGAAAATGTTTCAAGGAGGGATAAAGTGGGAAAGGGGGAATGGAAATATAATGAAGGGGGTAAACTTGTTCAAGGTATACTGTATGCATATATGGAATTATCATAATGAAACCCCCCTTGCATTAATGTACAATTCAAAAATAAAATTAAAACATTCTTAAAGAAGAAAAAAAGGATGAGCTGGGTGCCGGTGGGTCATGCCTGTAATCCTAGCTACTCAGGAGGCAGAGTCAGTAGGATTGCAGATATGTAATCCAGGCTGGTCTCAAATTTACCATCCTCTTGTCTCCAACTCCTTAGTGTTGGAATTACCATCACACCAGTGAGGAATCCATTTTTTTGTCCTAAGAATAATATTACATTTTTTTTTAAAGAGCCCTTATCAGTGCTGGGGATGTACCAGAGGTAGGGTGCTCCCTGAATTTGATCCCCAGCACTACAAAGAGAAAAAAAATGCAGGTTTTAGGGCCAGGGTACACAACTGTAATGCCAGCTATTGTGGAGGCAGAGAAGTAGGAGGATCTAGGTCAGAGGCTAGCTGGGGCTGGGAATCAAGTTCAGTAATAGAGCACTTGCCTAGCATGCTTTGCTAGGCCGTAGGTTCAACCCCCAAAACTGCAAGCGTTCTTATCATCTCTTAAGCTATTATGTTGTAGTTCTTGAGGATGTAAAGCTGTGATGTCTGGGATTTATTTTAATTTAAACCTTTGGAGGTTGAGAGAGAAATGGGGCTGGGTGGAAAGTATAGATTAAACAGATTGGCATTAATGTTGACAATTATCAAAGCTGGGTTATGTGTACCTGAAGGTTTACCACTACTCTACTTTTGAGTTGGGAGTCCACTTAATAAAAGGAAGTAAAAAGAGGGCTGAGAGAGGCTAGCATAAGTGGTAGAGCACTTGCCTAGCAAGCGTGAAGCAAAAATAAAATTAAATTAAAAAGATAACAAGAACAGGAATTAGAATCAGAAAGGTTTTAAAAATAATTTTGTAAGATTTATGACCTGATTTTCATGTCTTTGAAAAACTAAATACCTTTGAAAATAACCAAGGTTAACGTTTAAAACATTAGGCCAAGCTGGATGCCATTGGGTCATGCCTGTAATCCTAGCTACTTAGGAATCAGAGATCAGGAGGATCATGGTTCAAAGCCAGCCTAGGGCAAATAATTCTTGAGATCCTGTCTTGAAAAGCCCCTTCACAAAAAAGGGGCTGGTGGAGTGGCTCAATGTTGTAGGCCCTGAGTTCAAACCCCAATACTGAAAAAAATCAGGCTGGGGTGGGGGAGGTAGCCAAACACATGTAAGTAAACGTAAAAATGATTAAAAAAATTAGGCTAGATGAGAATTTCCAATTTTATTATCCTGTAATTTAGATTTCTCTTTCCGTTACGTAAATTTTAAATTAATGGACTCTACTAGTATCTATGGATTAGAGCAAAGCTGTCAACACCTAGTTGCCACTCACCACTAGAGGGACCCTCTGACTAGAAGGAGTACACTGAAGGGGAGTGACAAGGTCAGAGTAGCAGAAAGACCATTTATTTAAAACACATTCAGTCCAATTCCTATTAAGGAAAAATATTTTCTCTTTATCCAACCTAAACACAAAGCTGAGCCTGTGGGTTGAAGTCAAAATAAAAGCCAAGAATCCTCAATTCTTTTTCCAGTTGTTCTGATAGTTGTTTTTCTTCACTAATGCTTGTTGTCGTTTTCTCTCCAATTGTATCACTATCATCCAGACTCACATCACTTCACATCTTATTACTCTAACCAGTCTGCATTTTCTAGCCATTCTGGCAGAACTTTGTTAACACATTAGTTTTTTTTTTTTTTTTTTTGGTTTGATCAAACCCAGGGCCTCACACAATGCTAACCAAGTACTCTGTCACTGAGCAGTACCTGAATTATTTTGGTCATATCCAAAAATATTCCATGGTTCACCATAGTCTACAGTTTAAAGAAAAAATTCCTCAGCCTAGTAGTTTCCAAAGTTGCCTCTACCTGCACCTATTCCAATATCCTCACCATGATCGTATTCCTTGCTCTCAAAAACAAACCATTCTCATGCGCTACATTCTTGTGCTGAATTGAAACTTTCCCCAACACTTCTAGTCCACAGTAACCTCTAATTTCCTTCCACTTTCATGTTTTGTGCCAGAGAATTTAAAATCCTTAGCTTTATCACATCTGTTATTTTTGTATATATGTAGGCATTTTATTCCTGGACACTGTAAACTCTTGAAGGACAATTAGTTCTTTTGACCTCCAACTACCCTGGGCATAAATATTTGTAAAATGACCTTAACAGGATAGGGAATTATAGTATGAAAAAAATGTTAGCTAGTCATTTCATGCTTAAAATCCCAGCACTGGGGAGGCTGAGGCAAGATATAAGTTCAAGGCCAGTCTGGGTTACAAGTTAGACCTTGTCTCAAAAAAATTTTTTTTAATTAACTTGCTTCTTTAAAGCTTCCCCACCACGTCCATGCCTTAGAATGAGATCCTCACCCACCTTATTGCTTTGTCTAGTTTTCTATCTAAGTAAAGGAGCCTAACACCTCGTAAAAAAGCTAAAGGAAGCATTTATGATTTTTTTGAGTGAAATAAAAACCTAGAGTTAGAAGGGAGTGAGTCTTAGGGCCAACTGACACCAAGGTTGCTTTCCTCACTGTTCCTCTCCTTCCCTCTTCAACCCAAGTAAACTTTGAACTTTGGACCCTCAAATCCTTGACTTAAATTGGTCGCAAACTTAGGCAAGAGACTGTAATAGTCCCACTCCTATTTATCCCCCCCACCTTTTTTTTTTTTTTTTGTAGTACTGGGGTTTGAACTCAGGGCCTCACACTTGCTAGGCAGGTGCTCTACCACTTGAGCCACTCCACCAGCCCTTTGTGATCGCTTTTTTTTTTTTTTTTTTTGAGATAGGGCCTCAAGAACTATTTCCCAGGGGATGGCTTCAATGCCTCCTCAGTAGCTAGGATTGTAGGCATGAGCCTCTAGTACCCGGCTCCTGCTATTTAGTCACAGCTTTTCCTTGTTAAACTGTTAAAACTGTGAGGTGGCTGGAAAGTGGGTAATGAAGCCAGTGCTTAGCTGGAGTTAAGACTGACAGTGGAATGAGGAAAAGTAGAATGGCTACAGCTTTTGTTCATGGCAACATGAATAAAACTGAGGTGGGTGATAGAAAGGGAGGCTGGTGCAGATGGGATATGAAAAAGATCTTAGTGGTAAAGTGTGCATGTGCCTGGTTCAATCCCTAGCACCAAAAAAACAAAACAAGACAAAAAACAAACAAAAGAAATAAAAGATCTAAATAACTGTTCAAAGCTTAATACGTTAAAACCAGGTATTTATTCTTTTATATTGTATTTGCCATTTCTGAACAATACAAAGAAGAGGCAAATAGTAACACTTCATAAAAATGTTGCGTCCCCATTCCTTTCCCTAAGACCCAACCTCCCTCAAATAATCCCTCCCACCCCTTACAGAACTCTGTCCTGAATAAAACACATAAATACATCATAAATAGTAAATTATGAAAAAAAATAGCAAGAACTGTTTTTTCCTTCTTGTAAAAAAGAACATGGCAGCAAAGACAGTCAGCCAAAAACTGGCTGGGGGTGTCTAATATAGACAGTTATGTGGGGTATGGACTAACCTATTATCATCAAGATAGGGTGGGATGGAGAAAGGATAGTGTGAAACTTCATCAGCCTGAGACACAATGCCCCCTTCTTCCCCTGACAAGAGTGGCAGGATCAGATGGATAACCACGACTCTTAAGTGATGGGGAGGAGAAGGCTTATTCAGCCCCCACTTCCAACTTCCCTGTATGAAGAAAGGGGCAGTCCATGTAGCACAGCAATGACCTTACTGAGGCAAAAGTCTGCTGATTTTTAAGAGAATATTCTACAACCTCATACATATGGGCTGCCTGTTAAACAGACACAAATGTCTCCCTCCACCTTAGCTCAACAAAGAGCAGAACACTGTTGGAAAAAAAAGGGAAGAAAGAAGAAACCTCCTTTGGAGAATGGTCTAAAATTCATTTGATAAGTCTTCATATTTAGAAAAACAACCAGAATACATCCTAAATTGCAGTATAGTGCTAATCATGGTCTGGCAGTGAGTAGCATCCTGCCTAAGAAGGGCTCTAACCTCCTAGCCCCATGGTTGCTCCACTGTTTTAACAAAAGGGGTAAAGATGACCCCCATATCCCACTCTCTCCATTCCTTCAGCCTTAAGAAATTCATCAAGAGAGGAGGAGTTAGAGAAGCTGCTGCTGGCAGAACAATTACTGCATTTCTGCTTCACAAACACCAGGGCTCTTCTGGGAGAACCCTATGTATAAATAGGCACCTCTTTGACACTTCTGGAGTTTTGATCTGAAACTGGCTTGAAATTGTGCTGTGTGCTGTTTATTCTTTTCCTACTTTAAGGAAACAAAAACAACAACAACAAAAAAAACAACAACAAAAAAAAGAAAGATAGGGAGATGGTTAAACACCCTTACTCCCCCCAAAAAAAAAACGTTTACAAAAATTACAGGGTTCTTCCTACAAGGACTAGAAGGAAAGAGCTATGGTGAGGATAATATGCCAGCCAGTCTGTCCTGAGGAAATTAAGAGTCCAGCTCCTGGTGAAAGGTAAATCAGGAGGAAGAAAAACCCCTAGTCCAGCAATCCCGAGCATGAAGAACAGGCATTTGAAAAAATTCAACTGTGGAAACCAAGGCTGACCACTTGAAAATTTGTGCCACCCCCAACTCTGGAGAGGTGGAGATGCTGCTGTCCTCAGTTGTCCAAGGCACTAATGTCCATTCAGAGGGAGGGAAAGAAGAGGCTCTTCTTCAGGAATGAGATGGAGAGATCCCCTAGCCTCCAAATTATACTCCTCTTTGATGACTAAGAAGAAAATTCAGCATTCCTGGGGCAAGGGCTGACATCTAGGGATCACAGAGACAGCAGAATCTTGTTTTAGGTCTTCTGAGGTTTGCTGCTCACTAAAAAGGGAAAGAGTGTACAGTTAAGCATGTGGAATACGAGATAAGGAGGTAGGAATGGAATTCGAGATAATTTCAACCTAGCCAGCAAAGTTAAGACATTTTCTTCTATTTTAGCCTCAGCTTCTGAGTATGAAGCACCAAAACCACAAAATTTTTAAAAAGCAAGATTCAGGGGGAATTAAGCCCTCTAATCTTGCCAATTAACTTCTTGCTCCATTCCGTCAGTGATCCATTTTATACCCTTGAAAGCATTTACCTCCCCCATATCCCAGACACTCACATGGGTGAACTCTGACTCTGCAATTTCAAGCTTTTCCAAGGTTGAACTAACAGGAGAAAAAAAGAATGAAGAATTAGAAGATAAAAAGGACTCTCCTTTGCGTTTAAACTTCACACTGCTCCTATGTTTCACTTTCTTCCTTCCCTTCCTCCCTTCAGTGCTGAGGATGGAGCCCAGGGCCTCCTAAGTAAATGCATTCCACCAATGTGCGTCCCCTACCCCCACGCCCAGACCTGCCAGAACAGCGTGATTGTAACTTCTGGAGGCCCAGAAGGCACCTTGCTAAGCCACACCTCAACTCTTGAGCCATGGAAACTGAAGACAATAAATGTGTTGCTTTCAGCTGCTAAATTTTGGGTAATTTGTTATGCAATAGGTTAATACAAATTTTTTGTATGTGGAAGTGAGGTACTGTTATTACAAAAACCTAAAATGTAGGAGTTGAGAGTATAGTGTCAGTGGCAGAGCACTTGCCTAGGTCCTGAGTTCAGTCCCCAACACTTCAATTAAAAAAATTTTTTTTTTAAAAAAGGTAGAGATGGCTTTGGAAGAGGGAGGTAGCTTTGAAGACAGTTTTAATGAAGGATTCAAATATTCTTAATATGCTACCTGTAGAATTTGTTGCCAGTGAAAGCTTAAAGGAAAGTGAGAAAAATCATATAGGAAACTGAAGGAGATCCTTGTAATATAGTGGCACAAAACTTAGCAACAGTGTCATCTGCAGTTATGTGAAAAAGAAGAATATGTGCCTAATGAATTTGGTGATCTAGCTAAGCAGATTTCCAGGCAAAGCCCTCAAAGTTTTACCTGGCTTCTTTTTTTGGGTGTTGGAATTGAACTCGGGGACTCACACATGGGAAACACACTCTCTATCATTGAGCAACACCCCCAACCTCACCACCTACTATAAATTTCCTTTTGAAATTTATAGTAAAATATTAAAAAGAAATAAGGTAAGAATTGTAAAGTAAAAAGAAGCCAGGACTTGAGTATTTTTAGAAACTGTAAACCTCTCCAGAAAGCAATCAATGCTAATATTAAGAAATGGCTCCTGAGCAAGGATCAAATCTAGAGCAAGGCCAAGACAATGTGAGAAGACAAAGCCAAGGAATGACTTAAAAGATTAGGGAGGCTGAGGGTTTAACTTAGTGGCAGAACTTTTGCCTTGCATGCAGGAGGCCCTGGATCCTATCCCCAGAACCACCAAAGAAAACAGAGATTTCAAGTCTCATAGTTCCCCTCAACTGAAAAGCAGGTCTGTAGAAAGCTTAGAGTTTATCAAGAAGATACTTGTGAATATGGCTTTTGTCAAATGCAGTTAATCCCAATGAGATTCACAGAATGGAATTAAAATCTGAGATAATTTTATCAGCAGAAACTGCAAAGGTGGACCAAAAGCAACAGAGATGCAAAAAGAAAAAGATACCATTTGCTGTAACTCCTTCCAAATTCTAGTGTAAAGAAGCTACAAACACATTTTAGCTTTCATGAAAAAGACTTAAGAGGACAAAATCCAAGAGCCATGGAAAATTATTTTTATACTTTGAGATCTAATCAAAGAAACTTCAACATTTCATGGATTTTGTGCCTCCCTCTCCCACTCCCCCTTTTTATGTGGTTCCTGCATTAAAAAAAAAAAGTTTTAGCAAGGATTTATTTTAGTATAACAGGATAAAGCACAGACAAGGGGCTCAGGGAGAGAAAAACAGAGAGAAACATTTCCTGTTCCCCACACAGAAAATGCGAGCAAAGACTCCCCTGCGTTTTTTTTTTTTTTTTTATGGTACTGGGGTTTGAACTCAGGGCCTCATGCTTGTTAGGCAGGCACTCTAGCTAGCATGAGCCACTCTATCAGCCATTCTCTCCTTTTTGACAGGAATGTATACAATGGTTATCTAATGCCTATCCCACCAGTGTATGATGGGTGTATGGGGAAAAGGAACTTGTCTCTGCAGTTTCAAAGGTCCACAGGCTGAGAAGAATTATACTTGAGGACCAGTGCTTAAACAATGCACCTAGAGAGCTCATTCAAACCTGGATCTGACTTGGTCCAAATGCTTTAACTGGTTGACATTTATTGAAGATCTTGGGAGGAAATAAATGTATTCTGCACATGAAAAGATGTCACTTGGGTTAGGGGGCAGACTGGGATAGGTGTCTTTTAAGAAAGCTCCCAATGATTCCTGCTCTAGTATTCATACCCTTGTGTAATTACTTCTTTTGACTGTGGGTTGTATTAATGAATACAATGCAGCACAAGAAATAGCATCCTATCAATTCTGAAATTAGGTTACAAAAAGACTATGGTTTCTGCTTAATCATGTGCCCTCTCTCATACTCTGAGAAGCTAGTTGAAATGTTTTGGGCTGCCCTGTGGAAAGGTCCATGTAACAAAGAACTGAGGGAGTCTCCCAGCCCACAATCAGCAAGAGCTAAGGCTTTCATTTCAGCAATTCACAAGGAACTGAATCATGCCAATACCACATAAGTGAGTTTAGAAGCAAATCCTCCCACTTGAGCTTTCAGATAAGACCCTGAAAGCTACAGGTTGATTGCCACCTCATGAGAAACTTAGAGCCAGAAGACCCAGGTAAGCTACACTTAGATTTCTGACCCACAGAAACTTACTTGTTACAATGCAATAGATATTACACTAGGCAACAAAATTAAATGATCTTATACTGGCCCCCTTTGAGCTCTTAGGAAGGTGATATAGTAAAGAGCACAGACAATCAACACTTGAAAAACAGGAAACTGGATGATCCCCAAGACCTAAAGAGAGAAAAGAGAAGATTATATGGAGAAAGGGGCCAATGAACCAACCTCATATTTAGTATTTGCAAAGGCTCTTCAACTACAGGTGAGAAACTGGGGCCAGGAGCAGGTGAGCCCTCACTGATTTCCTCCAAAGGTGGAGTCTGAGGTAAAACATCAGGACGGCCGAGGTGGACGTCTAAAAAAGAGAAAAGGGAAGAAAATGAATAAATGAAAAAAAAAAGAGAGAGATAATGGAGTTAGGAAAATAAAGGGGAAAATATATAGCAAATTGACTTTGCTGGGTAGAAATGGGGAGTAGAGGTCCTTGCCAAAGAAGATGAGGGCTTGGAAGAGAGGGAAAGAAAGGTGAGTCCAATCACATAGGGACCACCCCAGCCCTGGCGCTGACCTGGCTCCACTTCCGCCTTTGTTGTCACTTGTGCTTTATGTTCCCCAGAGACCGATGACTGGTAAGTAATGCTGGAGTTGCCGCTGGGGCCTGCTCGCCGAGAGAAAGATGAGCCAGACCGAAACTTTTTGGAAGGAGAGGGCTTCACTTCAAAAGGGAAAGAGAAAGCCTACTTAGCACCCACCTCAGAAACCATCACCAAGACATAGACACAAACTGCTTTTGTTCCCAACACACGCCCAAGTTGTTTTTCTGAAGCAAAGGAGGAAGAATGGTTAATGAAAACAAGACAGACTATGAAGTGCTATTCAGAGCACACTGGGTCTCAGTTCACTTCATTTTCGAAAGAAGCAGAAAACCTGAAACAGTGATATATATACACCCTTCTCCCACCCCTCACATGCAATTCTTGATGGTTTTGCTTCAACTGATAATTCCCTCACTCTTTAGTAGCATCCTGAGTAAAACCTAACAAACACGACCCTTTCACTCTACATCGTCTTAACATTTATGCACATAACACTATAATAATTCACAGTTATTTATGTGTTATTCTGAAAACACGAGGATTTTTTCAATGCCCCTTAAGACTATCTGGTATACCTAGGTCCTCTAGGTTACTAAAGGCCTACAGTGGGGGTTGGGGGAGGATAGAATTTGCCAGTGTCAAAAATATGGAAGGTTTGGAAAAAAGAATATTGGCACTTCCAAACTAAGAAAGTTGAGGGAAGAGACTAAGAATGCCTGCTAAGCAGAAATCAGCAATACTTCAATTTTACTGAACTATCGATAACTCCTGACACTTGGACATGATTAGAAAATAAACCACTGGACGGTACTCGTGTATGGATTACACCACCAAAAATATGTGTGTGTGTGGGTGTATTTGTTTTCAATCAAACTAGTTCCCCAGAAATGGCCCCTCACCTCAACAATACATGAAGGGAGAGCCAGAGGGAAAGTAGACACTTGGAAACCACTGGGACAGACAGAATGAATGACATAAGGATGAGAAGCAGCTCTCACAGGATGTTGGTAGAGCAGTAGAGGCCTTTGGCCTTTGCAGTATCCTGACAGAGGTGTCCTGCCCCCCATCTCTTGGGGTAAGGGAGCCAATAAGGGATCATCTGATAGAAGCCACTTACAGGGGATCTTCTTAAACACTGTGTTGCACATGAAGCGCTGGAACCGTTCAGCATAGAAGCCTGGACGATGCACCGATACAGTGTCCTGCAGAGCAAAAAAAGATGACTATAGAATTAAAGAGAGAGGCCCAGTAAGAGGGTCTATAGTCCAAAAGCCATGTTCCCCTACACTGAAACCCTAGCAGAAGGGTAAAACCCAGAAATGAAAAACTATGGAAGAAATAGAGGGGGCCAATCAGAAGTGAGTAGTAAAGCAGAAGTGGGGAGGAAGCCTTTAGCTGACTGCTATACTCACCCCATCATGTACTAGTGCTTTCCAAGAGTGCTCCAACTTCTTAACAAACCTGGCAAGAAAAGTTTGTATCACACACAAGTTTCTGAATGAACACCCTTAAGATTAATTGTTTAGGGGGCTAAAAGAGGCAATAATAATAGAAAGTCTGGGAAAGAAAAAAGCTATGGAAATATATCCACTGTGGTATGTGGTTTTCTAAAGAACAGTGCCAGTTCAGGATGGGCACCAAGGCTGTTTCTAGGTAAGCCAATTATTCCCTCGTAGAAAAATGGCAGTTTACATACCTCTGGAAAATCAAGGATAGGAATGTAACTATAAATGGGCTAGATTGTAGCTTAGTAACAGAATACTTGCCTAGCATGTGTGAGGTTCTGGGTTCAACATCAGCACAACAAACAAAAATAACAATAATAATAATAACAGTGATATGGATTATAAAAGAAAAGCCAAGGGAACAGACAGTCAAGCCTAGGAAAAGCTAGCTAAAATTGGGTAATACTCTGAATCAGTAAATCAAGTATTATCCAGTCCTCATTAGTGCTTGAAATGTTACAGGAACAAAACTGGGGTTACATATTTCTAGCTCTCCCTTTCCACTGCCTTTTAGTTCCATAGACTAATACTTTTTACAGAACACAGTGATCCTCTTCTTTTTCCTCTGTGGAAAGGAAAATGTGCTTCTAGCTGTATCCAAATATGGAGCATGACTCAATTCACAGGTTTTTCACAAAGAGCCAGGCAGATGGCATGTTTCACCCCAGTGCTTCCGAGGACTGGCACAGCTTTCCACAGAAGGTATGTATTATGTTTGGGGAGTTGGTGGGGTAAGGAAGTCATGGAGAGAGACAAAATCAAGGAAGTAAATAAACCATCTAAAAAACAATGAGGTAAACAGCCAGAATGCAACTTACTGTTCTCCCTTCATAAAGAACTTGACTACAAACCCATCTAAGAGAGAAATGTGGGTGGCTATCTGCATCTACTCTGTTTTCTAATTTGTGATCTATTTGTTCCTCACCTGTAAGACTGCAGAATATCAATGATGCCAATATAAAGCAGGAGCCTTTCCCCTTTATTATTCCGGGCAGGGATGCCACCCATGCTGGTGAAGACAGAAATGAAAGAGTTAGAAAATCTGTTGGCTAGCAAGTAGTCTTCTCCTAACCTTGAATCAACTCAGGATACGGGAACAGAGACCTAAACGTATCTGCCTTATCCTCCATAAAATGCAAGAGACTGAGACTGTTTTCTCCAACCCTAAGAATTCCCCTAGAGTATGTATTATAATCGCCTTCTCGCCAATCTACTTGCTATTATGCCTACCCCAGCTCTATCAGAGACTCTAAAAAAATCACTACAATTCAGGAATTTGGGGAATGCCCCCACCAATTAACTCTAAACTTCTTAAGAACACTCATATCTTAATGTGTGCCAATCAAGACATGCTCTTTGTTTTTGGTGGGATGGGTGTTTGAACTTGAGACTCTGCGCTTACAAATCAGGCACTCACAAAGCAGGCCCTCTACTACTTCAGCCACATCTCCGGTCTTGAGAACTATTGGGGCTGCTGTTGAACCTTGATTCTCCTGATCTATGCCTACTGAGTAGCTAAGATCACAGTTATGAGCCACTGGCTCCCAGCTCAAAGATACTCTTCTTGATAGTCATGTTACAGGATACCTAAAAGACGTTTTTGGCATTTCAATAACTACATGTATTAGATAAATCTGCGATGGTAAGAAAGATGCCTTCTCAATGGCTCAAGTGGTAGAGTACTTGCTAGGCAAGCGGAAGGCCCTGAATTCAAACGCCAGTACCACCAAAATAAAAAACAAACAAACAAACAAAAACCCAAAAAGGGTTATTCAATGGTTCTGCAAGCATTAATATTGCTGCCCTACCCAATGAATCAAAGCTTAATTCTTTTTTCAAGAAGCTAGATGCCTTCCTCAAGAAAAAAGTGCTGTGGGCTGCTGGAGTAGCTCAAGGGGTAGAGTGCATGCCTAGCAAGCATGACGCTCCGAGTTCAAACCCTAGTATCACCAAAAAAAAAGAAAAGAAAAAGTGCTGTGAGTATCCCTGGTGCCCCCGAGTCCACTCACTGGTCCTCAGTCTCCATAGTGCCACCCCGTCGTGCCTCGCCCTGAATGGATTCCATGGCTGTGGAATAGAGAGCCTTTTGTGGGGCCGGTCTTCGAGAGTCAAGTGAGTATTGTATTTCACTGCTTAAGGGCTCTCGTTGTGCATGATCTATGTTGTGGATTGACATCAAGAGGCTATAGTCCATTATCTTGAAGCTCTGTAGCACCTAATGGAAAAACAAAAATAAACAGCATACTCTAAGCTTTGGAGGTGTCAGGATTTTTTTCAGGCTCTCATGGTTTTTGTGATCTAATTTAACTTTATAGAGAGCCTCCAAAGATACCCATAGCATCATCCTTTGCTCTTCCTACTCCTTGGTGAAGAATATGTTAACCTCCTCTCATTAGTCTTTTATTTACAACCTCTTTTCTCTCATTTGAGTAATATAATTTATTTTCTCAAGTCCAATTCCACAGATCCTTTCATTCTTTTCTTGAATTTCTTCATGAAAAAAAAAAAAAAACACTAAACTGGGTGCAGCGGCTCCCTCCTCTATTCCTAACTACTCAGGGGAGAACTGTGGTTCAAAGCTAGCAGGAACAAAAAGTCTGCGAGACCCCCATCTCAACCAATAAAAAGCCGGTCCCATAATTCCATCTACAAGAGAAGAATAAAAAAGAGGACTGTGGTCCACTCCAGTCCAAGCACAACTCGAGGCTCTATCTCAAAAATAACCAAAGCAAAAAGGGGCTGAAGGCATGCTCAGGTGGTAAATCACCTGCCTAGCAAGATCTGGGTGCTGGTTGCTCACACCTGCAATCCTAGCTACTTGGGAGGCTAAGATTGGGGGAATCAGGTTGGAGACCAGCCCAGGCAAAAAGTTTGAGAGATCCCATCTCTAAAATAACCAGAGCAAAATGGGCTGGAAGTGTGGCTCAAGTAGTAGAGTGCCTGTTTTGCAAGTACAAAGCCCTGAGTTCAAACCTTAGTCCCACCAAAAACAAACAAAAAAAAAAAGACTTTGAGAAAAACAACCAGATGTAGAAAAATCAGTAGGAAAAGGTGATAAAACCCAAAAGATGCATTAAGAAAATGGGAATGGGAATGCTAAAGAAAATTAGAGGAAGGACTGAGAAGCATTCTCTACTTAGCATCTAGGTGGTCACTGAGGAGAGCAGTTCTACTGAAGTGATCAGAATAAAAGCCAAGACATAGTGAAATGAGGCAGGAATAGAAGATGAGAAAGGAAAAAAGAGAAACAGAAGTATTAGTTAAATGTACTGGAAAATAGTTCTCCTAATTTTAAGAATACAAGTTTAAAAAAAAAAAAAAGAATATAAGTTAGCTTCCCTACATGCAGAAAGAAAATAGCCAGGAGGGGTTGGAGCTAGAGGAAGAAAATGAAGCAAGTGGCCCTGTGTGGTGGTATGGTGGGTGGTATATGCCTCTAATCCCAGCACAGAGAGGCAGATCTGAGCCTCTAAGAGCACTTAGAAGCAAAAGGACTGAGAATTCCAGGCCATCCTGAATTACATAGCAAAACCCTGGCTTAAAAAAAAAAAGAGAGAGGAGAGAAAAAGAGAAAAAGAAAGGAGGATCTAAAGCACAAAGCAGACTTGCTGGGGGGAGGAAGTGGGGAAAGGGTGTAGGAGGGTGAATATAGTGCAAATACTGTGTATACATTTATGTAAATGGAAAAATGAAACCTGTTAAAATTATTCCAGAAAAGGGGGAAGGGGAGATAAAGGAGAATGATGGAGGGGGTGAATTCAAGTATAATATTTTTGGAAGAACTTCTGTAAATGCCACAAAGTACCCCCACTCAGCACAAAACCACCACTAACAACAAAAGACTAACTTGTCATAAGCCAGCAAATTGGGGGAAAAGGAAATTAAGGATTTTTTTTTTTTTTTTTGCAGTACTGGGTCTTGAACTCAGGGCCTTCACCTTGAGCCACTCAACCAGCCCTATTTTTCTGAAGGGTTTTTCAAGATAGGTCTTGAACTATTTGCTTGGGTTGGCTTCGACCCGCAATCCTCCTGATCTCTGCCTCCTGAGTAGCTAGGATTAAGGTGTGAGCCACTGGCACTTGGCAAGGATTTTTAAATGAAGATACACTTATAAAACTGGTGATGGAGGCAGCATAAAGGGATGGCATAGTTTAGAAACTTAGTTTGTTGAGAAACAAAGCTAAAGGGATGGTAGTTAGAAAATGGTTTGAATAAGGGGAAGGCACGGTGGTGCGTGCCAGTAATCCCAGCTACATGGGAGGTAAAGGTAGGAGGATCTCAGTCCCAGGCCAGCCTGAACAAAAATTGACCCTATCTGAGAAACACTAAAAGCAAAAGGACTGAAGGCATGGCTTAAGTGGTAGAGCAAGTCCTGAGTTCAATCCCAGTACTGGATTCAGATGTGCCAAACATCTGAAATCCTTGTTGGGAGGAATGGGAAATGGAATGATGAACAGCACTGAAGGTCCAGATGGAACTGAATAGTATAAACCTGCAGATATGCCAGTACACAGAGTTAAGTGATTTTCTTCAGCAGCACTCAGCTTCCAAAACAGAAATTTGGATTTGGCAGGTAAGACCAAAATCTGAGAAATGATAGTGCTGGTCTGAAAATAAGTAGAAAGTATGACTACACAGGCCAGGCTAGCTACAGAAACAAACAAAGCCCAGGGGGTAGGCAAAGGAGAAGATAAAAATGTAAAGGAATGACAATGAGCTAGTGTAAAAGTTATTTTAAAGTCTAGGATACATAGAGCTAAGGAACAGAGCACTACAAAGCCGTTTTAGTGACTGAGATTTTTGATGTCTTGAGAGAGGAGGAAAATATGGCAAACTCACCAAACAGTCACGCTGCAGGGTTTTACACAGAGCGTTGTACATGTCAGCATCCAAAAAAAGACCATCAGGGATATCTTGTAGGAAGTCCAGGTCTTTAAAGGTGGGGAGAAGCTTCTCTCGTTCTTTTTGAGAAGCCCGCCGTTTATAGGTTGAGCCCTTGAGATCATATTTCATATGCATCTTGACTGACCGTGGCAAGAGATTGTTCATCACCACAATTCTTATGTTTTTGCCACCTGCCTGCACACAGTACAATCCATAGAATTTAGGAAGCAAAGTTCGAGGGTTCTGGTTGAGGTTCTAATGGCACAAAAGTAAGAAACAGCATAGCAAGTTAGCTAATTTTCAGTGAAACTCAAAGGTAAAGGTGGATTCAGGCATAATGTATCTACCTACATCATATTTGTTCAAAATTTCCCAAGATGTCTATCTCAATGATGAGACCACCACCAAGTTCAGCAAAGACTTTCTAATATAGCAATTAGGATCCAAACATATTATGGATGTATTCCATCAGAGGTTTAAGAGAAAACAGAATTAAAAAGGGCTTAAGGGTATACCTCAGTGGTAGAGCGTTTACCTCACATGTACAAGGTTTAGGTTCAATCCCCACCACCACAAACAACAATGAAAAGATCTTAACCCTTAACCCTTATAGTATATTCTTGGGAGTATTATAGGAGGCAAAAAGAGTTCCGTAACATATCCAGAACCTACAAGAGCAATCTGTCAGAGTGAGACTGAATACAGATTATCAGGCAAAATAATCCACCTCGTTCCCCAAATATAAGGTAGACTGAACAGAAATCACCTTGAATCTTGCCTTTGGGTAAAACAATTAAAGTCAAATAACACTTAAAACAGGGCAGAGGTCTGGGGAGTGGCTCAAGTGATACAGTGCCTACCTACCAAGCACAAGGCCATGAGTTCAAACCCCAGTAACACCAAAACCAAACAAAAAGGGATGAAAAACAAAACCCCTCTTAAGGGTAAAGAGGCAAAGAGGTAAAGAGGTAAAAAGCACAAAAAAGGAATGACATGCTTTAGACGAAAGCACTGATACTGTTTTGCCCTGCTGAGGTCAGCCTCCCCAGCCTTGTCCAGGAGTGGACCAGTGTTTTTCTCCTCCTTACCATGTAGTATCCTGGAAGCAACTTCTGCAGAAACTCTGCTTCTTTATGCTGGACTGTCTTGATGATGAATTCATCATCACTGGACACGTAGAAAAGGGAACCACTAGCTCCCGAGTTGCAGAGTTCGATCAGTGGCTCATTGCAAAGGGAATACTGAGGCCAAGATAGAACAGTATATTCAGACATACCAGAGCCTGCCCAACACAGAAATCAAGTACACATGCACCTCTGTTCTAAAGAAAAACAAGAAAGAGGGAGTCTTCCTTTGGGAATATCTCTCTGACCCTGGAGTCACAGAGTTCTGAGATCAGAAGCTTACCAAGTAATCATCAGGTCGGATGCCAAATAGTTCCCGAAAGTAACGGAAGGCAACAGGTGCATAGGTCTTGAAACGAAAGTCACTGTAATGATGAGCAGGGGTCAGGTTGCTCCCTTCACTGTGGGGTTAAATAGAAGAAGCATTAACTCTCAGTCCCTGTCATTCAGGGAGTCCACCCTGGAAAGACACTCATAGGGAGGTCAAAACATCCTCCTTAAAGAATCAGAGGCATAAGATGAGTTAGTAACTCAGTGGGACAAAGGCATAATATGGGGAATAAGACACAGAAGTCACACTGCCTCCTAGCCAATGCATCAAATTGGTTTTTTTACAGGTCACCCCATAGGCCAGAGGCTAGAGGACACCCATAGGGTAGAGGACAGTATCTGTTCCATGAATTTTCCAGTCCCATTCACCCTGATTACAACCAGGCTAAGGATGAGAGACATGCTTAAATTAACCTGGAACTCTTAAAATTTCCCTGAGATTTTGAAAAAGCCCTATTTTCTAGAACATTTCCCTAAATATTAATTAATGTACCTGGGGAAGAATATACTCTCTACCACGTAGAAGTCTTGCATGAGGACATCCCGCTCTGGTTTGGTACTCAGGCTACCCACAGTGTGAGTAATGCCTAACTGGATGGCACCTTTCAAGGCTGATGAGGTTGTCTAAGAAAAGAAACGACAGCAAAATTTCAAGTGTTAAGTCTAACTATAGCAATAAAAACTCAGGAGGAAACCAGACGTGGTGGTGCATGCCTATAATCCCAGCTCTTGGGAGGCTGAGGAGGAATGAATTTGAGGCCATCCCAGACTACATAGTGAAACCCTGTCTCAAAAAACCAAAACCAGGACTGGGAGTGTGGCTTAAATGATAGAGCACTTGCCTAGCAAATGCAAGGCCTGAGTTTAACCCCGGTAGCCAAAACAAAAACCAAACAACAACAACAACAAAAAACAGAACAAAACAAAACTCCGAAGTCAGCAGGAACACTTGAAAGCAAATGCCCTTCCAGTTATTCAGACTAAACTGGGGTATGCTAGTGCTTTACATTGCACAGATTAGAAGGACAGTGAAGATAGTGGGTAGTCAAGGTGGAGCCATCTAAGCCAGTCTGGGTTATGCAAGCTGTTCCCCCCACCCCCATCAGCATGCTCAAATAGAGTTCCATATCTTCACCTAGAAGACAGACTGCACTGACAGGATAATCTTAGGTCTCCCTTGAAGGTTCTACCCCTAGAATATCTGGGCCCTCCAAACGTTAATTCATCTGAGAAAGAATGTAACTAAAATTAACCAAAATTCTGATTTGACTATCTAGTTACAAAAGTTTCTGTCCTCTAAAGAAGGGCCTGAGGCTGGAGGAGTGGCTCAAGCAGTAAGAGCACCTGCCTACCAAGCTTGAGGCTCTGAGTCTAAACCATAGAACCACTCCAAAAAACAAAGATTAGAAGTTCATCTTTATATCTCAATGCTCAGTACATAAAAAGCTCAGTAACTGTCTGTTGAATTGAGATGAGCCTCAGAGACAGACTGGTTCCTGACTAAGAATATGAGTCAGACCATCTCTGCTACTTGGGACAATGAAATTAAGGCAGACGCCAGGTGCAGGTGGCTCACACCTGTAATCCTAGCTACTCAGGAGGCAGAGGCCAGGAGGATCGTGGTTCAAAGGCAAATAGCTTGAGACACCCTATCTTGAAAAAACCCATCACAAAAAGAGTGGCTGCTCAAGGTGAAGACACTGAGTTCAAGCCCCAGTACCACAAAAAAAAAAAAAAGAAAAGGAAATGAAGGCAGAGGACACAAAATTTACATGGGTCAGAATCAAGACTCCAAGAAATCTTTTTCACACACTGTTACCAGGCAAGATATAGATGCTAAAACAGTCCCTTTGGAAGTCTAAGCCTCTCAAAAGAACTCTAAAACTGGAGAACTGGAGGGAGGAAGGGGAAAGAGATAGAGGAGAACAGGACAAAACATAAATCAAAAAAGACAGAATATCTTCAGGAAACATGGATCCCTGTGGCAAAGTAAAAATGGCCCTTAGCTAGCTACATGTTTATACCTACAAGTGAAACCCAGTTTCTTCAGCTCAGTGAAATAGCAACCAACTTTAGTTTTGTTCATTAAAAACATTCTGGTGCTGGGGCCATGGCTCAAGTGGTAGAGTGCCTGCCTAGCAAGCATAAGACTTGGAGTTCAAACCCCAGTACCACTCGCCACCATCCCTGGTATAGTGCTGAGTTCAATCCCCAGCACCACAGAAGATAAAGAACGAACACTCTCAGCTAAACACACATATACAGATAGAAAACAATTATGTGAAATAAATTCTGAAATCCAAGTTGTATGGTGACTATTGTCAAAGTTTTAGGACATTAAGAAATGGGAAAGTACCTCCAAAAAAGTATCAAAAGGACAGTGCTATTCCAGCTGAGTTACCAAAGTAAGATGAGAGGGTTCCACTCAGACCTACCTTTTTTTTTTACATTGGGTGGGACTGGGGGTTTGAACTCAGGGATCTGAACTTGCAAAGCAGGTTCTAGTCTATTTTGCTCTGCTTATTTTGGAGATAGGGGTCTCACGAACTACTTGCACAGGCTGGCCTCAAACCATGATCCTCCTGATTTTAGCCTCCCAAGCAGTAAGGACTATAGGCTAGAGTCACTGATGCCAGGCCAGACCTACCTTTTTATATGTTGTCTCTCCTGAAGAATCAACACCTCTGTGACCTATTTTCTTGACGGGCATGCCAGAGGCATAAGGCACCTAGAAGAGAAAAATTAAGATTAATATATGATTCTCATGTAATACAACAGCTAGAGCAACAGTTTATCAAACCATAAAACTATTTTAACACCTTTGAACAATGATTATATACTTAAAAAGATGAACAGGAATGTAAAACAGGTCTGTTAGGGGGTGGGTACTAGCAAGAAGTGGAAGGGTGAATGGACAGGATGAATATGGTTGATGTACTTTATATGCTTGTATGAAAATAGAACAATGAAACCTGTTGAAATCCTTTAATATGGGGATGAACCTAACCAGGGTACACTGTAAGCAGATATGGAAATGTTACAATGAAACCCCTCCTATACAACTAATACATGCTAAAAGAAATGTTAAAAAAAAAAAAAAAATCTGGCCAGTCTGGGCAAATAGTTCTCAAGACCCTACCCCAAAAATATGCAACACAAAAACAAGCTGGCAGAGTGGATCAAGTAGTAGAGCAGGCCTACCAAGCAAGCATGAGGCCAAGTTCAAACCCCAGTACCACAAAAAAAAAAAAAAAAAAAAAAACTTCATGAAAACATAGCCACTGTGTTGCTGCCCAATGTGTTAACTGGCTAAAAGATCACTAAAGAAAATTTCAAAGGGCATATATTTCACCTTTGATTAAAAAAAAAAAAAAAAAAAAGCTAATAAGCCAGAAGGCAAACACCAGTGGAAACAGGATGAAATGATCTTTTTTTTTTATTTTTTGGTACTGGTGTTTGAACTCAAGGTCTTGTGCTTCATAAGCAAGCACTCTATCACTTGAGCCACACTGCCAGCCCAGGATGTCATACTCTTAAGACCTGATATTCAAGTTCTACTCTTCTTGTCAAGGCCCTTAGTACCAGAAAACCCACAGTAGATCATCTGACAGATTTTAGAAAGCATTCTGAGTTATGTCCAGCATTCTGAGGCCTCTGACTAAAATGCAAGAATGAAAAAGAAGTGAGAGATGGGGTACGGAAACTCCATGGAGGGAGAAAGCAAAGCAAACTAAAGATACTCTGCACAGGGGAAAAAAAAATCTTGGAAATTAATAGGCTCCCTGTTACCAAAAGGAGTTCTAAGAAGTTCTTCCTATGCACTAAAGGTATGCAAATAGCAGTCAGTAACAGCAAAATAAGGGTGAGCTTTAATGTTGGGCTGCCTGGTTTTGAATCCCAGCCTTATTAATCCCACTTATTAATTAGTACAAACTTGGGCAATTTATAGAACTTCTAATCCTCACTTTTTTATCTAATTGAGATCACTTTCAGGATTAAATAAAAATATCTATAAAGCGCATTTAGATGCAGTATTAACTCTTGGCTATACATTGTATTTGTTACATTAAGAAAAGCTCAGCCGGGTGCTGGTGGTTCATGCCTATAATCCTAGCTACTCTGGAGACAGAGATCAGGAGGACCACGGTTCAAAACCAGCCTGGGCAAAGAGTTCAAGACACCCAATTCTGAAAATACTCAACACAAAAAGGGCTTGGTGGAGTGGCTCAAGTGGTAGGGTGCCTGCCTAGCAAGTGTGAAGCCCTGAGTTCAAAAACAAAAATACCAAACAAAAAAGGGCTGGCAGAGTGTAAGTGATAGACTGCCTGCCCAGCAAATGTGAAGCCCTGGGTTCAAACCCCAGCATCACCAACAAAACAAAAACTCAATAAATGTGAGATATTGTTAATATTCATAATAAATAAAGTCTAAGAAAAGTAGAGTTGTATGATTTCTAGACTACTATAGATACAAGAACAACTATCTATCAAGGGCAGTGGTGAAGCACTTGCCTAGCATAAAGCCTTGGGTTTGGTCCCAAATACAACACCAAAAACCCTGTCTAGGTTTTCAAGACTTAGGCAGAGAGAAAACGAAGATACCATAAACAAGTATCTTCCTACACCAGGATTAAGGTTTTAGTGGTTACTGTATCAATATGAAACCCACCTCAGATGCCACAGGTCTCTTGACTCCAGATGATGCTGCATTAAAAACAAACAAACAAACTTAAGTGTATACACACACTCTTACATAATCTCTATCAAGAATCAAGGTTTGAGTCAAACTAAACCTGACCATAGGCTCCTGCCTCTTATTCACTGATACCAGATCCTTTTGAATAGCACTTTTAAATATCCCTTCCTCTTCCACCCTCACAAAGGCCTTATACACATCTTATACACATTCTTTTTCTAGCCAACTTTCTAACTCATGTATCACATTTCCTCTGGGAAACAACTGTTCCCAATACATTTAACCATGGTCGGGCTGGAGGTGTGGCTCGAGTGACAGAGCACCTGCCTAACAAGAGTGAGGCCATGAGTTCAAATCCCATGATTGCCAAAAAAAAAAAAAAAAGAGTCAGATGGTCTCATTTGATACCATGGTTAAAATAGGCATTCTAAGAGATACCCAAAACTCACTAGTGACCTTAGGCTTGACAAATAATTTTTTATTTTCTTCTTTTAGAGACTATATAGCCCAAGCTAGCCTCCATCTGACAATCTTCCTGCCTCACCTTCCCAAGTGTTGAGTGTGTCCTCAAAGAATAAGAACTTTTAGAACATATCTATGGTGTTTTCCTCCTACATTAATTATTTCAGAAGGTAAAGAGTTGGTCTATGGCAATGAGGAAGGTAAGAATGAGAAAATGTCAAAATAATAAAGAAGCATTTGGTTTCGGCAGAAACTGAGTCTGCATTCCCATATCCTCACCTTGATTTCTGCTGTGAACAGGAGTTTGTTGGTGTTTAAAGTTTATTTGTAGCTAGGCATGGGGGCACAGGCAAGGAAGGGAGGAAGGGAGGGAAGAAGAGAGGGAGGAAGGTTGGTTAAACCCTTTACATCTTACACCCTTTCAACTGAGAACCAAAATCCTGAGCTACAGGTACTGGTGGTGTAGTTCAAGTGGTAGAGTACCTGCCTAGCAAGTACAAAGCCCTGGATTCAAATCTCAGCACCATTAAAAAAAAAAAAAAAGATTACCCAACCAGCCAGGAGTGGTAGCATATGCCTGTAATTCCAGAACTCAGGAGGCAGATGCAGGAAGATCTCTAGTTTGAGGTGAGGCCAGCTTGGTCTAATAGTGAGTTCTAGGTCAGCCTGGGTTTTAAAGACCATGTCTTTAAAAAAAAAAAAAGGAAGAAAATAGGAAAAAAAATTCAAAAGACTGGATTCATGTTGCATCAGGTAAATTATTCTCTGTATTTAACTTAAAAGATGGTTTATGTAAATATTAAATGAGATAAGCTGGGCACAGTGAAGTGTGCCTATAGTCCCAAGTACATGAGAGGCTGAGATAGGAAAATTACTTAAGTACAAGAGTTCCCAGCCAGCTGGGCAACACAGTGCCACCTTATCTCAAAAAAGATTAAATGAGATAAGCCAAATCAAACCACTTTATGGACTATAAAATGCCAAATATGTTGTTAAATGGGATTTTTAATGCAAGAGCAAAGAGGGCTTATAGCAAGGTTTAATGTTTAATTACCTAATCCCTTAGTTGCTCAGTTGCCCTGTCCCCCAACATACCCACATGCATCTGTGATTTTTTTTTTTTTTTTGAGACAGGGTCTTGCTATATGGCCCAGGTTGGCATGGAACTCACAATCCTCTTGCCTCTGCCTCTAGAGTGCTGGGATTACAAACGTGCACCATCATGCCCAGGGAATAAACTTTCGTTCTTTTTTTCTTTTTTTTTTTTTTTTTTTTTGCAAAGCAGGCACTCTACTTCTTGAGCCACGCCTCCAACCCATTTTGTTCTGGGTTATTTTGGAGATGAGGTCTTACAAAGTATTTGCCCAAGCTGGCCTCAAACCACGATCCTCAGCCTCTGGTACATCAGTGATTTTTTTTTTTTTTTTTTTTTGCGGTACTGGGGCTTGAACTCAGGTGCCTACACCTTGAGCCACTCCCCTTTTACGTGATGGGTTTTTTCAAGATAGGGTTGCCTGGGCTGGCTTCGAACCATGATCCTCCTGACCTCTGCCTCCTGAGTAGATAGGATTACAGGTGTGGGCCACAAGTTGCCCCGCTTTTTAGACTTTTTTGTTGTTGTTGTTGTTGTGCTGGGGGTATACTGTGACATTTACCAAAGTTCTTACATTATATCATAGTTGAATTCAACCCTCCATTATTTTTCTTTATCCCTCTCCTCCCATTCCTAGAATAGTATCAACATAAATCAGTGATTCTTAATGAAAAAAATCAGTATATTTTCAACTGAGAAGACAAACATTGATTCTTCTGGACTCCTTTGTTATTATTTGACCTGTCCCTTCCTGTTTTACCCCCAGAAAGAGGGGTTTAGAAGAACTAAGAAGAGCCAGCATCAAGTCCTAATCTGGCAGCATCATTTAGCAAATAAACTCTTATGTACATATATATAAATGTGTATATATTTACATACACTCACACACACACACACACACACACACGTCACTGATTAGGGGAGGGAGTATAGGTCAGTGCTAAAATACATGTATGTACAAGCCCCTGAGTCCAATTTCTAGCACTCCCCCCCCAAAAAAAAGGCACTGAACAAAGTTAAACAATGGAGAAAAAAGAGATAAATGATTTTTCAAGGCAATAATTAAGTACAAGACTTTCTTCCTAACAAGCTCTACTTTGCTAATTTTCCTAGCTTTATCATTCAACCATGTAGTTCTGTAACTGCTACACTCCTGCAAAATACTTGGAATGAGGATGGGAGGAATTCTTTCAGTGCAGTTTTGATGTCAATTGCTTAGTTATATGCAATGGAACATTATGATCAAACCCAAAAGCATTACAGCTGAAGTAGGAAGAAAGATATGGGATCTAAATAATATTCAAAACAAGTGACACAGAGGGGGAATCCAGGACACAAAACTTACTTTCCTCTTTACCAGATCAGAGATCCAAACTACCAAAGGGCAAGGAAAAGAAATATACCCAGAGAACTTTACCAATGTTGCTGCAACATCCAACTTGGTCCAGAAACCCAGTGAAGATCACAAGTAACAATACAAGGAACCAGATAACACTTGACCACTTGGCTTAAGAGTCTGCTAGTGAGAAATCATCTACTGAGGAAGTCAATGAAACTGAAGGGTCACCAGCACTGCACATTATAATCAAGCCTTCCCTTTTGTAAGCATAGAAGTTGGGGGGTAGAGAGGGAAGAAGGAAGGGAACAAATAAAAGAAAAAAAGGGAAAAGAAAACCAGTTCAGTATGGCAACACTTGACGGTAATGTTACTCAGACAATTTTTACTGAGAATAAGAGTCATTTCCATGGATAAGACTAGAGTATTGCTCAACAGAAAAACTGTTTCCTAGCGTTTGTTTAAATCCCCTAAGTGGCTGGTGGAGTGGTTCAAGTGGTAGAGCTCCTGCCTAGCACGTGTGAGGCTCTGAGTTCAAACCAGTGCCAAAAAAAAGCTAAATATCCTAAATACATAATCATTTTATAACCTATGTCTGTGCTCCATATGTATCAACATCTTTCTGGATGGAGAAACTGAATATAAGGAAGAAATCCAATACTAAAATTTACTTTTCTTTAAAAGAAAAATTTTTCTTTTTCTTTTTGGCAGCACTGGGGTTTGAACTCAAGGTATCGTGCTTGCTAGGCAAGTGCTCTTACCACTTGAGTCACTACACCAGCCCTAGGAAAGTTTTTCTTCTGAAGATTTTGGGTCTTACACTTCCCCATCTAAGCCTAAACTCTGATCACGATTCAAACACCTACATTACTGTCAGACCATACTTGGAAATACTGCATATGCTACACTAGAGAGCATTTTACCCAAGGGTGGTTATAATAGGCTCCTGACTTGGCTGTAAATGCTATAGTCAGTCCTAGGCTGGCTGGTCCTCATTGGCTTAATTTTCTTTTTATTTATTTTTCTGTGTGCTAGGGATTGAACCCAGGGCCTTGCATGCTAAACACATCTCTACCACTGAGATGCACACTCAACTCCTTCTCTGGCTCAATTTTAACACACCTTAGCCCCAGTTCAATGTTGCACTTAGGTATCAATGCATTCTTAACACTGACTGTAACACTAAACTATAACGCTGATACATTTTTAGAAAGGTTATTTCTCTTGTGACCAAATCATTTATATAGGTGTAATACTCTAAAAGCTTAAGAATATTTCTCACCTGGCCCTTAAAACAATACAACAAGAATGGGAACTATTTAAGGACTTAGAAATGCATCTACCAAATAAAATGTGTGAAACTTATTTGGATGCTAATTAGGAAAAAACAACAACTATAAAAAGACTTCTGAGGGGCAATCTAACCAATGTACAATATAAGCCTATTTGGAATTGTCACCTGCACAAATATATTCTAATAAATACCCCCTGCACAAATATATTTTAATAAAAATGAGAAAAAAAAAAGACTTCTGAGACAGAAGCCTTGAGAGGAGAAATTAAATAGTATCACTTTTTACAGTGCTAAAGAACAAAGCCAGGGCCTTGTGCATACCAGGCAAGTACTCTACCATTGAGCTATATTCTTAGTCCCAATTATTGTTTTTTGTTTTGTTTTGTTGCTGCAGTTCTAGGGACTGAACCCAAGGCCTCACAATTGCTCAGCACATGCTTACCACTTGAGCTATGTCCCCACCCCTCAATTATTATTAATTTTATAGACATGACCACAATACTGTGGTTGTGTTACAACCCCACATTCTCCTCCCCCCACAAAAAACCCTCCTTATTCAGAAATATATCCTGAAGTATTTATTGATGAAATGATTAGAGAATTTAGCTTATTGAAGATATTCCAAATGGGGTGGAGATATAGCTTAGTCAAAAAGCACTTGCCTACATATGAGTCCCTGAATTCAGTTCCCAGTGCTGCAATAAGTAAATAAACAAAATATTCCAGAGGTGGATGTAGGGGAATAGGGAAATAGTCAACAAAATTGGCAAAATGTTGCTGTTGAAGCTAGTGATGGTTATATGGAGGTTCACTACACTATTCTACTACTTTGTGTATATCTGAGAAATTATATAAAAATGAAAAAAAAGCCACAGAAGAAAATAAAGCAAGTCTAGGAAAATCAAACTGATTCATCTGAGCTTTACTCAGGTCAAGGCAAGCATCAAGAATGAAGTTCTAAAACTGAAATTGTTTTTATAGTACACTAACTTCTCAATTCATTTCTATAATATTTGTTTCCTTCATAACTATGGGACTTCTACTTTATTAACAGACTCTGAACCAAGAAGCATTCTAAACAATGAGATAATGTTGCTTTGTTGGAGCAAAAATATCAAAACAAAATGCTCCGCTTTAAAAAAAAAAAAAAAGCGCCTGGTGGCTCATGCTTGTAATCCTAGCTACACAGGAGGCAGAAATCAGGAGGATGGAAGTTTGAAAGCAGCCCTGGGCAAATATTCGAGAGACCCTATCTCAGAAATGCCCAACACACAAAAAAACAGGGCCAGGGCTAGGGGAGTAGCTCAAGTGGAAGGGCAAGTGTGAGGCCCAAAGTTTAAATCCCAGTACCACACATACAAAAAAAGTTCAAATAACATTTTAAATGGGTCAGTAGACCAGGTAGGTCTAACCTCCATAATTTACAGCCCCAGATCCCCTGTAGAAAGAATTTAAAAGATTAAAAGGGTTTAGGAAATTTTTAAATTTTGGCCAAGGCATGCTCTGTTTGGCTGAACTCTATAGCTGTTAGTGAAAGCTGTTTATGAAGGCTGTTTTCTAAGTAGAGCAGTTGAGAACTAAGCTCCTCTAGCCACAAATGAAGCTACCTGGCCATTTTTAAGCTGACAAATCAATAACCATTATATTAAGGAAAAAATCATTCAGGAAAGGGTCTTTGAGGTTGGGTACCAGTGGCTCATGCCAGCAGTCCTAGTTACTCAAGAAGCAAAGATTAGGAGGATGGAGATTCAAAGTCAGTTTGGGCAAATAGTTCTGGAGATCTTAGACCCTATCTTGAAAGATCCCATTCACAAAAAAGGGCTGATGGAGTAGCTCAAGGTGTAGGCCCTGAGTTCAAACCCCAGTACTGCAAAAAATAAAAGGGTCTTTGAGCTGAACATGGTGGTTCACATCTATAATCCCAGGGGAAGGAAGAGCAGGGAAGAGAAGTATGAAAGTTCTTCCTTTCTACTTTTTTTTTTTTAAATACATATAAGAGTATAGAGGAACAGCAAGTTTAAAGGGTATGCTCAAAATCACAGAGCAAAGGCAGTGACAGAACCATAACTGGAACCCACATTCCTGACCTTCAATTCAACTTTTTTCTAAAATACTAAGGGAACTAAAATGCTCTAAAACACACCAAGTAAATCCCAGATTAGTAATGGATAATACAATCACATTATTTTCTTCCTTTAAGGCACTCCTCTCCTAGGGACAAGGAAATCTAGCCTTTATTTTCATTGACAGAGGAATTAAGAATACAGTCCTCCTCCTTCAGTCCCTCTCAATAAAATAACACTCAGTTCCTCTGGCAGGAGGCATCAATGTCCCTGGCAAAAAATAGTAGGAAATGACCTTTCATTTCTTTTAAGTGAGATTGTCCTTGTCTCAATCAAACAATGTTAATATACCAGAGGAGCAGAAACTGTCTTTCAAGTTTAATACTTTATTTACTTAAAAGAGTACTTTCATAGTTTTATAGGTGTTAAGGTCCTAGTAATAAAAAAATACTTTTTTTTTTTTTTTTGAGATGGGGTCTTGCTTTGTTGCCCAGGCTGGTCTTACACATGTTGGGCTTAGTCCCCTGAGTAGCTGGGACTACAGGCAGGAAGTAACATACCTAGCTCAGAAAGAATCATTTTATCTTTCAATTAAGACAGTAACAATTTTAAGCACTGGTGGCTCACTGCTGTAATCCCAGCTACTTGGAAGGCTGACCTCAGGAGGATCATGGTTTGAGACCAGCCTAGCGACCCCATAGCAAAAAAAAAAAAAAAAAAAATGGACTGGAGGTTTGGTTCAAGCAGTACAGCACCTGCTTTGCAAATGCGAAGCCCTGAGTTCAAACCCCAGTCCCACCAAAAAAAAAAAAGAGTAACAATTTTAACAGGGGGGGAAAGATTCATTACATTTTTCTTTTCAGCGTTTGACTTGATTAAAAGTGTAAGGGCACTTCTAGTCAGGCGAAACAGCACACACTTATAAACGCAGCACTTGGGAGGCAGAGGCAAGAGCACTGCGGAGTTTTTTTTTTGTTTATTTGTTTGTTTGTTTTTCTTCCATATTGGAGTTTGAACTCGGCCTAGCCCTTTTTTGTGTTGGGTTTCTTCGAGATAGGGTCTCACAAACTATTTGCCTAGGCTGGCCCCGAACCTTGATCCTCTTGATCTCTGCCTCCTGAGAAGCTAGGATTACAGGCATGAGCCACCAGCACATGGCTTGTGATGGGGTTTTTTCAAGATAGGTTCTCAAGAACTATTTGCCCAGGCTGGCCTCGAACCTCAATCCTCCTGATCTCTGTATCCTGAATAGCTAGGATTACAGGCCTGAGCCACCAGCGCCTAGCGGGACTGCATGTTTGAGGCCAGCCTAGGCTATAAAGCAAGACCCTGTCTCAAAAAAAAAGAGCACTTGTAATAGATCTAATAGACAAATACAAAAGTGTCTTAGGCATCTTGGAATTGACTATAGGATTGGTTATCAGTCTTTACCAAAAATCCACATTAGTTTCTAAAATAGTTTCTGCTGGGGTATAGTTCAAGCAGTAGAGCACTTGCCTAGCAAGCACAAGGCCCTAGGTTCAATTCCCAGTACCTCAAAAGAAACTGATTTTCCAAAATAGTTTCTGAAAGATTCATAATTCTACATAATATGCACAGAGGGCCTCAGAATTTTGTTGCTTATTAAGAGGGTTATGGTCACAAAAATTAAGTTCCCTTCTATACTTTTCCCTTCTTCACCAAGGACTTCTGGTTCAGACAACAAGTATTTAATCTGGTCTAAAGTCAAGTTAGTTTACATACACAGGGAGACCTGGGGATGTAGCTAAATTGCATAGTGTTTTATTAGCAAGTTCAAGGCCATAGGTTTGGTTCCCAGCATAGTAAAAACAAAACAACAGATTAGCAAGGGTGAGAATCGGAATATGTAGGTCTGAAGACTAGATACAGATTTACTAACTAGGTAGCCTTGGGCAGGTTGGTTAAAACTTCTCTAGGCCTTGGTTACTTCTATAAAATGCAGAACAGGGGCTGAGGTGTAGCTTAGTGATAGTGTGTGGGCTCAGATGAGTGAGGCCTTGGGTTCAATTCCCAGTACCAAAAATAAGTAAATAAATACCATGTGCCTCCAAAGAGTTTTGTAAGAATTAAGTTATGTATAAATTCAACATACAGTAAATAAATACTTTATAAATACTAGCAATTATTATCATTGTGAATTATGAAATCCTACCTACGGGATGGGAAAGGTCAATGGAAATGAGAGGTATAATGGGGAAAAGGAAAGGCTGAGACTAATTTGCTGAAACAAAAGGAACTATGAGAAGATACTTCTACATTAAGATAGTATCTTTTAGCCAGGAGTAGTGGTACAGGACTGTAATCCTTGCTGCTCAGAAGGTAGAGGCAGGAAAATTTCTAGTTCAAGATTGGCCTGGGTAAAGGTACCTGTGAGACCCTGTCTCAAAAAAATTAAAAAAAAAAGTGAAAAAGCTGGAGATGTGTCTCAACTGGTTGAGCTTTTGCCAAGCATATGCAAGGCCCCAGGTTTAATCCCCAGCACACACACAAAAAGGATAGCATCTTTTGCAGAGCTATAGTCAAATAATGCTTTCAAGACATTCATAGCCTTCTCAGAAGACCATGCACTACCACTACAAAAAGTGTGCGATTGTTACAGGGGAGAGGAGCTGGCTGCCAGTTACTGCGAGGAGCTCATGCTTCTTCAGCACAGACACACATCAGATCTACCTCTCTTACGGTTGACCCCACAGCACAGAAAGTTGAAACCTAATGAGGAAAAACAGAAAGTTATCACTTACTTCTGTGTTTCTCCTTGCTTACAGCAGAATAAACATATTAAAAACACACAGGCACATAGTATGGTGCTCAATCTCCATGACCATACAGTGAAATTATTTTTTTTAACTAAGTAAATATCAAAAAGAAAAAAGAAAAAGAAAAGGAACTGGTCTGGCACAAAAATTCCAGTTACAAAACGTGCATTTAAATCATTTCACTCAAGTGAATTCAAATTGGCAGAATTTTTCAGGTATAAGACCTCTCTGCATTTAGGCTTCTGTACAAAGATACACATATAAGGATGTTTACTACAGCATACAATAACTATAAATGAATAGATATAATGGAAAGAACTTAAGTGAACAAAAGGGAATTGGTGTTATAAACCAAAGTACAGTTTAAAATAGAATACATAACCATTTTTTAAATGAATTATGGCTAGCATGTCATAATAAATTGTTAAGGTAAAAAATATACATTTTTTATGAAACTTTTATCTATGAATTCACATGTACTTATATATAAAAGGCTCCCAAAATACGACCATCTGTAGGTGGTGAGAGTAGGTTGATTTTGTAACTTTGTTTCTGTTTTTCCTGAACTACATATTTTTATAACAAATGTTTTAATGTCTGTTATATAACTTGATAATTAAAGAAAAGGGATGCACAGGGATAGCTTTAACCCATAATTCCCAGTATATCACTATTCAACAACCCCCAAACGACCATCACTCCCCACACACATATTAACTCAGGCTCATTAAAATCACATTGTACTGCTGCAAAGAGGAGCTAGATGGAAAAGTGTGAAAAGAAAATGCCTAAAACTCTGCTCACAATCCCAAGATAAAAATAACCATGATCCCAGTACTCCGTATTACTTTGAGATGTCTATACAGCCTCACGCATACCTACAGAAGCACATTTGATAAGAAGTTCTCTCTGAAACTTGATATCCCCCTCAGATTATCAGTATCAATCAGGGATACCTATTTTTGGCATAACTCATGGATGTCAAGACTTGAAAAATACAAACTTTTAAAAAAGTCTTTAAATTATGAAAATAAACTAGGACATCATTACTACTACTGAAATAATTTCAGAATAGCTGAACCAGCCAAGTCAAATGACATAGTGGAGACAGCCCAATCAATTCATGCTAAAATACAAAGCTAAATCATCACACAGTGTCACAGATTTTTCTGAGCAACTCTGTACCATCTTAGGAGAGCATTCTACTTCAGTCCTTAGATTCACCCCATATTGTGTTAGTGGAAGAAAAGGTACTGGAAGGGCTGGCTTCTAGTCACTTGGCAAAATATCACTGTGATTCTCCATAAATTTGCTTGCTACTATTAAACCACTGAAGACCAAAATTCCCTATGGAGAGGAATTAGAAAAATGTAAAAGAGAAAAAAATTCATCAACATAATTCTAAGATGTATGAAAACAGCGAATTTCAGAGGGGGAAAGGAGGTGGCTTTAAAAGAGATAATTTAAACAAAGATATTTTCAGACACAAATAGGTCTGAAATGAGTTGGGTCCCCTCCACCCCACAAGCATGTAGAACAAGAGTTGGCCTTAATAGCAGAGCCTCTCCCTGCACTTTCAGGGCAGAAGCATTTCCGTCAGAGATGACATCATTCACTAGATGAGAAACTAAGAGGCAGTGTGTGACTGACTTCAATGTTTGAAGTACACATATAATTTAGAGATGCTAGAGGCTAGCCGGATGTGCATTCCTTTCAGACAACTAGAGTTTTGCCTGAACAGGTCACAGAGAAGCAATTCCAAAGACTCAACTCAATGATCTGCTACTACATAAATATCAATAATTCCTACATAGAGCAGAAAGAGATAAGTTCTCTTTGTTTGGAAACAAAAACTAACTCTTATAGGACTCTCTTTTGATAAGATTGAGAGCCAGAATTAAAAAAAAAAAAAGCAAAACCCCCTACAACAAAATAAAAAGAAAACAAAGTCAGGACGTGGACAGCAGGACTTGGTGGCCTATAATCCTAGCACTCAGGAGGCAAGGAAGGAAGATCATGAGTTTCAGCAACCTGGATCTACACAGGGAGACTTTGTCTCAAAAAATAAAAACAAAAATTAAAAAGCTGAGTGTGGTGGAGCACACCTATAATTCCAGCTATTTGGGAAGTGGAGGAAGGAGGATCAAGGTCAGAGGTTGGCATGTGCAAAAATGTTAAGTCCTAGGGCTGGGATGTAGCTCAGTGATAGAGCGCTGCCTAGTATGTGCAAGGCCCTGAGTTCCATCCCAGCAGCAAAAAAGAAAAGACAAAAAGAGCTGGGAGAGAGCTTGCCTAACAAGCACAAGGCCCTGATTTCAACCCCAGAATCACACATAACACACACACACACACACACACACACACACACAAATCAACCCAGTTATGTACTGAACTATTTGAAGCAATCTTAGTAATCTCTCTAGGACCTCTGGTCCTAGGTAATGTGGAACACTCAAAGGTATTCTAACTATAACCCTGTAGGTAGGAGGCACAATATGTTCTCCAAATGAAAATACTCAGAAACGTGTCTGAAATGTCAGTATGCATCTGAAGTATTTCCAAGCACATAGCTCTACATGACAATGTTGAAAAAAACAAAAACAAAAAACTGTACCAATGGGTATGGTGACACTTACCTATAAGGAGATTAAGGCAGGAATTCAAGATCAGCCTCTCCAAACACAAAAACTATGGTGGAGTGGCTGAAGTGGTAAAGCACCTGCCTAGCAAGCATGAGTCCCTGAGTTCAACCCCAGTACTGACAAAACAAAACAAAAACAAAAAGCACACATAACTCCGAAAAGCTAAATTTTGTTTCCTGGCAGGTATCCATTTTTCTAAGATCTTCTGGGAGAAAGTTAGAAAAGGCAAGGGTGCACCTAGAAACAAAAGTTCAAAAATATCTACCAGTCCTGGAGGCACTTCAGCTAAAAGTCAAAAGCAGTATAGCAAGAAATGAGCCATAAATCTATTAAAATTCACTGTGAGAACATACAACCATTATGCAACAACTTCACCACTAGTAATTATCTCTCAGATCCTCAATTTCCTAACTTGGAAAATGAGGGGGTTAAATTAAATAAGTGTATTTCCCTCTCATTGAGTTCTGCCTCCAGTTCTACAAGGGCAAATTTTATGTTTCTTAGGCCTCAAATATGTATCCCTTGGCATCAATACTTTGCTTGAAATTATGCAAAATAAAAATCCAAGTCATTCCTTCAAAGACCTGGGTCTTCTGAATAAGCCACCCATAGCTAAGAGGCACTTGAATTTTTGGCAGACTGCCACCTCCCCATTCTATGTCCAAATCTGGCTCTATCTAGCTTGAAAAAACAATGAGTTTTGCTGGATTAGAATGTACATTATTTCAGCAAAAAAAAAGTTTAATGAAGTTTAAAGAACAGCAATTGACAACAATGCACCTCAAGGCAAACCCCCTCTGCCAAAGACATCAGAAATATGATCAAGTTATTTCTCTACCATCAGCTCCATTTTATATAGGTTCTTGTTAATGAGAACTTGAAGTTTACTACATTTGTTTACCTACACTGTACACAGGAAAACTGGTATGTACTCTACTCTAGCTAATTATATGTCCTTAAAAAACCTCTTCCCATTCCTTCCCCACAACTTCCCTTGCTCACCTCCCCATAGCCCACCCTCAACACTCTTTTGAGACGGTGCTTATTCGGAGTTAACTACATAGTGCTCAGTTTATTACTCAAAGAAAATATGATATATTGAACTCCCTACAAGAAACCTGTCCTCCTCCCTTTTTGCCAAAGTCTTCCTCAGATTCTAGAAATGGGGAGATTTTCCAAGAATCAAGTGTTTATAAATTAATTCATATTTTATTCAGCTATTACAAAGAAACAGACTGGAATTTCATAAGAAGAGAAAGACAAATAGCTGGTGACAGTTTAAAAAAAGAAAAGCTTTGAGAAAAAAATTCACTTAAAACAGGAAACAGTAAATGAACAAAAGCTCACAGGAGCTATGAACAGAATGGAGAAAGAACATAAGTGGAAACTAAGAACACCCTCTTTTGATGGGAAAGGGTGGAGAAGTGAGGTGCAAGATGGCAATGTGCAAGGGGTTTCCTAGCCAGGCACTGGTGGCTCACATCTGTAACCCTAGCAATTCAGGAGACAGAGATCAGGAGGATGGTGGTTAGAAGTGAGGCCAGCCAGGGCAAATAGTTTGAGAAATCTTATCTCAAATATCCCATTACAAAAACAGGGCTGGTGGAGTGGCTCAAAGTGTGGGCCCTGAATTCAAATCTCAGCACCATTAAAAAAAAAAAAGAAGGAGCTTCCTCAGTCACGATGGCACAGGCCTATAATACAAGAACTGGGGAGGCTGAGGCAGGATGATCCCAAGTTCAATGTTAGCCTGAGCTACTACACAGCAAGATCTTGCTTCAAAAAAAAGAGGGGAAGGTACCTCTAAGAGAACCAAATGTTGGGCTGGGTTTAGAACACAGAGAAACAGAATTTCCTCTACCCGACTACCAGAAAACAGCATTCTTTTATGCTGAAGTACACTTTAATCCTGAAGCACACTTGTAATTTTGGCACACTACCCAGTAGTGGTGCACCTGTAATCCCAGCACTCTGGGAGGTTGAGGTAGGAGGATGGAGAGTTTGAAGCCAGCTGGGCTACATAGCAAGACCCTGTCTCAAAAAGCAAAAGGGGGACTCAAACAGTAGAGTTCCTGCTTTGCAAGTGCAAAAGCCAAAGAAACAAAAACAAAAGCAAAAACCCCACACCAAGTAGAAGGAAAAGAGGGAAAAAAACCTGATAATACTGGTTGTCTTGTTGCCTTCTTTATGTCAAGTAAGAATACTCCAAAATTCTAGCAGAGAAAATGTCCAACTTAAAGGATAAAATAAAGCTGGACACAGTGGTTCACAGATATAATCCCAACTATTCAGGAGACCAGCCTGGACAACACAGTAAGACCCCATCTCAAAAAAAGAAAGAGGGAAGAGGGCTGGGGACATGGCTCAAGTGGTAGACACTTGCCAAGCAAGAATGAGGCCTTGAGTTAAAACTCCAGTACAGACAAAAAATAAATAAATAAAATAACCACCTTCTCTATTCCCTGGTATTGTCTCTGTTGTTCAATCCACAGGCTATAGTTTTCATTATTTTATCAAAGAAAAACAGGTTAATAAAACATTTAATAGCTATTAGGTAGTATATATTTGAGCAAAGGTATTAATCAGAAGAGTTTCATATCAACCCATGAGTCCACAAGCATCTTCAAGTAAAACATACTATTTGATACACAAAGCTAACTTGTAAGTACACATTACCAATTAATCTCAGATTCCGGAAACCTATAAGACTAGTTAATTATACCTGACACTGGACTTAAGCAGCCATGGCAGAAATAGTTAACCAAAAGCAAAGCATGGTTATGAATATCTATAATCCCAGCTACTAGGAGACTAAGGCAGGAGAATGGCTTGAGTCCAGGAATCTGAGGCCAGCCTGAACAACACAGTGAAACTTATCGAAAACAAAAAAACAATGATACTCTGATGTCAGTTTTCTGGCATTATCTACCAAGGAGACAAAAGAAAAGGGAGGTTACAAACACAACTCTCAATAGTGAAAGCAAACAGAAAAATCTCTCAAGTGGCAGAGTGCCTACCTAGCAAGCATGAGGTCCTGAGTTCAAACCCCAGTATTTGAAAACAAACAGACAAAAAAAACTCTCTCTACTTATAAAATAGTAACCATAAAAGTATTTGTGATATTCTCCCTATACAACATTGTATTTTTTTCATTTTAAATTTTGATTCTGAATGCCAATTAAAGTAGTCTAAATTGCTTTAATTTCACTAGAGTGAAAGAATTAAAGGAAAGGTCAACCCTTTAATGGCTTACAGTTGTATACGATTAGCTTACAGTTGTCTACAAAGAACACAGACAAAATAAAATATCTTGGGCTGATGGGGTGGTTCAAGTGGTAGTGCACCTGCCTAGTAAGTACAAGGCCCTGAGTTCAACTTCCAGTACCAGAGAGGGGAAAAGTCAATAACGCCAACTATTGGAGTTACCAGACTATAGCAGTTTACTGGTGGGGTTCTACAGGGAATAACAAAGCCATCAGAACCATGGATTAATGAAATTGGCCCCACTTTATAAAGGTCTCAAACAAAAATGCTTCAATCCAATATACTCTGGGCTTTCCCTCAAAGGGAGAAAAATCAGGAAAGGAGCTATAAAATTACTCCCAAATCATTTGTGTTCCTGATAAAATCACATGGATGAAGGGTGACTGTTTCAAAACTGTTCTATGAAGCAAAAGCTACTACTGTTCATGATTATCTAAGGTTTCAAGCGCTTTTCCTTGTGAGAGTCAGGTGTGATTTTTATCACACAGCTCTTATTTCAGGGGTGCAGTGTACATCTTAGCATCTTAGCTTGCTTTCTGACCCCTCTACTAACTTCAAATCAAGAACCCAGGAGTGGCTCAACTGTATAGTGCCTAGCAAATAGGAGTTCAAACCCCAGTACAGCACCCCACCCTCCCCCACCCCACCCGCCAAAGAGCCCAAAACAGAAACTCTGTTCTAGTAAAAAGTGGACTTAGTGACTTAAATTTCAAACTACTGATGAAAGTTAAAACTAGAGTTAGGGAAACAAGCTCTCTGAACACTGACTGGGACAGATAGTCACACCATCAACCATACTTCATCAGGACTGATTTTATTAAGTGGTGACATTATCCAAAGAATAACAATGAAGGAAAAAGAAAGGAAGGAATAAATTTTCTTTACACACCACACAGCTGAGACCAGACAGCAAACTGCTTGAACTTTTTATTAACCAAAATGTAAGAACAAGCACATGAGGATGGTTGCTGTAAGATGTATCCATTTATAATTGCCTCCCCCAGATCCAAACATGGGGACTACTCCAATGGGAAAAGATGTTTAACATCTCTTAGAACTTACCCTTTGCTCTACCCTCTGTATTTCACTATCAACAGTATACCAGCTCTAGCTTAATGGTAAAACAATCTAGACAAGGGGTTTATTATTATCAGGGAAAAACTGTTCTAAATAACCTCTTATTCCTAATTTGAGTGCCCAAAGATTTTTGAGTCCCCAAAGCTTATGAATGGCTTGTCTGGAATCATGTCCATCAACATGACATTCTCTGAAACATGACATTCTTATTTTATATTCATTTTCAACACTGCCAGAACTTGTCTTCAGGATTTCAGAGTTTCACCAAAACTTAAGTGGAGTTCAGCTAAACATCTAAGGACAACAAATTGGTTATAGGATGGATGAAACACACCTTGAATTTCTACAAAGCTAGTCTTCTAGCTTTTAACAAGTTAGGAAATGATAAACCTCTGCTTATTCCTTCCAAGCTCCTAATTCTCCTGGTACCATCCAGAGAAGTAGTCTTCTCCAATCACAAAACACTTTCTTCTTAATAGCCTTTCCTGTATCTGAATCAAACATCTTATCCTCTTCAAAAATATATCCTTAAAAGGAAAAATTCTATTAAATTCACTAAGCTCCAACCTAAGTGAGCATACAGAAACACACAAAAAAGTAGACAGGGTCTGTCTGCACACAATAATGCCAAAAAAGTTTTAGGTATACTTATGAACAGTATTTTTCTTAATCCAACTATTTCAGTATGTTTATGCCAAAGGAGAGAAGAGTGTGACAAAGTTAAAAAAGTAATCTAGGACTATTTTTAATTTAAGACATTCTTATACTTTGACTTCACATGATAATAATAAAGTCAAGAACCTGTAAAGTCCACTGAAGCCTAATATTTGACATTCTAGTGAAAGCTGAAAAACATTTATGTACTCTGTATTATTAACTGCTAGCCCTAAGATCTGCCAGAAAACATAAAATCCCAAAAGAATATCAAACAGGTATTAGGATTATCCAAACCAGTAGTAGAGATAGAAGAGGAGGAAGGCGTACCAATAAATGACAAAGAAAAGGTTGAGGGCACCATTCAAGCGCAAGGCTCTGGGACAGCCCCAAAAAAAAAAAAAAGTCAAATGACAAATATTTCCTTGTTACTCCTGAACCTATCTACCTATTTAGCTGGTACTTCCATGAGATAGAAACTGAATCCAATTTTAGGATATAAACACACTACTTTTTAAGAGTAACCTATTTTTTTATTTTGAGTGGTTTTTGTTTTTGTGTTTTGTTTTGTTGACACAGGTTTCCTTGGTAGCTCGGTCTGGCCTTGAGCTTCTTATTTTTAAGTAGTTCAGGCTGGCCTGAAACTCATGATCCTCCTGCCTCAATATCCCAGGCTTGTAGCCACCACCGCACCTGGTCCCTCTAATGCTTTTAGAGGAAAGGCAAAAATTACTTCTCCAAGAAACTAAAGATAAATAAACTGCAGCTTATGAAGAAGAGACCTGTGACTATGTATTGCTTCATTTAATCTGCGACCCTCTATTTAGCCAATTCAAAATGGCAAGGATGCAATCCCAGGTGTAAAGAAGTATCAAAATCTCAAGTAAAGCATCCAACATCTGGTAGCCTCTCCTATTTGCAGTCTAGAGGCAGCAGTCATTGTGGAACACCAGACATTTCTGATACAAGCTCTGGAACAGTTTGTGACGCACCCCCCTCAACACACATTTTCCCTCCTACACACAATCTGTCGCTTTTCTTGTGGGCCTCTTCAGCCCACCCTTCAGCTTCATTAGTTTCTAACTACTCTGCGCTATCTTCCCTGGCTCCATTCCCCAAATTCCAATTTCCTAAGCATTCCTGCAGTCTATTTCCTATTATGCAATATTCCTTCACAGCACTTAGAACCACCCTTCCACCCCTCCATCTTTCTGAGGCCTAACTCCAAATATCGCTACCCACAGAGCAACTCAAAACGCCATTTCATCTCTCCCTCTGTTTTTAGGGTCTTTTGACCTTAATTCCTAACATCCCTTAGACTCTCTCTCTAAAACTTCCCAATGCTTTCCAAAGTTGGGTAACTTTGTAGAGGTGAGAGTCACCAAAAGAGTCTGACAAAGTATGTATGTGTGTGTCTGCGCCCGCGCGGGGGGAGGGGGAGTGGGAAGGAATGACGCATTGGGGGAGTCTCTGAGCAGAAAGACCGCTCCATTAACTCCCACTCCCAACAAATCCACGATTACCTAACCCCCAGCAATCAAAAGCATCCCCTAATTGTTCAATACATTAAGTCCAATACTTTCTGCCATGTTTGATCCCATTAACTCCACAATCAACTAGGACTCTACCTGGCTTTCACATCAAGTAGTTCCTCTCTACCTACCAAGCCTCCTTTTAGTTTCTCTACTCCCTTCTGTTTCTCTTCTGTTTCCTTCCTACCTATAAGACAGTCAACGTTTTCGACAGCTTCCCTTTTCTCAGTCAAATCCATCCTTTCCTCACATGCCCCGGCCCGCTCAGAAATCCCTGCTGTTTCAAAATCCAGCCCTCTATCCTCGTTACCGGCGACCCCTCGGCCATTCCCAACTGCAGGTGCCCTCCCAGGGCTTGCTCTTCCCTCAGTCGCAGAGACTTCACCAAACCACACCCCGCCTGACTTACCCGATGAGATCGAGGTAGTGGAAGGGACCCCGGGATCAAAGGACGAAAACCCGGACGACGACGGCCCAGAGGAGGCCGACGCCATCTTGGCAGCCCCCTCCCCCTCGGCGGACTCGCTCCCTTTCAATCGGGCTCTTCCTCTTCTCGGAATCGAATCTTCTCCACGTCTCTTCACAGAACCCGCGTTCTGCGGGCCACCTTCCCGCCCCGCTCTGGGGCCGCTCTCAGACTCGTCCTGCTGGCTCCCCAACCGGCTCAGGGCCGCACCATTCGCCTGACATGGGGGAGAACTCCTGTCTTGCACTCCCTCCACAACTTTAACCGCTCTCCGCAGAAGCTACCTTACCCTTTCAGAAGAGAGTAGGCTCAAACCGGCTACCAGGACCCCGTGTTGGAGCTAAACCCCACCTGAAGGAAAAACTCGGAGCGGGGAGCCTCCCCCCCCACTCCTCCCTAGCCACAGCCTGTTTATCGCTCAACCCCACAGCTCAGCTCCCGGTGGCCAAGGAAATCCCGGCACTGCGCATGCGTTCGGCCTGCTTCTCAGGGTTCCTTCCACTCAATCTGGAGGAGAGAAACAAAGCCAATCCCCAGGCTGTTCGTGATCACGTGACCCGGGACTCTGACGCGGTAACGAATACACCCGTGCAAGACCTGCGCGCGGCGGTGGGCGGGTCGCCCCTATGGTGGCTCAGTAGGTCAAATTAAAACCGGCTGTTTGAAAGGACTGGTTTTGCTTGCTGTGAACTCAGGATAAGAGCGGGAGCGGGTTCTCTCAATTGACAACCCAGAAAAGAGTTCCGGATCGAAGCGCTGGTGTCAAGACAGCGACGTTAAGCATTTGACTACTACAGAAATATCACATGCCACTAAGAACTCTTCCCTGTACTTTTCCGGTTTTACTGCCTTGTTTACTGTTTAGTTTAATGTGTATGAATGTCTTACCTTCCTCCAAGTGACATTAGAAATAAATCTGTTTTGTTTGTGTCAAACACAGTAGTCGGCACCGTGATGGGGTTCAGCAAATATTTGATAAATGAATCAGTGAAGAACTGTCAGCAATATAACAAGAAAAAATACAAAAGGAAAAAGCAAATTTTAAAGAGATCTGTCAAAAATACTACAGAAGGCAATCAGACCAAAGTCCTTAGTCTCCAGCTGTCAATTGCCTATGCTCCAAGGGCATGGAAATACACAGAGACATTCTCCACATTCTAGTCCAGTCCTGGTGTTAACTCTATTCAGTTTTAACAATGATACCGGAGCTTCGTGAACCCTGTTGAGGATCTGAAGTCTTGTCTCGCTGAACAAACTAAATGGGAGAGCAAAGATTGTGTTTTCTTCACTCTAGTATCTCCAGCTCCTCTCTTGACTGTGTACAGAATAGATGCTCAACAATTATTTGTGGAACGAATTAATGAAGAGAAATGGACAAAATCCAAAATCTTCGGTTTGTAGCTCCTAGGGTTGTTCTAAGTCTGGGACCTGAATGTCCCTAGTATATCCTCCACTCCCTCAAGACCTAAAATAATTGTTTTCTTGCTGCCACCTGCTGGATTATTTGTCCTCCTTTGGGTACCGAAGGTAGATAAACTTCAACCAATTGGATTTCCACTCCTAATTCCACAGCAGTGGAACTGTGTGGTGTTGAAGTATTTTATGATGGCTTACTCCTATATCCCTCACCTGACTAAACAATACAGGACCTAGATAGTGTAGGGTACGGGATTTGGCTCATAGGTATCCAAAAAATAAATATTTGTTGAATAAATTATTATTTCCAGAAAAGGCATGTAGTTGCTACCATTTTCTGAGTTAGTTTAAAAATCACCTGTTCTCCCATGGCTTCAGAAAAACTGAACCAAGGATCCACCTGGGCTTCTCTTCCCCAGCTTTTTGCCCAATACCATATTATTGAAGGACTGACTGAACTTTCAAGTCAACCCTGTCTTTGAGAAAGTTGGAGAACTATGATTGGTCACTTGTCTACAACCTAATCCTCCTCTGGTAGTCTCTGCAGCAGCCACAGCCTTACAGAGCTGGGTTCCTGGCCTCTGCACACTGACTTTCTGGATGGGTAATTTTTTAAGACCATTAACAATGCATCATCTGGGTTTGGGCCAGGAAGTTATCTTTGTGGACTCCGCCTGCATGGCTTAGTAGTTGAAGGAAGTTTTTTGTTTTGTTCTTTATAATTTAGTTTAATCAATAAACACATATTTATTGACTAAAAATGAAAATAAAAAAATAAAAAAGATAAAATCACCTGTTCTCATTAGTACAGTGGTGTAAAAAAAAGAAAAAGAACAATCACCTGAGGTAAAGGTAAAACTTTTTCTAATTTCAAAGTTGAAAATAGAACAATAAATCTCTGAATGATCAAGACAGTCAAACAGGGAATCTTCTCCCTAGGAGCTGATCTGTGAATTTGATTTCAGCCCTACTAAAAAAAGAAATCCCTGTTTTGTATCTTCTTAGGAGTCTTTATTTCATGTACCAGAAAATGATTACTATAGCCACCTTCTATTATGTAAGTTTACCTGTTAGTCTCTGTCATAAGACTGAACTCTTTAGTGCAAAGATTACATCTTATCCATTTTTATATCTCAAGTATCTAGACTAGTACCTGGCACAAAGTAGGTGCCCAGTACATGTCTCTTAAATATACAAATGGATGAAGGAAAAATTCCAAAAGTGGAGTTCAGAGATGGGTATGGTGGTGTGTGTCTGTAGTAGCTGACACATGAGAATTATAAGTTTGAGGCCATCCTGGACAATAAGCAGAATAGCAAGACCCTTATTTAAAAAAAAAACAACAACTGAAAAGGGTATTTACAGATATTTAAGAAGCAGGTGTTTCCCATCTTTTACCCCTAAATCTTGTCTTTGCCCTCACTCCCACTCAATCCCTGGGGTGCCCTCTGAGTCATTGCTACCCTTCCCTAGCAACATTCCCGGCATAGCAGAACTTGAGTGACGTGGCAGGGTGTGGAACCAGAGGCAGAATAGGACTTGTTGGCTTGGTGCCCCCAAGGAAATGGAAAAGGGAGTTCACAAATACATTTGGGAAGGGAGACAATCTGGTAACCTCAAAATAGGGCCACATTCAGACTTGAGTGCATGTGAGTGTGCTTTATTAAAGCATCCTTCAGGCCAAGCACCGGTGGCTCACACCTGTAATACTAGCTATTCAGGAAGCAGAGATCAGGAAGATCACAGTTCAAAGCCAGCCCTGGCAAATAGTTCTCAAGACTCTATTGTTGCAGGAGGGCTCAGACAGAGACTGAGAAGGCACCAGAGGTTTCAGGAAGCAGGTTTATTAAGCAAGCAGGCAGCGACTCAGCAGACTCAAGTCCAAAGTCTGAGCCCTGAGAACAAAGGGAGATTTCCTTATATACCATTTAGAGCAGGTTACAGAAATGGGGAGGGGGAAGGGTGCAGCTTTCTCCATACATAATCACATGTCATTTCATTGGCCACTTTAACCTCTGGGGCAAGGTAACATTCTCTGGTCTCCAGGTAACATTCCCCAACTCTTATTTTTGTTCCACTTTAGCACTCATTAATTTCTCTTTCCTCTCCCAGCTTTCCTGCCACACAATCTCAAAATTATCCAACACAAAAAAGGGCTGGCAGAGTGACTCAAGTGGTACAGTGCCTGCCTAGCAAGCATGAAGACCCTGAGTTCAAACCCTGGTACCACCAACACTACCACAAAAAAAAAAAAAAAAGCATCCTTCAGGGCTAGGGATATAGGCATATAGCTGAATGGTAGAGCACTTGCCTTATCATGTGCACCCATGATTTCAACAGTTATAGAAACTACGATTGGTAAAAGAATAATGGGTGTGATCCTGGGGTATGATCCCCAATACTGAAAAACAAACAAAAGCACCCTTCAAAAAGTCTTAGAACAGTTCCTAAGTCAGAATGCAGGAGCTGGAAAAAACAATGCAGGAGCTGGAGACTGGCAAGAGCAACCCAGAGACAAGAACAAAAGGATGGAACCAGGTATGGTGGTACACGTCTGTAAACCCAGGACTCAGGAGGCAGAAGGATTGTGAGTTTAAGATCAGCCTAGGGGGGAGAAATGACCCAAGCATTGTATGCACATATGAATAATAAAAAAATAAATTAAAAAAAAAAAAAGATCAGCTTAGACTATGGAGCAAAACCCTGTCTCAAAAAAGAAAGGAAAGCCAGGTGCTGGTGGCTCATGCCTATAGTCCTAGCTATTTAGGAGGCAGAGATCAAGAGGATCATGGTTCAAAGCCAGCCCCAGGCAATAGTTTATCTTGAAAAAACCCATCACGAAAAAAGTGGCTCAAGCAGTAAGAGTGCTTGCCTAGCAAACATGAGGCCCTGAGTTCAAACCCTAGTACCACTAAAAAAAGGAAAAGAATATGAGTACTATACTCACATAGTCACTCATTAATTAATTAATTCAATTAACATTATTTAGTCCCAGCTATATCCCAGGCGCTGGGAATTCCTAGTACACATAAATGAAGATAAAGTCCCTGCTATGGATAGGGATGTAGCTCAGTGGTAAGAGCGCCTGCCTAGAATTTGTGAGGCCCTGGGCTCAATACCTAGCACTGCAAAAAAAATAAAGGAAATAATGCCATCTGCTGGGCCTAGTAGCACATGCTGTAATCACAGTAGATGGGAAGTAGAGGCGGGAGGATGGAGAGTTGGAAGCTAACCTGGCTATGTAACAAGTTCAAGACCAGCCTGTTCTACATAGTGAGATTCTCTCTCAAAAACAGTACAGAAAAAATCATAGACTAATAGGGAGACCGTTACTGGAATAAAATGAGAGTACGTACAAGCACTGTAGTTTGACGACCATACTATAAAAAATAGGAACACTCTATTTTTTTATTATTAATTTATTCACATGTGCATACATTGTTTGGGTCATTTCTCCACCAGGAACACTCTAATTTTATAAGACAGCAAAGTCTTCATGAACACCTATTTCTCTTTCCAGGCAGTTTCCATAACCATAGAATTCATGCTTCCTAAATTCACTGAAATAGTTTCAGATAGTCTGCGGTATTGTCAAGACTCTTATAAATTTAGAAAGGAGGGGAGTTCTAAGAAGGAAAAACCTGGAGGCTTGACAGAGAATTGGGTGACAAGGGAGTGAGACTGAAATAGGATGATGTAGCAGGAGGTGAACTAGAAAGACAGGGAGAGGCTAAATCATGAAAGCTCTTCAGTGCCATGCTAATAGTAGTTATCACCTACTAAAGATTTAGTATGTACTTATTAAACATCGTGCTCAGCAGTTTACAAGAATTATCTCTTAATCTCCCTAAGAACCTCAAAAAGGTAGGCATTATCATTAGTCTTACAGACGAGAAAAGTGAGACTCAGTGAAGTAAAACTGCTTGTCCAAGGTCACACACCTAAGATGACGTCCGAACTCACACTCAAACTCAAGGTTGGCTGGCTCTAAGGTTATGTTCTTAACCACAACACCGTTCTTTCTGGTTATCTTGTAGATAATGGAGAGCCACTAGAGATGATTGAAGAGAGGCGTGATAAAGTCTGAATTTTTAGAGAGCTTCTTACTAGGAGAGTGGAGAACGGACTGGAGCAGAGGGAGGCTGACCTTTAAAAAATTTTTTTTGACTGTCAAATTCTAGACCCATTCAGCAAGCGAGGTCCGGCAGGCTGTGCGGAGGAGTGGGCGGGGCTGAAGAGTCACGTCATCTTAGAGGCGGTGCTAGAAGCTCCTCGACGCTCCGCTGCTTTCGCCTGCCGACGCCGCCCGCAGGTGGAGGTGTCGAGCGCCGAGCTCTGAGAACCGAGTTGGGTGACGGGACCGCTGGTGGCGGCGCAGCCTCGGTAGGCGAGATGAGTTTGGCTGGGGGCCGCGCCCCCCGGAAGACCGCTGGGAACCGGCTTTCTGGTCTCTTGGAAGCAGAGGAGGAAGATGAGTTCTACCAGACGACTTACGGGGGTTTCACCGAGGCAAGAACGGGGCCCAGGAGGAGGGAGGGGAGGAAGCGGAGTTCTGAAGGGAGAAACCCCGGACAAAGAAGAAGGGGGCGGGGAACAGAGGGGAGCTCGGGGAATTGGTACCCCGGACCCGGTGGGTGAGATCGGGTTAGAGACAGCTGGGTCCTAGAAGGAAGAGCCCTTGTCGGAGATAGGGGCCCAGGGATGGAGACGCTCTTTAGAGGCCGCCGAGTATGGTAAAAAACCTACCTTGTATTTATCTAGTCGCGTCTCACTGCACTTCTGTCGCCTAGAATACGCTAGGCACGTCCTAGTCACTTAGTGTATAATAATTGGTGCACCGTATTCACCTGAGGCATGGAAAGGAACCGCTCCAAAAAGTAGAGTAGAGCTTGGGGTCATGGCTCAAGCGGTAAGAGTGCCTGCGTAGCAAGTGTGAGGCCCTGAGTTCAAACCCCAGTACCAAGGAAAAAAAAAAAAAGTAGAAACGTTTAAGTATCCCACTCCTTTTTCAGCTTTCAAGTGTCATTATAAATATTTTCTGAGATAATATTTTCTGAGTTCTTTGACCTCCCTAAAAGAATCCGCACTTATTTCCTTCCTAGAACACATTTAAGTTTATCATTAGATTTGGTTTGCTGGGCTGGGAGCATGGCCAAAGCCCAGAGTGGTAGAGCTCTTGCCTAGAAAATAGGAGACCCTGGGTCCCCAGGATCCCTGTCCTCCCCAACCCAAAAAAAAAAAACCAAAAAAACCCTTTACCCTTAGATAGTAAGTTCTGTAAAATTAAGTGTTTGTTCAGCAGCATTACATGTGCAAGGCCTAGCCCATTGTCTAGACTGGACTAGCACTTGATAAATTTTTATTGATTGAATCTACCCACTTTTAATACCTTATTCCAGAGTATGCCATAGGTGATAGGTTGTGGTAGGCTCTAAGGAAACTGTTAACACCACTCCAAGTAGGGTTGTAGCTCAGTGATAGATAATGCCCCAGACCTTGGGATCTATCCCAGTACCACAGAAAGAGGAAAACAACCCTATCCTGTCCAGTTCCTCGCCAGCAGGGTAACTGACTGGGTATACAGTCCATTGGTAGCTCACACCTGTAATCCTAGCTATTCAGGAGGCAGAGATCAGGAGGATTGCGGTTCGAAGCCAGCCCTGGCAAATAGTTTGTGAGACCCTGTCTCAAAAAAACCTATCACAAAAAAGGACTGGTGGAATGGGCTCAAGGTGTAGGCCCTGAGTTCAAACCCCAGTTCTGAAACAAAAAAAAAAAAAAACTATATGACAAAGACCGAAAAAGCAGGAAAAGTCAGGCACCGGTGGCTTATACTTGTAGTCCTGGCTTCTTGGGAGGCTGAGATTAGGAGGGTGGAGGTTTGAGTCCAGCCTGTGCAAATAGTTCTTGAAACCGCATCTCCAAATAAACAGCAAAGCTGGGTGCAGATGCTTTACACCTGTAACCCTAGCTACTCAGAAGGAAGAGATCTGGAGGATGCTGTTCAAAGCCAGCCCTGGGCAAATAGTTCAAGAGACCCTATCTCTAAAATACCCAACACAAAAAAGGGCTGGTGGAGTGGCTGAAATGGTAGAGCTCCTGCCTAGCAAGCATGAAGCCCTGAGTTCATAACCCAGTACCACCAAAAAAACTTCAAAATAACCAGGGCAAAATAACACAAGTAAGCATAGAATATTATGAGAACAAGAGAAGTTGGTAGGGATAAGCATCCTGGTGGATAATGTTTAAGTTGAGGACTATGAAAAGTAGGCTGTAGCTGGATGAAGAATAAAAAAAAAAAAAAAGGTTAGTCCATAGAGGAGGTGTGATAGAATGTGTAAAGGTACTGAGATCCTGGTGTAGCCAGATTATGTGGGCCTTGTGAGCCGTATTAAGGAGTTTTGCTCTTTATACAAAGATGTGAAATGAGTCATCAGAGTTCCATGATCATATCTGTACTTTAATGACTGACACAGGGCTCAAGTGGTGCATGAGGCCTTGAGTTTAATCTCCAATCTGAAAAAAATTACAAATTGTATGTTAAAAAAAGATTGCCCTGTAATGACAATAGTCTGAAGAAGGCAGTGGCAGTAGAGAAACATGCACAGGGGTTGGGTATGTAGCTCAATAGTAGAGCAGTTGCCTAGCATGCCTGAAGACCTAGGCTCCATCCCCAGCACCACAAAAAAAAAAGCAAGAGAAAAACCGGGTGCCGGTGACTCATGTATGTAATCCTAGCTACTCAGAAGGAGGAGATCAGGAGGATTTTTGTTTGAAACCAGCCCTGGGCAGGTAGTTCAAGAGATGCTATCCCAAAAAACCCATCACAAAAAAAAAGGGGGCTGGTGGAGTGGCTCAAGGTATAAGCCCTGAGTTCAAACACAGTGCTGCCAAAGCAAAAAGGATCTACACTACTTGGTGACTGACTGGGAGTCGTTACTTACACAGTCCTAGTCAACTGGTTTAAAATAGAACTTTCTCAACCCTCCAAAGTCCATTTTCCTATTCCTGTCATTTTACGAGTTGTTATTTAATATGTACTCTTCGTGCTTCCAAAAGGATTTAAGGAGACTTACAGTATAAACAAAAAGTAAGAACAGTAAAAATAGAGACAGATCAGAATTGTACCAGGAGCCTGTGCTAAAATGGTAATAGCAATTGATATTAAATTTAGCTGTGAGCTTCCTAGCAACCAAACTCTGAATTTCATTTTTTTTTTTTTTTAGTAAGAATGAAGCATATAAGTACTTCAAAAAAAGACAAACTTATTCAGCATTAAATCCTAGGGAAGATTTATCATTACATTCTTATGTAAAGTATATATAAAGTAAGGAGGGGTTTGGTAGATGATATGAAAACATTTAACTAGTCATGTGTATCAATGACTTGAAAAAAAGCCAAAGGAATGGTAGTGAATCCATAATTTAGTGAAAAACATTTCACTTGTGCACTATGCTAATGGGAAGTTGATCTACTACCCTGTGGTGATATCAGTTAATACCAGATTAGAGTTGAGGGGATTAATGTGTTCCCAGGCTGTCTTTCACAAACATCAGTTGGGAGGAAGTGATGGTCATCAGTGCAGGATTGAACTCTGGCTGGCTTGAAGTGTCAGCCATCTGTGTTACTTGTTTTGGCAGCCTTTCTACCAAAATTAGTCTTGTTATTTATTTTTCTTCATCAGTGATTGGAGAGCCATGTGTTTAAGGTGCTGCCCAAGCAAGTGGAGTCACCCTCCCTCAAGTGATTTTTTTTTTTCCTTTTTTCAATATGGCTGCCATTCTAGTCTTAACCTGTTCATTTCATTGAATGTCTAGGCCATACTTCAAGTTCTCTACTTCATCCTATCTCATCTCCACAGCTTTCTGAAACATCCCTTGTACATACATCCAAATCCTCAATGGCATCACATTATACATAGTAGTACTCAAATATTTTTCTGCCAGCACATCTGAGGAAAGATACATTTTTCTCAGTAACATTACCTCAACAGTGATTATCGTGCTAAGGTAGGTAAGGAGGAGGGCGGAATTGAGAATCACTAGCCTACAGGTTAAAGTCATAAGTTTATTAGCTTGACATTTAAATTTTTCCTTACACCAAATGCAGCCTTCTTTTAAAATCTTATAGGCCTACAGGACAATCAGTGTTGGAAGGGGGCTGTTTTGGAGCCAAGGCAGTCAGCTAAGAAGGCTTCCTGCCAGGGATAAACCTGTTTTCTTGGGTCTAAGTCTTTATTCCATGGATATGCTGTATACATTCTTGCTTTTCTACCTGTCTGTGATTTATTTTTCCCTTTTAGCTGCCTAACACTACATGGTTTTGTTTTGTTCTGTTTTAGCAGCACTGAAGTTTGAACTCAGGGCCTCACACCTGTTAGGTGTTTTTCCTGCTTGATCCACCCTGTCAGCCTTTTTTTGTGACGGGTTTTTTTCGAGATAGGGTCTCTTGAACTATTTGCCCAGGCTAGCTTCAAACTGTGATACTCCTAATTTCTGCCTCCTGAGTAGTTAGGATTACAAGCATGAGCCAACAGCGCCCAGCCACTACCAGGTTTTAAATCATGGGTCAATTCCTTTTAGTACTTTAGAGTCAAAAGCAGGGTTTGGTAAGCTACAATCTGTAGCCCAGATCTGGCCCATGACCTATTTTTATCTACCCCTGTCCTAAAAATGTTTCCCAAACTTTGATCTAAAGGAGTAAAGTCTAAAGTTTTTATTTATTGAATTTGATACTTTATATTACCTTATATTAAATCTTTTTTATGATAATGTCTTGTCCTTGAGTAGATTATGCACCCCCTTACAGTTAACACAGTGATGCAGGTAAAACACCATCGGTTAGGTTGGAAGGGGGTCATGCTGGAACTAAAGGCTATTAGCTAGAAAAACTTTGCCTAAGGAAAGTAAAGGACTAAGTTGGAAAGGAGAATGGGGCATCCCTTATCAGAAAAGTGAAGAAATTCTGTTCCTCCTAAAGAGGCATTAATAACTCCATTGCCAACCAGTTCTCATTTCCTAGGAATCTGGAGATGATGAGTATCAAGGAGACCAGTCAGACACAGAAGATGAGGTAGACTCTGACTTTGACATCGATGAAGGGGATGAGCCATCCAGTGATGGAGAAGCAGAAGAACCAAGAAGAAAGCGCCGAATAGTCACCAAAGCCTATAAGGTACAAGGAGGAATCCTGTTTTCCTTGGACTTGATTCCTACTTCCCCTTCATTAAGTCCTAGTATTCCTCATGCTAGTCCCATTTCGTACAATGCTAGTTTTTCTCTATTAAGATGTGTATCTTTACCGTTATCTCTTCTGTTTTCTGGTGTCTGATTCTTACCTGTCCCCAGGAGCCTCTAAAAAGCTTGAGGCCTCGAAAGGTCAGCACTCCAGCTGGTGGCTCTCAGAAGGCCAGAGAAGAGAAGGCACTGCTGCCACTGGAACTACAGGATGATGGTTCTGACAGTGAGTAGAGAGGTTTGGGTTCAGTTAACAAAATTAGAATGTGAAAATGAGTTATTTTATCAGTGTTAAATTTACTGAGGTTGATAATCATATTGTGTTTTGTAAGGAAAATCCTTATTTTTTTTTAAATCCCTAATTCTTAAATAACACTAGAGCTGGAGGTGTGACTCAAGTGTTAGAGCTCCTGTTTTGCAAGTGTGAAGCCCTGAATTCAAACCTTATTTCCAGCCAACAAAAAGACTTTTAAAAACAAGTATACACACTGAAATATTAAGGAGTAAAGGTCATGATGTGTGCAACTTAACTCTCAGATATTCAGAAAAGAACACATACAGGATGAAATGGCATAAACTGTGAATAGGTGATGTGATTAAAGGTTACATGAGTGTTGATGGTACTATTCTTGCAACTTTTTTTTTTTTTTTTTTTTAACAGTACTGGGATTTGAAGTTAGGGCTTCATGCTTGCAAGGCAAGCCCTCTACTGCTTGAGTCATGCCTCCAGCCCATTTTGCTGCGATTATTTTGGAAATAGGGTCTTGCTTTTTTGCCTCGGCGAACCTGGACTTCAATCTTATTTTAAACTTTTCACTGTCACTGGTATGACAGGCTCACACCACTATGCTCAGCATTTTTCCATTGAGATGGGGTCTGGCTAAATTTTTACCCAACTGGCCTCAAACAACAACCCTCCTGGTCTCAGCCTTCCAAGTATCTAGGATTGCAGATATGAGCCCCCAGGGCCCAGATGTATTCTTGCAACTTTTTTGTAAACTTGAAAATTTTTCCAAATTAAAGACAGATAAATAGAACCAGGTATGGTGGCACATGTCTACAATCCCAGTGTTGAGGAGACTGAGGCAGGAGGATCCTGAGTTCAAGGCTAGTCTGAGCTATGTCAAAGAACCTGTCTCAAATAAAAAAGATTAAGAAAGTGCACATGAATTAAAAAGATTTCTTCCATTCTGATTCTTTCCAGGTCGAAAGTCCATGCGGCAGTCTACAGCAGAGCATACACGACAAACGTTCCTTCGAGTACAGGAGAGGCAGGGCCAGTCCCGGCGGCGAAAGGGACCCCACTTTGAGCGACCACTGACCCAGGAAGAGCTGCTTAGGGAGGCCAAGATCACAGAAGAACTCAACTTACGTTCACTGGGTCAGTATATAGTTTTGGAGAAAATGGGTAGAGATTATAAGGAGAAAACTGACATTAGAGAACCAGAGAACTGAAGAAATGGAGATTTGAGATAAAAGAATCAGAAGAAAGAAATATGTGTAGGTGATTAAGAGCAAGGGACTGGGCAGTTATGAGGGTTCTGATGAATAGCTATATTGAGGTATTTTGGTATAAAAGATTACACAGAACAGAATTCAAATCCTAGTTCTATTCATTTGCTTTAAGACTGCAGTTAGGGGCTGGTAGAATGGTTCAAATGGTAGAGCACCTGCCTAGCAAGTATGAGGCCCTGAGTTCAAACCCCAGTACCACCAACAAAAAAAAAAAAAATGCAGTCAGACAGGCGCTGGCAGGTCATACCAGTAATCCTACCTACTTGGGAGGCTGAGAGTGGGAAGAATGGGATTTCAGACCAGCCCTGGCAAATAGTTCATGAGACCCCCATCTCAAAATAACTAGAGCAAAATGGACTAGAGATGTGTCTTAAGTAGTAGAGTGCTTGCTTAGCAAGCATGAAGCCCTGAGTTCTAACCTCTCAGAGAGAGAGGGAAGAAAGCGTACTAGTAGATGAAAGAGTAGTGGTCTGAAAGCTGCAGTGTGGGACTCAATAGGACACAGGTATATTACAGGTTCATCCTGCATGGAATGTGAGACAGTGAACAGCCTTTACCAGAGAGCTACGGGGAATTTGGTAACTTTGGTGGATGACCAGGTTCCCAGTAAGGCAAGTTGTATAAGGAATATTGAGTAAGGAACTTGAAGATATAGATAGGTGAGGTGGCTGATTATATAGCAAGAGTTCCACAGAGTACAGAGAGCTGGCAGAGTGGCTCAAGTGGTAAAGCAACTGCCTAGCAAACTCGAAGCCTTGAGTTCAAGTCCCAAAACTGCCAAAAAACAAACAAAAAACTCACCACAGGGTACAGAGAAGTGTTCAAGAAAAAGAGAGTGGTTGGAAGGGAGGAAAAAAACATTACCAGTCAGAATTAAATTCAAGAATTTCAGTCACTAGCCAGGTGCTGATGGCTCACGCCTGTAATTCTAGCTACTCAGGAGGCAGAGATTTAGGAGGATCATGGTTCGAAGCTAGACCAGGCAAATAGTTCATAAGACCCTATCTCAAAAAACCCTTCATGGGCTGGTGGAATGGTTCAAGTGGTAGAGTGCCTTCTAGCATGCATGAGGCTCTGAATTCAAACACCAGTATCGCTGGTTTTTTTTTTTTTTAAAAAAAAAGGGCTGGTGGAGTGACTCAAGATGAAGGCCCTGAGTTCAAGCCCCAGTACCACAAAAAGAAAAAGGAAAAAATTTCAGTCACTGAAGACTCAGTGTCCATGTACGAGAAAGACAGAAATTTGGAGTTCATTTAAAAGAAAGGGTCCAGAAATATCTGTTTATTCATTAACAAATATTTATTGGGTGCCTGGAATGTGTGGAATGCTGCATGTCCCTCATAATATGTAGCTAATATGAGTCACAGTCACTACCCTTAAGGAGGAGACATATGTACCAACAATGAATTGCCACAACATTGGCACAGAGTCCAGACAGGTAACATACAAAGTGTAGCTAGTTACAGAGATTGAGGTGAGTAGGAGAGGAATACCTGAAAGGAGGAACAAGTTACTTAGCTGGCACTGGGTTGCCAGATTTCCTTTTTTTAATGATGGACCAGAAATCGCTAAATGTAATTGCCTACTTTTTATTTTATTAATTTTAGTGGTACCGGGGTTTGAACTCAGGGCCTACACCTTGGGCTACTCCATCAGCCCTTTTTTGTGATGGGTGGTTTTCAAGATAGGGTCTCATGAAACTGTTTGCCTGAGCTAGCTTTGAATCGAAGTCCTCCTGATCTGTGCCTCCTGAGTTGCTAGGATTACAGGCGTGAGCTACTGGCACCCAGCAAAACTCATTGGAATTTCTCCCTCCCACCCTCCGCCCACTGTTGCTTGAACTCAGGGCCTCACACTTGCTAGGCAGGTGCTCTACCACTTGAGCCACTCTGGCAGCTCCTAATTTTTAAATATTAGCAGCTAGTGCCAATCTTTCTTTAAAATGCCATACAAACTGGGTGCCCATGACTCATGTCTGTAATCTTAGCTACTCAGGAGGCAGAGATAAGGAGGATCACAGTTTGAAGCCAGCCCAGGCAAATAATTCACGAGACTCTATCTTGAAAATACCCAACAACACAGTGCAAAACACTATACAGATTGAACAAACACTTAAGTAGGCTGGTAGCTTACAGCTTCTGTCATAAATTATGATAAGCACAGTAACAGAAGAACATACTAGGCACAGGGGTGGCAAAATTGAGTGGTATGGGGAATGGTTCAATTAAATGGGTGTTGTAATCATTAAATGGGTGTTGTAATCAGCCTAGAGAGGACTTGATGGAGACATGAACACCCATTTCAACTATTTGAAGGACTGTTAGAGAAAGCCAGTTAGATTTGTGTCCTTTATGGCCTTAAAAGGTAAAACCAGGGCTGGGGGCATGGCTCCAGTGTTAGAGCACCTGCCTAGTAAGCACAGGGCAATGATGTAATGAGCTCTGTCTTGGGTAGGAGCAGGTTGACCAGAGCAGTCGTAGAGGAGATTTTGGTATCCAAGGAAATGAATAGGGAGGGTCCTTATTAAAGGGTCCCTTCCAACTTGAGGTCTTCCAATTCTGAATGAGTGAAAGACCCAAGTGTACTTGAGAAAGGAGGAGCAGAGAGGTTGTCATGTAGGGTAAGCAGAATACTTATGAAGTGAGAGGTACTAGAGTACCTTAGGGAACTTTCAGTAGTTGGCTTGGGCAGTTGGCATGACTAGATGGATGACTGGGAAGATAATTGAGAGATCATGGACAGACCTAGATTGTGGGAAAAGAAGAAACTGACTATTCCCTTATTTCCCCCCTTGACCATGAAGAGACATACGAGCGGCTAGAGGCTGACAAAAAGAAACAGGTTCACAAGAAGCGGAAGTGCCCTGGGCCAATAATCACCTATCATTCAGTGACAGTACCACTTGTTGGGGAGTTGGGCCCTAAGGAAGAGAATGTAGATGTAGAGGGGTAAGTAAATCAACTGTTATCTTGGCCCAGTTTCACTAGCTTGCTTCTCACAGCTCTCCCTCAGACACATACATGTACTTCAGAATCTGTTCTCCCTTCAATTCCTTTTTTTTTTTTTCTTTTTCCCTTTTATCCTCTCTTTTCCCTCTTTTTGCTGTTTTGCTATTTTGTTTGTTTTTGGTGGTAGTAGGGATAGAAATCAGGGCCTCATGCCTGTTTTACTTTTAACCTCACTTTTTCCTCCCACTAACCAACATTTAGTAGGTTCTCTCAGAATGTTCCACCACTCTGCCTCCTTTTTCTTTCCTCAGCTTTCTCATTTCTTTCTGTATCCATTGCCTTCTCGTCAGCTCTTTGTGTTTTTCTTTGTCTTTTACCCCAGACTTGATCCAGCTCCCACTGCTTCTGCCTTGACTCCCCATCCTGGGACTGGACCTGTCATCCCTCCCGCTCGCTGCTCACGTACCTTCATCACATTCAGTGATGATGCGACATTTGAGGAATGGTTCCCCCAAGGGCGACCACCAAAAGTCCCTGTTCGGGAGGTCTGCCCAGTAACCCATCGTCCAGCTCTATACCGGGACCCTGTTACAGATATACCCTACGCCACTGCTCGAGCCTTCAAAATCATACGTGAGGCTTACAAGAAGTACATCACTGCCCATGGACTGCCGCCTACTGCCTCAGCCCTGGGCCCTGGCCCTCCTCCTCCTGAACCCGTCCCTGGCTCTGGGCCCCGAGCTTTGCGCCAGAAAATCGTCATAAAATGAAGAGATGTCTAGTCCTTAGAAATCTCTTTCCTGCCCTGACCTGGGGCTCTTGATTTTTCCTTTCCTTGCTTCTGATCTTTGTTCAGTCCTCTTCTGTATTTCTCTCCCCATCTTTTCCCCCTTGTTTCTTCTGATTTTGTTGTGCTTTTTAATCTAATAAAATGAAAAGATCCTTTTTTGTCTGATGTCTAATCTAGGGTTGAGAGCAAGAAATATTTGTTTGTGATCTTTTGAATGTATTTGGGTCTTTTTTTTTTTTTTTTTCCTTTGGTAGGACTGGGGATTAAACTCAATACCTTGTGCATGCTAGGCAGGCAACTCTACCACTGAACTACATCCCTAACCCTGATCTTTTTTTTTTTTTTTTTTTTTTTTTGTGATACTGGGGCTTGAACTCAGGGCCTACACCTTGAACCAATCCACCAGCCCTTTTTTTTCTTTTTGTTTTTTTAATGTTGGATATTTTCAAGATAGGGTCTTGTGAACTATTTGCCTGGGCTGGCTTTGAACCGCAGTCCTCCTGATCTCTGCCTCCTGAGTAGCTAGGATTACAGATAGGAGCCACCAGCACCCTGCTAACCCTGGTCTTTATATTTGTCTAATAGCACTTATTATGAGCTGTCTTTTTTTTCCCTTTCTGACATAAGGTCTTGATGGATTGCCTGTTCTAATCTCAAATTCCTGGGCTCAAGCAATCCTTCCACAGCCTCCCGAGTGCTGAACTATAGGTGCATACCACTGCACCCAGCTTGTCCTTTTTTAATTGTAAAATATTCATTCCTCCAACTAGACTATAATGCCTTAAAACTAGATATCAGGATAAAACCTTACATTGACTTTGGTATCACATTATATTCACTGCTTTGAATATAGCAGGCCCAAATAGGAACTGTCTGATTCTCATAAAACTCCACTCTAGGACTCTGGAAAAGGAGGTGTCATGACTGATAATGGCCACTAGAGGCTCTCAGGGCTGGGCAGGGTATGGGGGCTGTGTATATGTGATCTCCCACTACCCCCCACCTGGCCAGAGCTAAAATAATAAAATGCTGAGCTCACTGTTCCCCCACCCTTTCCCCCGGCACTGGTCTCCTCCTGCTGCAGGGACAGTGCCCCAGTAGAACAGACAGACCAACCGACAGGAAGGTGAGAAGAGAGGTGGTCATCAGAACTGGTAGGTGGGGAAGGAAAGGGGTTCATGGGTGAGAACCTGGTGAGAGATGAAAGAAGAGTGGCTCTTAAGGGGAATGATACAGAGTGTGTCTCTGCCTCTGTTACCCTGTGTTTCTGCCACTGTCCTGTCCCTTAACTGTATAGTTTATGTTGTCAATGTAAGCGTCTCACATACTTTATATCAAGCATGGTGTATATGTGGAGTTTATGCGTATTTTTCATATTGTAAAAGATTGTGTAAGTTTAATCTTCCTGTTCTTTTTAGAGAACTACTGCATTTAAAAGGCATTTCCCACCACTGGTCGGGTGTCACCTTCCTGATGACAGATTGTGGGGACTCAGTCCCTTCTGAGGCCGTACTGCCCTTCCCCCAACCTGGAAGTCCCCCAACTTCTAAGCCTTGCTTTCCCATAGCATTTAGAATTTAAGCAAACACAGAAAGTGAAATCTTGATCTCCCACAATAAAAGAGGAAATAAAGGTAGCATAACAAACTGCCCCCAATCTAGCCAATTTTCCTTACTTTCTTTAATCAGTTTAGAAAAAGGCTGGATAACAGGAAGAGAGGAGGAATTTCCATGAAGCTATCTGCCACCTTTCCCCCCACACACCTTTCAATAGGAATTGGGCATGAAGCCAGCAATGCTGGCAGAGCTTCCGGCAGCTGTGCTAGGGCAAGCGGCACTGACGGGTTAGGGTGTAGGGGAGGGTGCTGCCAGAATTTCTCTGTCATACAATCAGAAGGCAGACCTAATTTGTACCCTGGGATTCCCATCCACAATGGCTAGAAACTGAGGAAGCAGGAAGAATGAGACTAATTTTAACTCTAAACATCCTAACCTTCCCATCCCCACCTGGATTTCTAACCTCAGGTGTCTAGTTCAGTGTTCTACCCCTGGCTGGTCTCTTCATGTCCCTACTGTGTCTGTGTCCATCTTTCCACATTCAACTGTTTTCCCCATGTCCCCCTAGGCTCTTAGTGCCACATTGGGGTAGGGGCTACCATGTCATCGTATCAGAAGGAGTTGGAGAAATACAGAGACATAGATGAAGATGAGATCCTAAGAACCTTGAGCCCTGAGGAGCTAGAGCAGCTGGACTGTGAGCTACAAGAGATGGACCCTGAGGTAGCGGCACCAGAACAGGGGACCAGGGGCAGTCCCCAGGCATTTGGGAAGAGTGCTGGACTCTGGATGGTTGAGTCCAGGGATACCTTTAGGGCTCGCAGTCCCAAGAGGGTTAGGGAAAAGGTATCTGGAGATGTTTAGGGAGCCTTAGAGGTACTCCAGAAGAGTACCTGACTTGTTCCCCAAAATTCATCCCTAAGAACATGCTCCTGCCAGCTGGATTAAGACAACGTGACCAGACAAAGAAGAGCCCAACAGGGCCACTGGATCGAGATGCCCTTTTGCAGTACCTGGAGCAACAGGCACTAGAAGTTAAAGAGCGTGATGACTTGGTGCCCTTCACAGGAGAGAAGAAAGGTATGGGGACCTTGACATCCATACAACTAAGAAACCAAATGACCATCTGTCAAGTCTCCTCTCCAGCTTCCCTCTTTCAGCTCCTACCAGGAACTGAGGTGGTCCGAAATCTGTATGCCAGCCTTTTTTGTTTTGTTTTGTTTTGTTTTTGGTGGGGGAGTTTTTTGTTGGTGGTGGTGGTTTTTTTTTTTTGTTTTGTCTTGGTTTTTTTGGCCATGCTGGGGCTTGAACTCAGGGCCTTGTGCTTGCTAGGCAAGCTAGGCAGGTGCTCTACTGCTTGAGCCACATCTCCAGCCTCTTGGGATTTTTTGTTTGTTTATTTATTCACACCACCATGCCCAACCTGCACTCTTAAGTCCTTTTGAAAGATCAGGGGACCTAGGAATCCTGAGCTTGCAGAGGATTCAGGTTTTCAGTATCCTCTAGTGACCCAGCATTATACCTACTAGAGAAAGAAAGGAAACTAGAGGCCAGGATCTTGGGAGAAATGATCTCTACCTGAACTATCCTTAATCTCCCCATCAGGAAAACCCTATATTCAGCCCAAAAGAGAAATTCCAGCACAGGAACAGATCACCCTGGAGCCTGAGCTGGAAGAGGCACTGGCCCATGCCACAGATGCTGAAATGTGTGACATTGCAGGTGGGCAGCTGTGGGATATTGAGAGTGGGAGGAGCATCCTCACCTTGAGGTGGGACTAGTGGGGAAGGCCTGGACATCTCAGAAAGCCTCAGGCAGTGGTTTTTAACTTTTCTTATTTGGGTTTTTTTTTTTTTTGGTGGTACTGGAGTTTGAATTCAGGGCCTTACACTTGGTAGGTAGGCACTCTGCCAGCCCTTTCTTGTGTTGTGTATTTTTGAGATAGAGTCTCAAGAACTATTTACCCATGACTGGCTTTAAACTATGATTTTCCTGATCTCTGCCTCCTGAGTAGCTAGCATTACAGGTGTGATTACTGGGGTTTGAACTCAGGGCATGACATTTACTAGTCAGGTGCTCTACCAAGTAAGCCACTCCATTCATTCACTTTTTAATTTAATAAGTTAACATCTCAAGCACAGGGATTGTTAAAGCAAATTAAAGTGGAGATATTCTGGTCAAAATCAGCAGTCTCTGAAGATTCCCCTATCCTTTAGTGGCTCCTTAAGAAACTTCCCTGAGCCCCATCTCAATGTTTTAGAAACCACTGCCTTGGGCAGTTTAGCAAAGGGACTCCAGGGAGGGTGAGAATCCTCTCTGGAAGAGTGAAAGCAGTCAGACTGTTAAAATGCTGCCACAGAGTGGAGGCAGCAGGTGTGGAGCAAGTGTCTCTACTTATTTTCTGTGCCCCTCTGCTTACCCTCTCCAGCAATTCTCGGCATGTACACACTGATGAGCAACAAGCAATACTATGATGCCATCTGCAGTGGAGAAATCTGCAACACCGAAGGCATTAGCAGTGAGTATGGTGGGGAATGCAGACAGTCCCAGAGACTGAGACAACGTAGCAAGGGGTAAAATAGATGATTCCTTGAGAGGACATGGAGCATGAGTGATAAGAGCACCAATGGGGAGGTGATGGGGGACATGTTGTGGTTCCCTTCCTGCCTTCACCCATCAGGTGTAGTTCAGCCTGATAAGTATAAGCCAGTGCCAGATGAACCTCCAAATCCTACAAACATTGAGGAGATGCTAAAGAGGGTTCGAAACAATGACAAGGAGCTGCAGGAGGTGAACCTCAATAATATACAGGTATTTGATTCCATTCTTCCAAATAATAACACTGGGATAACTACTGACATACAAGAGTCCTTAGCCCACCATGTCCTATGCCCCTTGATAGGACATCCCGATCCCCATGCTAAGTGAGCTGTGTGAGGCGATGAAGACAAATACCTATGTCCGGAGCTTCAGTCTGGTGGCCACAAGAAGTGGTGACCCCATCGCCAATGTAAGGCTAGTTGACATGCCCACCCATAGCAGGGTTGACATAAGGTTTACACCAGGGGGTGCTGTTCCCATCATGCTTTCTTAGGGCAGCCCTTATGGCCCACAACTCTGAAGTATTGAAATCATTTTCCAAAGGACTCCAACCCTAACACCCCCAACTCTACTATGCACTTCATCCACCCACTTTGACCTCCTACCTGCTTCTGTGTCCCTATTGCCCCACATACAGCTACTCAAGGACTCTTCTCAAAGAGCTGTGTTTCCCTCTTGCTCCTGTTCTTTCTTTCCTCAGTCATCTATGAAACTACTCTAATCCTAACCCAAGTCCCTACTACCCAGGCAGTGGCGGACATGTTGCGTGAGAACCGTAGTCTCCAGAGCCTGAACATTGAATCCAACTTCATTAGCAGCACAGGGCTCATGGCTGTGCTGAAGGCAGTTCGGGAAAATGCCACACTGACTGAACTCCGAGTAGACAACCAGGTCAGCATTTTTTTCCCATATCTTAGCATTCAACTAATACCCATTGAGCTTCCTCCCTGAGCATGCCAGGGGGGAAGCTAGTTCATTTAATCTTGTTTAAATTCTTTTATTGCATCTATGAGGGGAGCCAAGTCAACACCTTTTCATTCACTCGGGAAAAACAAGCTACTTGACTTCTCAAAGAATCCTGTGGTCTGGGATTGTGAATAACACAGAGAGGGCAGCTGATAGCTTTCACCTCTCCATCCTTCAGCGCCAGTGGCCTGGTGATGCAGTGGAGATGGAAATGGCCACTGTGCTAGAGCAATGTCCCTCTATTGTTCGTTTTGGCTACCACTTTACACAACAGGGACCACGAGCTCGGGCAGCCCAGGCCATGACCCGGAACAATGAACTACGTAAGTACAGATGAGGGTAGGGATGGGGAACTAGTAGATCCTCCTGAAAGCAGACTTAGTTTGACAAACAGCTTGGGTTGCTGTCAAATATTCACATAAGAAGTTCAAATCCCATGAATTATCAGGAAGTAAGTAGAAAACACCCCCTCCTTCACATACCTATCAATAAAGAGGTAGGAAGGAAGCAAGACATAATACCTGTTGGGAGGGACATGGTATTTTTATTTTGGCTTCTTATTTTGTGCTGCTAATGTGGGATGGGCCTGTTAGGTGGCCTAAGACACTACCACCATTTGAGTCTGGCAAAGGAACTGGAAAGAAGAGGAGCACCTTTGCCAAAAGCAAGAGATGGAACAAAGACTTGTGTTTACTCTTTTTCCTTTATAGGTCGCCAGCAAAAGAAGAGATAACATCATCCTTCCCTTCCCAACTAGAGCTGGGAGCTCATAAATCCTCCTCTCCCATTTTCCTGTAAATAAAGTCTCTTTTGTCCACTCTGCCTGTCTCCTTCCTTGGGCTTTGGGGTGGAAATCTTGGCGCTAACCCCCAAGGGTTACTGCCAGTTCATCAGGGGATTATTTATACTCTGGGGATCAGCAGGCAGAGGTTCAGGTTACTAGGAGGAGGTGGGGGAGCTCCCTCCCTTGGTGTTCCCCATAAATCTGTCATTGCCTTTAGTCATTTCAACTTTCACATGGTACTTGGCATCAGTCCTGTTTCAACATGTGGCCAGCGCCCCCCATCCCTGCCACATCTCTGTGTAATTTGAAAAGAGAAGGACTTTGAGTGGAGGTGGGGAAGAAGACAGACAACATAAAGGGCAAAGACCTTTTCCTAACAGACTTATTAATAGGGCATCAGGCTGCCTGCAGCTGACGCTTGGCAAGACTGATAGAAGGTGGGGGAGGGGTTAGAAGTATGGGAAGCTGTGCACATTGTAGGGAAGTAGTGTCCACTCTGAGAATGAATAGGTTTAAAATCCTGAGATTGGACAAGGAATGTGACTTGAGGAAGGTTAGACTCCCAGCGCCCATTGTAGTTTATTTTTGAAACGATGGGAATAGAGGATGTCAGTCCACGGGGAAATCAGGGGGTTCTTCCTCATCAGAGTCAAATTCAACATTTGCATCTTTTATCCATCGACCTTGTCCATCTGGAATCCATCCAGAGCTGAAGACAAAATAGAATTGGTCATGAAAGGAATAGAATTGGTCATAAAAAGTTAGTGGCTCAGTGGTAGGGTGCAAAAAAAAAAAAGTTGCAATAAGAGCTGAGTGCAGTGGCTCAAGCTTGTAATCCTAGCTACTTGAGAGATGGAGATCAGGAGGATTGTGGTTTGAGGCCAGTTAGGGCAAAAAGTTCATGAGACCCCATCTCAATCAATGGTACATGCTGGTCGTCCCAGCTATGCAGGAGAAACACAAATAGAGGATTGTAGTCCAGGCTGGCCTGGGCATAAAGTGAGACACTATCTCAAAAATAACCAACACAAAAAGGGCTGGCAGAGTGGCTCAAGTGGTAGAGTGCCTGCCTAGCAAGCATGAGCCTATCTTCAACCCCAGTACGACAAAAAAAAAGGCAATAATAAAAAATGCATAGGTTTGGGAAAAAAAGGTCAGAGAGACATGAGAAAATCTGAGGAAAGTGATTTGGCACACTCACCTTCGAAGGGTGAGGTAATGGTCCAGGACTCGTTTTCTTGTGGGGCTGATGGGTGCAGGAGCTGAGACAGTTGCTGACTCCTTGGCCTGTGGGTCAGCCCCAGGCTCAGGTTCCTTACTGATCTTCCCACTTTGGAGCTCCACCTCTGGGACTGGCAAAGGGGAATGGGAGACAGAGGGACCAGTGGCTTCTGATCTGGGTAAAGAAGAATTGAAGCCTATAAAAACAGTAAAAGAAAGGGCCAACTCTCCTATTACTCCCACCTCCTTAGAACAGTGTTTCCTAAACTGAGTTCTTAAAATCTGTATAAAAAGGACTTTGGAGAAGGACTTTGGAATTTGGGAAAAGCTAGTTTGAATTTTTTTTTTTTTTTTTTTTTGTGGTACTGGGGCTTGAACTCAAGGCCTTCACCTTTAGCCACTCCACCAGCCGAATTTTTTGGGATAGTTTTTTGAGATAGGGTCTCTCAAACTATTTGCCTGGGCTGGCTTCAAACTGTGATCCTCCTGATCTCTGCTTCCTGAGTAGCTAGGATTACAGCTACTGTAATCCTAGTAGCCACTGGCACCCAGCACTAGTTTGAATTTTTAAACATTTTTTGTATTTAGACTTTGTATAGCCTTTAAAACATGCCAATGCCACTATTCTTTAAGTGGGACTACAATGCTCCGTTTCCTAAAATTTTATTTAAAGTCACAAAAATCTTTTTTTTTTTTTGAGGTACTGGGGCTTGACCTTGAGCCACTCCACTGGCCCTTTGTTTTTTTCTGGTGATAGGGTTTTTCAAGATAGAGTCTTGTGAACTATTTGCCTGGGCTGGCTTTGAACTTCGATCTTCCTGATCTCTGCCTCCTGACTATTTTGGATTACAGACGTGAGCCACCAGCACCCAGCTTTTTTTCTCCCTTAAATGCCAGTTAACATCTCTGTAACACTAGTATTCTTCAGAATATAATTTGAGAAAAATAATTTTAGAGACATCTGTTCCAAATGTCCCTATCTGGCTTTCCCATCCCACAGACCTGTGCTTCCGGCGGCAGCAACTGCTATAGTGGGGAGCTCTGTGCAGAGCACTCTGGGTGATAAGTCGAGTCTGGGTTAGTAGAGGAGCCTATTATGGAGATGAGAGAGAGTCAGAACCTTTAGTAGCAAAAGTCCTTCAAGCCTGTTCTGTGCAGCAGAATCCTTCCTGGAAAACACATTTCCTCTTTTCTGATTACCTCAGCTTTGGTCTCTTTGCTCCTCAAGTCATTCTGCTGTTTTGGATTTTGCTCCTTTCCCTTCCCTGACTTCTTGCCATAGAAAAGCTGTAGGCCTAAGGAGAAAAGGGAGAGAGAAGAGCATAGCACCAAGTAGTTTGCAGGAATTTCATGAGTTTATTTTCTATCCCGTGTTCCCCCAGACTTACTAGACAGATGCTTCTTGCCTGAACGGTGGGCAGTCAGCATGGCCAGAGTGTCCAGTACAGGTCGATGAGGGCAAATGGCGCAAGCAAAGCTGGGTAAGGTAAGAGAAAAGGATAATAAGCTCAAGGGAGGTAGATCCTGCTATGGGGGAAGTAGGTCCAACCCTAGTCTTAGCAGTCCCTTCCAAACACCAACTCCCATGTCTCCCGATCTCCACCTCTTCCAGTCACTTCCCGCCAAAGAATCCTAAATACTACCGATCTCCTTAATAATAAATTTGTTGAGCCTCTAACGGAAGACCCGTCAGGTTTGATAGCCCTCACCGTCCATCTCGTAGCATCAGAGCCTCATCCTCTGGGATGTAACTGGCCAGCAAGTCCCCAACTCTTCGTTTCTAAAGAGGACAGGGAAAGAAGTCAAGACAGGATCAGAGGAATAGGAGGGATGGATGGAAGGGAAATAGGGAAAAGGAGCCAAACAGGATAAGAGAACAGTGATCGTATGGCAAAGAAGGAGCCACCAGTTGTAGTCCTGACTTTCCCCCTCACCCACAACTGTTGCCAGAGCAACAAAACAAAGCTCCTTGTCCAGTCTTCAGAGAACCGCTGAAGTTGCTCCAGACCCTCTACACTAGCGCTTACTTTGAGCACATTGAGCTGACTCCAGTCATCCCCTTCCCTCTTGAAAGACATCACGGCTCTGAATTCCAGAAATGATCAATTCTCGTGTGTTACTTCGCCACTCCTTTAGGCCACCGTAGGAAGAGTGGGCTAAACTCCTTCCCTTCTTCCGGTCTCTGTCTGGTTGAAGTACGGATACGTCCGGGGATGCATTTCCACGCATGCACCGCGCGATCCGGAAATCCCGCCTCCAGTGCACTGGAGGAACTGCATTTCCTATGAATTCCTGCGACACTATGGTGTGGGCGCGAAGCCCTTTGGGAAATGAAGTCTTTTCAAAGAGCTTGCCGTTCATGGGGATCCAGGCCCTGGTATCTTGGCGGATTTTAGGCGTTAACCTAGATGTGGAGCCCGAGTTTAAGAGTGCGACCTGTCTAATGAGAAGCAAGCTTTTGAGGATCTCAGAGTAGAAAGTGTACTACAAATTCACGCAATCCTCACGCTCATCGTCTGCAGCCGCAGCCACAGCCTACCTGGGGTAGGCCTGATTTGTACATGACCCTAGCAGGCGAACTCCGAGATGTCGGGATGCGGGGGCTCCCAGAGGCCCGGCTGCCGGATTTAGGGACAAACTGAGGAAGAGTGTTGAGGAGGGTGTCGAGAGTTCAAAGGTCAGAGGTCATCGTAGCGAGGAGTTGTGGAGGGTGGGGGTCCTAAGGGAAGACTCAGGGACTGATACTCAGGGGACAGATGTGTGGGTAAAGGGCTTGGAGGGAGGAGAAGCGGGTAGGAGTAGGAGCTGGGCATAGTGCCGGGAGAAGCGGGGAGACGTAGGAAAGACGAGAGAAGAGGAAAAGAATTCCCTGAATATCCATCTATTCCCTGAGTTTAATTGGCCCATCACTGTCGGTCACTTAACCAGGCCTCCCTCAGCTGTAACCCCAGCTCTTGGCAGGGAGAAGAGATGGCTTCTCCCTCTAGACAGCCCCCACTCGGGGGGTCAGGACTGCTTCAAGGGACCCGGGCTCGTTCTTATGGAAGCCTGGTGCAATCAGCCTGCTCCCCAGTGAGGGAAAGACGCCTGGAGCATCAGTTGGAACCCGGAGACACCCTGGCTGGACTAGCGCTCAAATACGGGGTGACGGTGAGTCTCCCAGGATGGGGGTTTGATAACCATGTAGGAGAGGTTTAATCCTTAGGAGAAGGTGGTGGCCTTTCTAGGCAACCTCCCCTGACATTTTCCTAGTTGTGTTGTGCTCGGTTCCTTCTTTACCCTTTTGTTCTCTCATCTCAGTGTTGCACTGTCTGCTTGGGACAGATCCTGCCCCACTGTCCCAAAGGAGAGGAGCAGCTCCTACTTATTATGCCAGAGCCTGTGTTAGGGGCTTTGCCTATTTAACCTACTTGAGCCTGACATCCCCATCAAGTATACAACTATTGTTTTTTTACAGAAGAAGCTTAGGCTTAGATTGGTTAACCAGTTTGATCAAGGACAAATAACTGAGTGTCAGAATTGGAGTTCAAACAGACCTGACTGTAAAGCCCATACTATTAACTACATAGAAAATTTTTAATTGAGACTGATTAAACATTTACAGCAAGTAATGAAGAGCTGATTTTTAGTTCTAAATTGCTAAAATACCTCTTCAGTGCTCTGCTTTCTTTCAGATAAAGTGCAAAACAGATACTCCCACAGCAAATAGTTCAGGTCATGCCTAGGGAGAGTTGAGAGGTGTAAAAATATATTGCATTAAAGTTGATGAGGTTTTTTTTACCCCTCCCCAAATACAAACATGTTGAGTTTAGGCAACATTTCTATATTTAAAGCACTGTGGGGGGACTGGCAGAGTGGCTCAAGTGGTAGAGCACCTGCCTAGCAAGTGTGAGCCCTGAGTTCAAATCCCATACCGCCAAAGAAACATTTATGAACTGGAAGTGTGGCTCAAGTGGTAAGAGCACCTGCTTTGCAAGCACAAAGCCCTGAGTTCAAACCCCAGTCCCACCCTACCCCCCCCAACACACACACACAAAAGAAGTGAGAAATTTAAAGCACAATGGGGACCTTATTTGGAGACAAACATAAATGTATGGTTACTGGGCTCATGTGATTTAAAATCTAGTGAGAAGTGGACAGGGACAGAAATTATGATTATAGATGACAGAATGTGGTGAGTTTGTACTGGTATTAACAGAAGTGATGAAAAAATCAAAACAAAACAAAAAAATGAGGGGCGGGAAATCAGAAAAGAAGATTAGTTTTTGCTTAGAAGAGGACAGGAGTGTACATCAGTACAGGTTTTAAGGGTATCATTACCATGGCCCTTGAAAGACTTAGAAACTTCTTCCCCTATGGCTCCCATCTCCAAATCTATGTAATACAGTAGTTTATATCTTCATCTCTCCAATATCCTATATGCTCATCTAGAATAGGAACTATTTCTTTCTTTCTTTCTTTCTTTCTATTATCATATTGTTGTACTGGGGTACATTGTAACATTCACAAAAGTGCTTACAATATATCTTATTAATTCATCCCCTCCATGATTCTCTTTATACTATTTGTTTTCAACTTTGTATCTCTAAAGTCTGGCACAGACCCCAGTCTCCAGCACATAGAAATTTAAAAGCTGCTTTTGAAGCTGGGTATAATATATGGTACTTTTTTTTTTTTTTTTTTTTCTTTGTGGTACTGGGGTTTGAATTTAGGGCCTACACTTTGAACCACTCCACCAGCCTGTTTTTGTGAAGGTATTTTTTTTTTCAAGATAGGGTCTCGAAAACTATTTGCCCAGGCTCACTTCAAACCATGATCCTTGGGCAGGGAGGAGAAATGACCCAAGCCTTGTATGCACATATGAATAATAAAATTAAAAAAAAAAAAAAAAAAAACCATGATCCTCCTCATCGCTGCCTCCTAAGTAGCTAGGATTACAGATGAAAGCCACCAGCCTCTGGCTTTTTTTTTTTTTTGTGGTAGTGCTGGGGTTGAACTCAGGGCCTTGAGCTTGCTAGGCAAGTGCTATACCACTGAGTTTCACCTCCAACCAGAGACTTTCTTATAGCCCTGGGAAATCTCTGTAGTCTAGTGAAGAAGAGTTTTAGATTCTGGTTACTACCTGGGTCACTTCCCCTGTCTGAAGCCTCAGTTTCTTTTCCATTTGTAAAATAAGGAAAATTTATTAAATAATAATTGCTTAAGTTACCTCTCAATTAGGGAACACTTACTTAGTATGTGCCAGACTATTTTGAACTCAGGCCTTCACACCTGCAGAGCAGGTACTCTACCACTTGAGCCACACCTCCAGTCCATTTTTCTCTGGTTATTTTGGAGATGGGGGTCTTGCAACTATTTGCCTGGGCTGGTCTCAAGCCATGATCCTCTGGATCTCAGACTCCCAGGTAGCTAGGATTACAGGCATGAGCAATCCTGTGCCAGGCTCTATACATGTGTTATCACATATCATTTTCATAAGATTATGAGGTACACATAGTGTTGTGGCATGCACCTATAATCTCAGCACCAGGGAGGGTGAGGCAGGAGGATCACAAATTCAATGCCAGTCTGGGCTACAAAGTGGAACCCTGTCTCAAAAACAAATAAACAAGCTGGATGCCTGTGGTTCACACTTATAATCCTAGCTACTCAAGAGGCAGAGATCAAGAAGATAGTTGTTCCAAACCAGCCTGGGGCAATTAGCTCCTAAGACTATATGAAAAAAACCCATTACAAAAAGGCTGGTAGTGTGGCTCAAGCAGTAAGAGTGCCTGCCTAGCAAATGTAAGGCCCTGAGTTCAAACTCCAGTGCTGCCAAAAATAAATAAATAAATGAAAATAAAACACAAGAACAGCAAAAAATACTATGAAGTAGATCTAACTATTCCTATTAAAAGTTGAGGGGAGGCAGCCTGGCACCAGTGGCTCTTACTTGTAATCCTAACTACTTGAGAGGCTAAGATCAGGAGAATCATGGTCCACACCTGGACCCCATCTCAATAGCAAAAAAGCTGGGCATGGTGGTACCTATCTGTCATCCCAGTGACAACAGGAAGCTTAAAATAGGAGGATCATATGCTGGCCTGGACAAAAAAGCAATACTCTGGCTTCAAAATAAGCAGAGCAAAAATGACTAGAGGTGTGGCTCCAGTGGGAGAGTACCTCCCTAGCAAGTGTGAAGCCCTGAGTTCAAACCCAGTACTGGAAAAAAAAAATGAAAAAACTACTTGAGAAACAGCTTAATTCTCAATTCAAGACCAGACTCTGCAAGTTAACAAGAGACCCTACCTGACAAAATAAAAGCAACTATAAGAAGAGTGAGCTGGGCAACAGGCTTAGGGAGATACAATTGGTAGACTTAGACTTCAGACCAGGTTGTCTCATTCTAAAATCCTTTATACTAGCTAGATTCTAGGGACCTTTCTAGAAAGAATGACTTGATGGCATAGGACCTCTCTGGGCAACAATTCAAAGCAACAGAAAATTCACAAATTAATTCATAGTATCTTGGAGTGATCTATTACATTATCTAGGTAAAATAAAATGAATAGCATCAAAACATTTGGCAAGTTGTTCAAATTCAGACTGGAGGTGTGGCTCAAGCTGTAGAGCACCTGATTGGCAAGCACAAAGCAGTAAGTTCAAATCCCAATCCCATCCCACCAAAAAATAAAAAATAATATTAAATAAAAATTGCTCAAATTAATTCAGTTTTATTTTTAAACACCTTAAAGTAGTAAGATTTTACTAGTCAAGTTTATTATAATGGTCTTGCCCCAAAGTAGAAGGAACTTTGTTTTTGGTTTCTCTTTTTTTTTTTTTTTGGTGGTACTGGGATTTGAACACAGAGCTTTGTGCTTGCCAGGCAGGTGCTCTGCCATTTGAGCCACTCTGTCAGTCTGCATTTTTATATTTGACAGACAAAAAAAATATGATCTGCCAATATGAGGTAAAGTTATAGTAAAACAGAACTGTGACTTTGGCTTCTGATTTAAAATACTGACATACTCTAGTTTATCCATTTATACTCTATTTAAAATACTGACATACTCTAGTTTATCCATTTATAAAGCATTAATAAGCCCCTGCTATGTGCCAGACTCTGTGGAATGCTAAGGTGCACCTTGGAGATCCAGGGACAGCAAGTCACCACCCCTGGCCTTAAAGGACTCACAGGGTTTAGGCAAGACAGATATTCAAAGAAGTGAATAACAATATCATAGGGCAAGTTTTTCATTTTTGTTTTTGTCTTTTTCTATAGTTCTGGGGCTCAAACTCAGAGCCTTGCACATGCTAGGCAAACGTTCTACACTGAGCTATGCACCCAGTCCATACCTCAAGTATTAAAAAGCACAGTTTTGTTTTGTTTTTTTTGGCAGTACTGGAATTTGAACTCAGACTCACTTGCTAGGTAGATGTTCTTACCTCTTGAGCCACACCACCAGCCCTTTATTTTTTGTGATGGGTTTTTTCAAGAAAGGGTTTCACTTTCTATGCCCAGTTTGGCTTCAAACCATGACCCTCCTGATCTCTGCCTCCTGAGTAGCTAGGATTAAGTATTACAAGCACTTATTATAATATGCATTGGGAAAAGTAAGTAAATAAGTAACAACAAATAAAAACAGTAGGCATTGGGAAAACTTGAAGAAGGTAACACAAAAGGAGTGATAATTGAGTAGAAGTTTTCAAAGTAGAGAAGGAGATAATGGGCAGGCAGAAGGAACAGCATGAAGAAACATGAAAGTGAAAGATCATGGAATCTTCAAAGAAAAGTGAAAAGTTCAGGTTACCAAAATGTATGGGTTGCAGAGAAGAGACAAACTAGAAATTTCCTATAGGAACTAGACTGAGAAAGTCCTTGCTGGATGCTAGTGGCTCACATCTATAATTCTAGCTGCTCAGGAGGCAGAGATCAAGAGAATTGAGGTTCGAAGCCAGCCCAGGCAACTATCTAGAAGACCCTATCTAGAAAAAAAATCCATCACAAAAATAGGGCTGGTGGAGTGGCTCAAGGTGTAGGCCCTGAGTAAACCCCAGGTCCACAAAAAGAAAAAATAATAATAATAATAAAAGAAAGCCCTTGAATGCTAATTTGGATTTTATCTTTTAGTTAATGAGAAGCCATAGATGTTTATAAGTAGGCTAGTGGGTTACTCAGATTTTTTTTTTTATGTTAAGAGGAACATGTGTAGAAATGAAAGGGGAAGAGCAGTTAAACTGTTGGACTAACCCACATGAAAAACATTAGGGGTCTATTCTAAGGCAATGGCTATAGAACTGAAGATGAGACTAGATGTGAGAGATTGTTTTGGGATGGAGAAGAATATTTGGATTTAACCCAAAGTACATGGTAGGCAAGCTTTCTGCCACTGAGCTACACCCCCCCAACCTAGATTTTCAAAACATTTATTTATTTATTCAGTTTATTTATTGGCAGTACTGACATTTGAACTCAGGGCTTTGTGCCTGACAGGCATGTGCTCTACTGCTTAAGTCATGCCTCTAGCCCTTTAAAGCACTTTTGTCAATCAGTTTGGTATGGGTGATAAAAGTATGAGTTAAGCCAGGTGCCTGTGGCTTAACCTGTAATACTAGCTACTTGGGAGGCAGAGATTAGGAAGATCATGATTTGAGGCCAGCCCAGGCAAATAGTTCATGAGACCCTATCTCCGAAATACCCATCACAAAAAATAGCTAGAGGAGTGGTGCAAATAGAGTGCCTGCCTAGCAAGCATGAGGCCCTGAGTTCAAACCTCTAGTACTGCCAAAAAGGAAAAAAAAAAAGTATGAGTTAAGGCTTACATTGATAGTGCTGGAGGTATGGCTTGAGTGTCAGGGCACTTGAGGTCCCAAGTTCAAATCCCAATATCACCAAAAGAACCAAAAAAGAATGACTGATATATTTCTAAGCAGGCACTACTTCTCCAGCCAGACATTAATATTTCTGCTTTTCAGGGCCAGGTAAATAGATGCGATGCCAGTCACTTGTATTCAGTGATGAACAGAATAAATATTAGTATTATAACATGACAAGCACTCCCAGGATCTGGAGATGTAGTTCATTTGGTAGAGTGCTGTCCTAGCATGCAGGGAGGCCTGGGTTCTATCCCAAGTACCAGAAAAAAATAGGCATTTCCTCAGTAAAAAGGCCCAGCATTCTAGTTTTACTTCAGTCATTAACTTTCTAGATCATCTGAAGCAAGTACTTTTAACCTCCTTGAGCCTCAGTTTCTTTAACAGTAGGTCTCAAAATGAGGTCCCCGAGATTCTTCAGGTGTCCACAGGTCAGACTATTTTCACTGTAGTAATTTTATTTTCCTTCTTCATTTTCATTTTCTCTGGAGTGTATGATGTTTTTCAGAGGCTGCATAATGTGTGATATTGTAACAGATTGAAGGGCGAGGCAGGTAGAGCAACCCTGTGGTCTTCTGTTAAGTCAAATATTAAAGTAATTTGCAGAAATGTTAAAGAATGCCTCTGTTTTTCTTTTTTCTTTCTTTTTTTTTGGTTTGAAAAGTTATTTTTCCCCTGACCACTTGTAAAAAAAAAAAAAATTGGGTTGGTGGTATGGCACCTGCCTAGTAAGCATGAGGTCCTGAATTCAAACTCCTGTAGAAAGTTCAAAAAAAAAAATTCAATATAAGATCAACCGAAGTTACTATCATTAATTTTGGTGACTTTTTTTAAAGATGGAACAGATTAAGCGTGCAAACCGCCTTTATACTAATGACTCCATCTTCCTGAAGAAAACCATCTACATCCCCATCCTGACAGAGCCCAAAGACCTATTCAATGGCTTGGATTCTGAGGAAGAGAAAGATGGAGAGGAAGAGGTACAACCAAGTAAGGATGAAGTTCCACCACACTCCACCAAGAGGAAGAGACAAGAGCCAGGTTCAGGATGTGCCAATGGTGAAGTCCTCCCCACACCTGGTCAAGAACCCACCCTACCCATCCACGATCTCTCTGCCTCTGATTTCCTTAAGAAGCTTGATTTACAGATCAGCCTGTCAAAGAAGGCTGCTGCCCAGAAGCTGAAAAAAGAGGAAAGCAGGTAAGTCTGGAATGGTTCCTTATCGGTTTCTCCATAGATTCCTCCATCTTACCCAACCACAAACACAAGTAAGTAAGCACAGTGCCATCAGAAGCAAGGGCACAATTTTCCCCCCAGGTGGCCCTAAGACAATGGATAGAGCCAATAGCTGCTAGAATGGGTTGAGGTAGTGGGACACTAGGTTCCATGTTCTCATTGAAGTAAAATAGTTGATATTCTTATTGCTGTGATAATCTGTGAAAGGAGTATTAGGGTTAGGATTTTTTCTAGATGGTATTGAGACTTTACTTAGAGCAACCAGCTCATGAATCAGGTGGAGAAGATAGCTTCCCTGTACCTCTTCTCTTGGCCCATTCTCAGGTTCTTGCCTTGATCTGTCACTCTTTCCCTGCTTTCCTCATCTCTAGGGTACCTGGGGAGGAGGCAGGTCTCCACCAGAGCTCCCCTCGGATGCAGCAACGAGCAGTCCTAGGTCCTGTGCCACTGACCCGGACCTCTCGAACCCAGACACTACGGGATCAGGAGGATGAAATCTTCAAACTCTAATGTCTCCAGAACTGACTGAGAGAAGCAGGATGTTGAAAGAACAACTTGAGGGAGAGAGGAGCCTGAGGTGTGAGGCTCAAAAACATGGCTTCTCAGCCTGCCTCCCTCCACTTCAGTCATCTTCCCCAGTTTCCTTGTCTGTCAAGAATTCCTCAGCATGGGGCATTTTTTTTGACAAGAGTAGGAAATGGGGACTAGACCCCTTCCCAGTTCTTGGACTGAATCTAGAGTTGTCCTTCAGGTTCAAAAGGCTCTTTGTACATCCCTGCTGCTTTTCCTATCTCTTTTACCAGTCCTTGGTGTTAGAGCAAGGGAAGCAGAGACTCCCCTTCAACTTCCTCCCAATCTCCAACTATGTTACCTAATTTATTTGGTGCTATATTGAAGTAATATTTATTTGCTATATCTCATTCCTTCCTACTCTTAGCTGAAAACTGGGATTTCTATCATCTGGGGTGAGGGGAACCCAGGGACAGTGAACCAGGGACTGCTGGTCCCTCACGTTCCTTACCTCCTTAGCCAAGCATGTTATTGAGGACAGGGGAGTCAGTGATCTAGCACCACTGCGGGGAATGGCAGACTATACTGAGTTTTTCCCCAATCTCAAGGTAATGGATTTGGGCTCTGTATTGACTAACCAATTCCAGATAACTTTTTTACAACTCTTGCTCTGAGAAAAAGCAGCAGTGTAGGGACCTGAACTCTTTTTTTCCCCCGGTTTCCCCTTTTGACTTGTCCTCTGCTCAGCCTGCTGTGGGGCTGAGGAATGGAAGAGGATGTCTTGGGGCTGGAACAGGAGAACAGTTGTGGGAGTCTCTTTGTTCTACTCCCTCCCCACCAGAGCCTGACTGTCTAGGCCTTGCTCCTCACTGCATATTTATTTGCAATTTGTAGCACTGATCTACGGTACAGTTTGTTTTTTGTCTCTCAAACAGATGTAGGCAAGGGAACCTCAGTAATACTGGAAATATGCTGCAGTCTTCTGTTTGGAAATAGTGAGAAGTGAGATAAGTGTGTTCGTATACCTCCTTTCCTCTACAATGGATCCTAAGGTATAAGAAACTAGAGAGATTAAACATTGAGCCCTGTGCATGTTTTAGTAGTTTTATTTCCCCTCTGAGGATCTCCCCTCCCTAGGTCCTTCTTCCTGCACTCTGGTGTCTGTCCAAGCTCTGCCTAGAGCTAGAGGTCTAGGATGTCTCTAAGGGCCACTATCCCTTCTGTCTTTAGTATCCCCAGATACTAAACCCCTTCCCTTGGTTCATAGAGGATGGGCTTCCCTGTTTCAGGCATCCCTCATGGGAGAGACAGAGATCCAAGTTTCACTTCACCTTTTTCACACAGCTCAGTTTCCTGTGCTGGGCTGGGAGAGAGGCCTCACCCTCAGCATTGCTCCTTCTCCTCCAGCAGTTTGGGGGTAGGGTGGACTCAGAGTCAAAAGCAGTCTTGGGAGAGAATGAAGCCAGAGGACTGACGAGCATTAGTGCAGATGAGCAGGGTTAGAAAGCCCATTACACTGTTTTCTCAGTCAACTATTTTGCCAAGGTTGAATGTACTAGGTTCCGGGCTCTCAGAGCTTCCCCTCATCCAGCAGCTTCCTGAGCCCATCACAGATCTTGCCAAGATGCTGAGTGAAATCAGGCCCATACAGGGCGGTGAGCAGGCCCGGGTCAGAGAAGTGATCGAACACATGGCGGATACGGCCATGTGACTTGGGCGTGAGGTGGTGCTCCACCAGCTCCAGCAGCATGTCTCGGCATTCGGTGAGCAGACCTGCCAGCACAGCAGCCTCGAAGGTGAAATCCACCTCACCAAAGCTAAGTGCCGTCATGGCTCCCTGCCGTAGCTTTTGGCGAAAGCGGGTAGCCAGAGCCAGCTCACCAGGGCCAAAGCAGCCACTGCGGTGTAGCACAGCCACCTTGACAGCCACCTTGATCAGGTCCTTGATAACCCTCTGGGCCTGGGGCCGGCTGTGCGTGTATTCTTTGGACACACGGTAGAGCTCATCTAGCACCTCGCTGCTTGTCTCATCAATGAAGAGATGAGCCACAGATCGACCTGCCATCTTACTCAGTAGCTTCTTCTCTGCTTGCAGAGCCAGACTCTTTGAGCTGAAGGACTCCATGGTGCCTGGAGGCGGGTATGTGGTTAGTCACTAGAAGAGAGGCCACAGGCTTCTTTAGAAAGAGAGAAATGGCTTTTTCCCGTTTTTGTTGCTTCTTTGGTTTCTTTATCCTCTTTTTTCCTTGGGCCCCCTCAGTCCTGTATGCCTTGCTCCTGGTTTTTTTTTTAGAGCTTAGGAAATCTGTATCTCCAAAACAGCCCAGAGGAGTGACAATAACTCTGGCTGGAGGAATGTGGCACACAGAAGGCCAGCCTCGCACAGGCTAGGTCTCAGGGCAAGTAGGCTGTTGCCACTGTAGTAGAGAGATATGTTTGCCTGGCAGACAATTCTTAATTTTTTTTTTTTTTTGGTGGTACTGGAGTATGAACTCAGGGCCTCCTGTACTGTATTATTAAGCCATGCCCCCATCCCTTTTTGCTCTTTTTCTTTTTTTTTTCAGTTAGGGTCTTGTGCTTTAGCCTGGAGAGATCCTCAGACCATGAGTCTCCTACCTATGGCCTCCCACATAGCTGGGACCACAGGTGTGCGCCACTACATCATATTGATTGAAATGGGGTCTGGCTAACTTTTTTTTTTTCATCTTTTCTTTTTAGTGCTGGGGATCAATCCCAGGGAACTCCTGCAGGCTAGGCAAGTGCTCTACCACGAAGTTACTTCCCAACCCCTCTCTAACTTTTTGCAGAGGCTGGCTTCAAACAGAAATCCTCCTAATCACCTCTGAGTAGCCATAGTGCCTGGCACTCACAGCTACCATTTTTTTTGACACTCACTATGTATGCTACATCTATTCTGTAAAGTATGGGTTTTACTCTCCTTGTTTTACGACTGGGCAAATAGGCTTATGTTAAATTATTTACCCAAGATCAAACACTACTGTTTTTCTGACTCCAAAAGCCTATGTCTGTTGGTGTGTTGTATTGCCTTTAAAGAAGTGAGAAACATAGAGTTCCCAGGAATCCTAATAAGAATAATTAACTTTTCCTGAGAACCTACTGTGTGCCAAGTGCTTGATATGAATTACCTCAGTTTTCCCAACTCCACAAGTAGATAACCTATTTTGCAATAAGAAAACTGAAGTGAAGAGAAATTGAGCAATTTGGCTGAAGTCACTAGTAAATTAAAAAATGGGCTTCAAACCACATAGTCCAAAGAACCCTTCTTCCCTGGAATGCTGCCAGTGGGTTGAAGCACACTGAGGAAGGATGGAAAACAAGCACCTCAAGCAGGACAGGCTGTACTAAAGTCTAAGGTCTGCTCTGCTGAACAGAGGACCCTCCTGGTGGCTCATGCTGCACGTGTCCAGGGTTCTCTCCCTGTGGTCCTTGCCTGTGGTTCTTCTGGTTGTTTTGCTTCTTACTTCCCCCTCCCCTGCTCTGCAGGATGTGGCTGTGACCGCAGTGAGGAGCAGCCTCAGCCTCTCCCTCAAATGAAAATAGGAGTCTGAAGAGGCAGGGGAGGTAGGTGACTGCGGGGGTTTCTTCCCCAGCTAAATCATTCCAGTAGAAACCTGAAACCTTAATAAACTCTGGGCTTGCCCTGGGGTTTTCTGGACCAAGCTCCATGGCCGGAAGAGACATTGCTCCATGTGAGCCTTCCTTCCTCCCTAGCCTTCCTGTTACCCAGCTCTCCATTGCCCCCATTGCCATCTCACATTTGACCTGCTGTCCTCACTGCCTCCCTCTTACGGTCTCCCTTCTTCCCTGGGTCTGGGTCTTCTCCATGATCCTCTGACCTGGCTGTGTTCTCCCTCTGGTCTTGACCCATCTACTTCCATGTCTCTTAAGATTTTCTTAAAAAAATAAAAATTTCTTACATCACATATCCAAGCCTATCCCCATCCCAACGCCATGCCCCCTCCCCAAACCAGATATTTCTTTCAGGGAAAACTACGTTCTTCCTGGGGACCCAAGAATTCTGCAGGTGAGAGTTTCACAATATAGAAAGAAAGCTAAGGCTGAAAGAGCTGGAGACCCTTCTGCTGTTGTCACCCTGAAGCCTACCCTTCTGTCATTGCTGGTCCCTCACCTGCTATGCGCGTCAGTCTTTCTTTGGATGTTCCCGGAAAGCTGATAGAATGGAGAAGCTCCTAAGTGAGAGGCCCTTTGGCCTAGCCCCACCCCTCAAGCTCCGCCTACCTACTCTCTGCTCAACCTCCGGTTCATCATCACTGTCACCAAGAAGGCCTATGGCCCAAGAACAACCTAGAAATAAGACAAAGGTCAAAAGGAATAGAATTCTGTGGGAAACACACTTGACTCTTTCAGGTGGGAAGAAGGGATTGCACATTCGCTGCCCTCAAATTGTCTGCTTCTTTCTTTCCTTGCTGCCTAGCTCCTTGAGATCCTGTTATATTTCTGTGGTTCTGGGGAAGGTGTAAAAGTTCAAATTGCTGGGTTGGGGTCAGTTGAAAAGTTGTGAAAACTGAAAAAGAAAAACACAAAGAAAGTTGTGAAGATTGAAGAGTGGTGCAGTGGGGCAACACAATTACAAGTATCTTCCACTGTCTGGCACAGACTATCCAAGCCCTTACTACCTGAGGAAGTTTGTTTGGGCCGGGGCTGTTGAACCGTATGTGACCAGCAGGTGTCAGGACTGCACTGAATCACTAGAAATGCATCATAGCTGTTATACGAGGGTCCCAGAAATGGGAAGTTCTTGAATGTGGCTGAGTGTTTGCTATCAACAATCTTACCTTGTGGGGGGGCATGGCAGTACACAACTGTAATTCCAGCTAACCAGGAGGTGGAGGTAGGAGGATCACAATCCGAGGCTACAATCAGAGCCTATATGAAAAAAAAAACAAAAAAGGGCTGGGGATGTGGCACAAGTGCAAGCACAAGGCCCTGAGTTCAAACCCCAATGCCACCAAGAAAAGAAAGAAAAGAAAAATCTTACAACCTTATCAGGGAGAAAAACTTCAGCATAAATAACTATGATACAATCAAACCCCATTAGTTTTAGTGGAAATATTAAAAATTATAAGAATAAAGAAGCTTGGATTAATTCTGCTAGAGCAAGAGAGGTAGACTTGCAAGGGCAGATTCATCTGTTTAATAGCCAGAGAAGGAGCAGCACAAGCACATGCAGGGAAAAAACCTAATTTGTCACACTCCCAGGAAGTGGTGACTTATTCTGTATGTGTGGAGCAGAGGTTCTGCCACTTGAGCCACACCTCCAGTCCTGGAGCAGAAGTTTTTTGAGAAAGAAGTAAAGAAGGAAAAAAGTCCAGATCATGACAGGCTTTAAAGAGGTCACCCAAGAGTCCAGACTTTCTGGGGTAGAGGAGTGGCTCAAGTTGTAGAGGATCTGCCTAGTAGGCTTCAGGCTCTAAGTTCAAATCCCAACACTGCACCCTCAAAAAAAAAAAGTTTAGACTTTTCCTATAGTCAGTGGGGAAACATTAAAGATGCTTGATCAGAGAAGTGAAATAATTAGCTCAGCAGGAATATGTTAGATGCTTTCATACATTTTTAGTTGAAGAAAGGGTATTCTTAAAGGAATTAATGATACAATTAGTTTAAACACAGGATGAGAACCTGTAAGAGGCCTTGGAACTCAGTATCAGAGATTGAACATTTGACCACTGAGCTACCTGCCCTCCCAGCCCAGAGGTTTGATAATTTTATAAGAAGTTCTAGGTCCTAGGCATGGTGGCAGACACCTGAAATCCCAGCACTTGAAAGGTTGAGGCAGGAGGATTTCAAGTTCAAGGCCAACCTGGGCTACATAAGGAAACCCTGTCCAGGAAAAAGAGAAAAAAGAAAAAGAAATGCTAGAAGGGGAAGGATTGGAAAGTTAGTTGGTTTAAGAGTACACTGTAATCCTAGCTACTCAGGAGGCAGTGATCAGGAGGATCTCAGTTCAAAGCTAGCCTGGGCAATAGCTCTTGAGACCATATCTGGAAAATACCCAAAATAGAAAAGGACTGGTGGAGTGGCTCAAGTGGTAGGGTACCTGCAACCATGAGGCCCTGACCTCAAACCCTAATACTGCCAAAAAAAAAAAAAAAAGAAGAGAATAGCTGGGCACTGGTGGCTCATGCGTGTAATCCTAGCTACTTATGAGGCAGACATCAGGAGGGTCATGGTTAGAAGCCAGGCAAATAGTTCATGAAACCCTATCTTGAAAAAACTCATCACAAAAAAGGGCTGGTGATGTTGCTCAAGTTGTAGAGTGCCTTCCTAGCAGTCATGAAACCCTGAGTTCAAACCCCAGTATCACACACACACACACACAAATGGATTCAAAACACTTTGAAGAATCAAGAGATAGGAGGGAAAGGGTAGCAAGGCAACAGTTACATCATGTGTGATAATGTTCATTTACTTTACTCATGAGGAAGTCTTTCTTTTATTTTCTCTTAATCTATACCCCTTTCTAGTAATCACTGAATCTATAGTATGTAATTAGCAGCAAATGGAAAAAGAAACTCATACAAGTAAGAATCGTGATCATTGCCAGGCAATGGTGGCTCACAGCTATAACCCTAGTTACTTGGTGAGAGCTGGAGGATCGAGGTTCAAGGCCCACCTGGGTTAACAGTTCAAGAGACCCAGTCTCCAAAATAACCAGAGCAAAATAGACTGGAGATGTGGCTCAAGCAGTAAAGTACCCACTTTGTGAGTGCAAAACCCTGAGTTCAAAGCCCAGTCCCACAAAAATATAATGAAGAACCATGATAACAATTATAATACAGCAAGAGAAGACATAGGAACAAGCAGACAAAATTGAAAATTGCGAACCTTTTGAACATATAAAGAAGCAGCAAATAGTATTAAGTATTTATGTTCTAGATGCTGGGGTCCTTACTATATTCTTGGATGATTTTACTGTGCCTCTGAGTGAACAATAACTGGTTCAATGAGGGAATTTTAAATGTATGAAACACTTTCAGTTTACAAAACATTTTACTGTATTTTCTTATTCAGTCCATGAGGTAGGCAGGAATGTATTATGTCTATTCACAGATGACAGACTCAGACTTAGATATAAATAGTTTATCCAAAAACTTTACTCCAGAGGTATAGGTCTTAATGACTCCAAATTGTGCTCTTTCCACTAATTAACCCACAGGAAACCAATAATACTTTTTGAATATTCTATTTGCAGTATACCTTTGTGGTAGAGGCTTGCCTAACATGTACAAGGCTCTGGGTTTGATCTCAAGAACTGCAAGTCAGACAACAGTGGCTCATGCCTATAATCCTAGCTACTCAGGAGGCAGAGATCAGGAGGATTTTGGTTTGAAGTTAGCCTGGACAAACAGTTTGAGGACCCTATCTCGAAAAAATCCTTCACACAAAAGGGCTGGTGGAGTGACTTAAGGTGTAGGCCCCGTGTTCAAGTCCCAGTACCACAAAATAAATAAATATATAAATGAATTAAAAATAAAAATGTTCATACTGGAGCAGTCTGATCTTTGGTTTAGCTGAGGTGTTTGAGATTGAACACAGGCCTCGCACATGCTAACAAGCATGACCTCTACCCCTGAGCCACACACCTAGCTCTAGCTGAGATTTACCTGGTTAGGATAAGTATTTTATCATGAAGAGAAAGTAGTGTGATTTAAGACAGTCAAGCAAGACTTCAGACTTCAGTCTGCTATAGCTGAAGATAATTCACAGCTTTTAATCTTTTTGCCCTTTTAATCTTTGATGCATTTATTTGTTCTACTTATTATATGCCAGACACTAAGTGCTAGGGATAGAAAGATAAAAAGATAAGTTTCCTATCTTTAGACTAAGTGTTAAGTGCACACTATACATCCAAATGGAGGGCTGGCAGCATGGCTTACAAGTTAGAGCACAAGCCTACCAAGCTTGAAGCCCTGGGTTCAAACCCCAGTACTGAAAAAGAAAGAAAGGTATTTAATCCTTTAAGTCTAGGGTTATATTTAAGGGAAAAATAAAAGAAAAATACAAATGGAAATATCCAATAAGCAATTGTACATCTAAGTCTAGAGCTCAGAGAAAGACCTGAATTGAATGCCCAGATTTTATGATGAGTAGTTATGATAAATAGATAGTTATTGTAATTTGGTGTGGATTATCTTGACCAATGAGAATGTGAACAGCAAGAGGGGTGGCTAGGACTGGAGGTGTGACTCAAGCAGTAGAGTGCCTGCTTTGCAAATGCAAAGCCCTGTGTTCAAACCCCAGCCCCACCAAAAAAAAAAAAAAAAGAATAAGAAGGGTGGCTAAGGACTTGACCCTAGGAAACACCAACATTTAAGGAGAGGCCAGAAAAGGCTGAGAAAGATGATATTGATAGAAGGGAAGCCATTCACCCACTTGAGAAATACATATTTATTAAGTCCCTAGTCTCTGACAAGAGAAAAAAGAATCCCATGAGGTAAAAGAGGAGAGCATGTCAAGGAGGAAAGGTCAAGAGTGTCAAGTGCCACCAAGAGGGTAAAAGTATAAGACTGAAGAGCTATTTATTGAAATGTGATGAAGAGGCCATTGATGCTTGGGGGTTGTGGCTCAGTGGTGGAATACTTGCCTAGGAACAAGAACCAGCACCACCAAAAAAACAAAACCCAAACCAAAAAACCCCCAAGAGATTATTGGTGAGTTTGATGATAGCAGTCTCCATGGGTGGGGGGAAGGGGGGCAAAAACTACATTGAATGAGAATCCTGAAAATGGATCCAGTCATATATGCTAAATATAGGTAAAGATCAAGAAAAAAGGTTGGGATTTTTTTAAATTACTGAACTAGGAATTGAACTCAGCATCTCCTACTTGTGCTCTACCATTTGTGCCACACCTCCAGTTATTTTTTTTGAGACAGGTTCTCACTATATAGCCTAGTCTGGCTTGAATTTGTGATCCTCCTCTTGCCTTGCCATACTGAGTGCTGGTATTACAGGTGTGCACTACCATGCCTGAAATCTTTCTTCTTTTAACCATGGGCAATATCTGAGCATGTGTATATGTTGAGGGCAAGATGTCAGTAGAAAAGAAAAGGCTAAAAATAAGAAACAAAAAGCCAAACATGGTGGTACACATCTATAATCCCAGCACTCTGGAGGCTGAGGCAGGAGGATTGTAAGTTCAAAGCCAACCTGGTCTATACAGGGAAACACTTTCTCAAAAAATTAA